CATATTAAAAATAAATAAGGAGACTTATATTTATGACATTAAAAATAAAATAAATACAACAATAAAAATTAATTGGCGCTCCGGGGCGACTTCATTGATTCCAGTGGCGCATTTGCTTTTTCAGCTGCAGGAAAACCCGGAAAAACCTGCAGCACCACATCATCTGAAGATCTTGATCCAATATTCAATTATAATTTTCATAAAGGAATGAATGAACGTATTCCACTGAAGTAAGCCCACAACGGGTCTTACTTATTTGTGGAAGAGAGGGTTGGGGTTGTTAATACAATCATTACAACTCAAAAGAGCTCTTGTGTGGAGGCGCAATGACAGTATGCCAATTTTTTTAAATAAAAAGCAATTTATTCTTTCAAATGTTCGAAATGCTGTCCATTATTATTTTCAAAACAGTCTGCTTCCAAAATCCACTCTTACATCTCGAAAAACTTCTTTACGCTCAGCTGTTATTTATTCTTTTCTTCAAATCTTCAATTTTTATAAACAATCGATTTGAGATGCACCCATAGGAAGGAATCTAAAGGCGATAGGTGGGGTAATTATACAGTATACTTCTTTCTCACTTTTATAATTATTATAAATGAGAGAATTATCTTTGTATTAAAGCAAAATTTCATTTCACTCACACATACTCCATGCACATAAACCTAATACATATAACATATGTATTATGTTATTTAATAAATATAATATATGAAGGGAAAAATAACTAGTGATCTTTGAATATACGAAAAAACTCAATATTATATAACTAAGATCACTGAAAATGAAAGCTAAAGTTCCTTTCACACACCCATACACCACCCCACACATCCATGATGCAAAATAAGAGAACTATCTGATACTAATCAGGTATATTATTACTTTTTTGTCGAAAATATACATACATACATATATTTAAAACATTATCAGTTTTTACATATCCAGTCCTGCCATCTAACCAGACATGAGTTTCGAATGGTTGGCCTTATCAAAAGCCTTTTCTAGATCTATGAGTATTCCAAGTGCTGTTCCATTGTTTTCCAACTGCTAATAAATGTATTTGGTGACGTGACATGAGCTAATAGGTTGTCTCAAAAGTTTTGTTCGTTTCTATGAGTCTACTTTAAACTGTAATATATAAGTGAATACTTATTCAGTTCAATCGAAATAGGGGTCATTTGAATCAGTGCACTTTTGCCAATGCAACACAAGTCAATTAATTCCGTTAGCACAAAAATTGTGTGCTCGGGATTCGATGAAGTTGATGAACACCGTTTCTGCCTATCGGTCCTAAATGGCGGAGGTTCTACCGGTGAGAAATTTATCGGAATGCTTGAAAAGATAGTAGTCGGTTGGCAAGAGGTCTGGCGAGTATGGTGGGTAAGGCGGAACTTCGACGCTTAATTCGTTTAATTTTCGGATGGTCATTTGTGAAACGTGCGGAAGGGCGTTGTCGTGGAGCAGGATCATACCTTTTCTGTTGACCAATGCCGGCTGCTGCTGACGCAATTTTTGGTTCAATTCGTTGATTTACTCTCAATAGGACTCTGCTGTGATGATTTGACCCGGTTCCAGAAAAATATATCTAATGAATCACACCAGCCGCTGACCCTACAGTAACCATGATGTTTTTGGTGGGTTTTCGCCTTTGGGAAGTGCCTAGGTGCCTAGGTGCCCCATAGGAGTTAACGCCCCGATTTTTCAGAGCGCTTTGGTTCAATTCAAATTCAGTAGAATACATTTTCATTTATTTTTCTAAACATTCAAAGGCGTGTGAAAGCCTGTTGTGATCGATATCAAACAATTTTCATTCACTTCGTGGCCGTTCTTTAAGACATGTTGAGCAACACCAGACTTCTCTGTTCTACGAAACCGAATATATAAAACATGTTCCTTAAATCGCGTTATCACATTCCTCTCAGTTTGACCAGCATACTTTACGTAAATAGTTGATCAAATTTCTTCTAGATCTTTCTCTAGATATTAAACTTCTTGCTTACGTCGAATATGTCCAACTTAATGGGACGAAGAGCCCAATACATGCTTTCGTCAGGAATATTGGTGATGTTTAATAAAATGGGTTGATAGTAAGGATATCCGAGAGAACAACCGATGGCTACTCACGGAATGATCTTTAAAAAAAAAAACACGTACGATCTGACGAACCATATAACATTGAAGTGTGATTAGTAAACCTTCTTGCCATACGATCAAAGGCCTTAAGAATATTAAGTCCAACAGCCCGAGGCTATCCTACTCGAGGAGTAAATATGAAGTAAAGTTGTCTATTTTTGCTCCTGGAAACCATGCTAATGATCGCTCGAAATGTTAAAGAATTTCAAATCTTCAAGAAGTGTACTGATATTAACGACAGTAAAGCAACTGTTTTACGGTTGTTATTTGGAAGATCTTTAACATTTTTTGATTGGCATATTTTTAAGGACCAGAAGCTCTGTTGATGATGATTTCGTTCAAGTAGACGCCAAAAAATAATTTCCAGCATATTTTGTCATGCAGTGATGATCAATCCTACGCTAATTCGAATTTTGCTAGAAATGAATGTATTCTTTCTAGGTGTTTAACCAAAGACTGTTGACAATTATATGAATAAACAAAATCTCACCATTATTAACGTTTCAATTCGAACTTCTGTAAGTCTCCTGAAATTTGAAAACAAACAAGTTTGAAATGAATGTCTAATTTCTACTAAGAGTTTTATTTGTTACGACCTTTTTCGGTTTATGAAACTATTTTCAAGTTAATTAAACCAAAGTCAGTCATAACAAATGGAAATTTTAGTAGAAATTAGATAAAAGTTATTTTCTTCATCCTATATTAAATCCGAATTTCTACAAAATAGATAGGTCATCAATCGAATTGCAGATTGTCCTTGTTCCCTAATGTGAAAGTATGTCTGATAGTTGTGAGAGGTGTGGCACATTAATTGAAATAAAGAAGAAGAAATATTTTGTGAGGTTATTAATCCGTAAACAATTGTGAAGATTTATTATAAATGTTATGATAAGGGTAATTGTTAATTCAAATCAAAAAACGGACTTGATACAGAATTACCATATATTTTATTAAAAGTATAAAGGTTTATATCACACACTTTGAATGACGACAACTGAAAGTATAGAAGATATTCAATAGACTGATTCAGCCAATGTTTTCTCTACTCTGTGGTACCCTAATGACGGTTCCCAAATAAGAAATGATAAATGAACATTAGGAAGTCATCCAAACAATTTCGATCACAAAAATGACATTCAAAAAAGGTGATTTCTTGATATAACTAACACTCAAATACTAATTGATGTTTATTTTAGGTGTTGAAGCCAAAGTGTTTCGTGCAATTCAACATGTCGACATGGAAGTCTTGGCCAAATGTACAGAACAAGAGATCAGACCAGTCTTACCCTGTCTTGTTAGAATGGGGCTGATATCACCTCTTGATACTTCTAAAAAATGTATGAACATGAAAGTCACTATTTTGACTGTAGTATCGGGAATGGAACTTGTGAATTCAATAGTGGCGTTACTATCCATTGATTTTCATAAACTAGAAACAGATGTAAAAAAAGAGCAGCAGTTGAGGCAGAAGGGTTAGAGATTCATAGTATTAGAACTTTGTGGGAACTAAATCCTGAATTTAATAATTTCACCATCATTATGTAGTGATTGAGAAACTAATGAAATAAGAATGAAAAAACTAAATAAATCAATGAAAACTCTACAAATATGTGTAGATAATGTACAGAAGTTTTTTTCAGATACAAACTGGAAAAAAATCAATCTGAAACAAGTAGGTACTTTCTAATTTATGAACATTGAGTTATGCAGAAATCATATATCCTCGTTCAATTTGAACTCTGAACCATAGGAGAGTTGAAATTGATATAGCCCTCAGAAATGCTACACAAAAAGATATATGAATGAATATTAATATAAAATATCACAAAGAAAACTTTCAATTCGTAAGTGTATTTCAAAGTATTAGGTGAAATCACCAGTTTTCAACTCATCAGCACCTTTTTGGATAACTAAAATACAATTTAAAAGATCTTCAAGCTACTTTATGTTTGTAAAACAGATTTATACAGAATCCCTGTTGAGCTATCAGAACCACTTTTAATTTTTGTATTCATTCACTGATTTAAAAATAACAACACAGAAAATTGAAGATAGGAGGCAATAGGATGCTAAAATTATGATGTAGGCTTATTCAACAATTTTTTTGAGGTTGGATTCTGTTGACTTGACGTTAAGCTAACATTCACCACGATATCTCCAGTAAATGAAGAGCAAAAAATTCAGGAATAGAGTACAAAAGTTATGGTCTAAAAATAAACAAAAATTCAAAGTTGTTCTGTTAGTTCAACACAACTGTGTGAGTGTGTTTTACAAATTTTCATTGTGACAAGATCTGATGTGTTTCTTCTACTGACATAAAATCTTAATTTTTTTTGGTAGGATGATACACAGTTGCTTTGCTCGTGTAGTTCTTTCTATATATTCAATAAATTATATGTAAACCGTAGTTTGAGTTTATTTCTATTGTACGCTTTCAAATTTTGACTGAGTATAATGTCAGAAACGCAGTAAATTTTTGGCTCTCACAATTTTTTTTGTGAGGGATGCAGTTTGTAAGGGGGTGACACCAAGTTGGCAGAAAAACACATTTCTAACACATACGTGAAGTTTATTTCAATATTCTCTTATATTCTACTTGTAGTATTTCTGTGTATGATATTTGTTTAAAAATGTAAAAAAGTTATTTTTATGTAATTTAATATTCATAATTTTGAAAATAATTGTTTCAGATCAATTTTTTCCATTTTATTTTTGAAGAACTTCTGTATATTATATGCATATCTTAGTTGAAAGAGTTTATAGATATATTCAATTTTTTCTTCCTTTCGTCAGAAGTTTTGTACTTTCTGTATAATGATGGAGGAATGGAGAGTTAAAAAGATTTTTTACCAAAAATCAATGTCCCCTCAAAAATATTCTCTTTTGAATCAGAACTAACTTTGTATTATTACAAATTTGTCTTCCAGGAAACACCATTCAAAATGATTCTATACTCATTGGAAACTTGTCTAATACCAGTATGGCACTAGAATATGAAAGAAGTGATATGACTCGCCGTTCCGGAATCCTATTAGGTGAAATACTATACATTCAATCCCAAATACAAGAAGCTGCAGAACCAACTACATCTGACCATGATCCTTATATTAAAACTTCGGAGTTATTTGACAATGATATCTTTGCAGAGGAACTATCTGATATAATTTGCATTGCTCTAGCTGAATTGCCAACCACTTTAAATATATTGTCAATTACAGAGGCATTACTACATGTACATAATGGACCTGCTATCATCTGCAGATTGGTAGCCAATTTTCCAGATTGTTTTAAAGAAGGTAAAAATTTGATAGTGATACAATTTTTTTATCCACAGGCAAAATTTTTTGTCAGATGCCTTGAAGGAAAAGTGGTAGATTTTTACTAACTTTTTCATCTCATATCATACTCCAGTAATTTAGAAAGATAAGAATTGATGTATTCCTGCCCTCTTATCCCTAGATAGGTTTAACAGAACAAATATATCAAGGACTTCTCAAATATGCCCAAGGATCTCACCTAGAGCCCTATAAATCTCAACATAAAAATTTTACAGGATCGGTTGATTCAACAATGGGGTAAATCTCAACTCTACGACTTGTAAAGCTATCACTAATTCCTCTCATTCGTTCCTATCTGGACTATATATGCATCTATCTAATTTTCATTCTAAGGCATCCATATGCATATTCTTGAAATCCTAACATGAAAATTCTTGAAACATGTAGTGTGCAAATTTTACATCTTGGATTTCAGTACTGCTTACCCTCGTAGTAATCGTGCATAGTCTGTCAGACTAAGTCGTTTATCTATGGAGGGGTACTAATCTCCCTAGATATTCCTAACAAAATTTCAACAATAGTTTTACGAGGGATTTTTTAAATACACTGATCTGTTACTTGGTGAAGATCAATAACATTTGACGATAACATATTGGAAATAAAGTCTATTTTCTGAAGATTTGTAATTATTATCATGAAAAGGTGAATGTTTAAAGTGTAATAACTACAGCAAAAAAATAGTTGTTTGACCAGAATGAATATCAGTATATACATCATTCTCTTAACAAATAATGTATATAATGAAGCGATTTCTTTGACCCAACAGTTTTTTTTTTTACTCAAATATTCATCACATATAATAGTTGTTACTAAAAATAATATGAGGCTGAAGATTTTGTTAGAAAAGTTGATTGGTGATAGGAAGTGAATAACTGAAAACTTAAAATAGTAATTTTTTTTGTAATTGAAAGTAAGTTCAAGGTAAGGTATATAATTGATTATAGAAGTCTAAATTGTAACCAAGTCGTAAAAAAATATTGCATTGAAAAATTAATGAATGATTGGATCCTGGTTTGACAGACTGGCACAACCGGTGTCATGAAATTTGGTGCTATTACTGAAAATTCAATAGACCTAACACAAAAAGAGGTCTAATTTTTCATGGAAGTAATGCATGAAATTCAGATTCATGTTCCTTTTGAAGCAATTGAAATTGAGATACGTATTCCTGTCAGTTATTAAAACTTCAATTTCATTAAATATTTTATGTCGAAGTCCTAAATTGTGAAAATCTGTGAAACTTCAACATTTATTCATTATATTATATCACCATATTTATTATATCTACGGTAACTGAAGTCAGATGGTAACCGGTTGGTCAGCGTTAATGTTTTGTTCCACTCATTTATTCTACCGCTTTGTGAACATCGATTAGACTCCCAACTATCGGATTTTCCATTTTAATTGTGTATTGTTCAACTCGTACTAGGAAATGTACACTAAAATAAGAAAATATCAACATTATGTGTAATCGGCTGTTAATAAATTGATATCTACTTTATTTTATTTGTTTTAGTTACCACATATCTGATTCAAAGTGGGGAAAAACAAGAAGAAAATATTTCTAGTGTAGTCAGAGCTAACACTATATCTCTTCTGTGTAAAATGAATCCCTCACAAGCTCTGTCGATCAGAAGCAAGTGTGTGGATCTTTGTAGAATGCCAGCATTAGCTATAAGTTTGTCTTTGAAGCACAATGATAATAGTGGTGATATGGATGCTGATGGGGATATGGTAGCTTTTATTTCTGGATTATTGCTAGGCAATGATCAAACCATAAGGTGTGTATTTCTCTTTTCCAGTGCTTGTGTTTATTTAGTCATTGATTCTTAATATAATGAATCATATAAACTACATCGAAGGATATTGAGTGTTTTTTTATATCCCTAATATTCACAAAAGTTATATAGAGATGTAATTTGTATTTTTCAGAAATTGAGAAACGAGTGACGACCATTGCTGAAAAGCTTATTTAAAAAAATAACCAGAATAAATATAAAAAAACCACGCAATGAAAAGTAATAATCAAATTAAGTATTTTTTAGAAATTGGATAGCCCTATTCATTCGTACTGGCCAAAAAAGAAAAGGAGAAATTTCAAGTAATGCCCTCCATCAATTGAGAGAAGAACTACTAAGACGTTTGCAGAAAATTCTTGAATCTTCACCAGAAGGTGAATTACCAGATACCATGGTAGTTCAGGCCTCTGCATTACTTCGTCTTTATTGTGCCCTAAGAGGCATAGCAGCAATCAAGTAGGGTTTTTTTTCTTGATGAAAATGAAAAAAGTATTTTCATATATATCTATATTTTAGGTTCCAAGATGACGAAGTAAATCTTATTGTGCAACTTTTGACCTCTCATCCAAATCCTACGCCAGCTGGTGTTCGATTTGTATCAATTGGTCTTTGTATGTTGATTGCATGTCCTTCTCTAGTATCTCTGCCAGAACATGAAAGGAGGAGCATTGAATGGGTAAGGTCAGAAAAAAGACAGAACATAAAACAAATTATGACAAAAAGTTGAATAATAGTCTTGTAAATTGTAAAAAAAATTCTGATGAAATCGTAAAATTTATTTGAAGATATTCCTAAATCTTCTATTTGATTACAGCTAATGTTATGAAAACGTTTTTTGAATAAGACCCATAAGTCTTGGGAATGGTTACATTAAAATGCGATAACATTTCCAGAAAAATGTAGAAATTTCACTGATATCTAAACAAAATTGTATTCTGCATTTACTTCCAATTCAATCAGAACTTTTTCTACAACAATGTATGTTGTTCATATAACTCCAGAGCCTTATTTTTTTCCAAAATCTAGGTAAATAAAGAAAAGAGAATTGAAACTATGTTTTTTACCACTTTTATTTGTAACTAAAGTTACTGCAATTTCGTCCTATAAAGACATTTTCAAACTTGTACATTAAACTAACAATGGTTTATTACATTAGCCCTTATATAGCATCCCTGTAGGTAAGTGCCTGTATTGTTACCTACAGTAGTGCTATATAAGGGCTAATGTAACAAACCATTGTTAGTTTAATTTATAAGTTTGAAAATGTCTTCATAGGACAAAACTGCAGTAACGTTAGTTACAAATAAAAGTGGTAAAAAACATTGAAAGTTTCAATTCTCTTTTCTTCATTATGATTCCCTACCACGTAGTAATGGCTACATCCATCAATTTATTCTAAGTAAATAGTTTTGCCATGAAGTCTTCTAACTTGATAAAACATCATGAAACTATGTTGAAATCATATATTAAAATTTTAAATATTGACTCATAAATTATCAGGTTTCACTTTACAACAAAGAATAGAATTAAATATTTTGAGTAAAACCCATCAGAGTAAAAAACATTGATTGATTAACAGATCATTAGATAAACGAAAATATTCGAATTAGTTCTAGAATGTTTTGGTTAATTGCAAACTTCTTGTATTAACAAAATAACTGCAAGCAATTCTGGCTTACTTATATATTTCACAGTGTTTATAATGCATCTTGAGTTAAGTAAAATTTTGATTTATCTATATAAAATATACAATTGAAATATAAATCATTCTCAGGTTCAATGGCTTGTTAAAGAAGAGGCCTATTTCGAATCTGCCAGCGGTGTAACTGCCTCTTTTGGAGAAATGCTCCTCCTTATGGCGATCCATTTTCACAGTAACCAATTGAGCGCCATTTGCGATCTCGTGTGTTCAACTCTGGGAATGAAAATTGTCATCAGACACAACAATATGACACGGATGAAGCAGGTTTTCACCCAGGAAATTTTTACAGAGCAGGTGGTCACAGCTCATGCAGTCAAGGTGCCTGTTACCAACTCACTGAATGCTAATATGACAGGTAAGAAAACTGGTTCAATCGGAATTTAAAGCAATATATACATCCACTGAAAGTTCGAAACAGGTTTTGGTTAGAAAAGAAATAAAGACACTTTGTACTTAATGCTAAATGTTTAAAATATACTTCAAATTTCCTGTTGTACTTTCCCAAATTGATTTTTCTTGAATAATCCAATAATATGAAGATAATTACATTTAAAGGGGTGATATTTACAGCAGAGATTAGTTTTTGGAAATAATGCTTTTTGGTTTTCTACTTGTCTGTCTTTCTGCAAAAAAAATGTGGTGGATTTGTCTCATCCGGTGACATAAAGTAGTAATGTGCAAGAAATGTGTGTTTTTTCATCTTCAAAAGTTTAAATAGGTACTGACGAAGTGTTAGAAACAATCCGAAATTTCAAGAAGTATACATTAAAGATGCTAGATTACCATGATTATATAAATGCTTGTTAATGATATCGAATCTATTCCAGACTGAATGAAAAAACTGTTTTTCTTGTAATTCAGTACTCACACGATAGTTGTTTCAAAATGACTTTTTTATTTTGTGTAATTTAATGTTCTTGTGAAAGTAGTTGTTTCGAGATAACTTTTTCTTCCAGTTCATATCTGAAAGAAACTTATGCACATGATATACACGTCTTATTAAGAGCCTATTGGAAACTCAATTGATTTCTTCCTTTCTTCGGAAGTTTTCCACATTTCTTTATATGAAGATGAAGAGGGAGAAATAGAAAGCCAAAAAGCTTTATTTCCATGAAGATGCTTATTCTTAACTAGTTCATTTGTGAAATTGTTGAATTTACTTTCATACTTCTTTTTTTTTAAGGATTCTTGCCCATCCACTGTATACATCAGTTGTTGAAATCCAGAGCTTTTGCAAAACACAATGTTAATATTAAAAGCTGGATATACAAGCAAATTTGCACAAGTGTCAGTCCTCTGCACCCCGTTTTAAGGATGTTAGTCGAAGTATATGTCAACAGTATCATATTGCCGAATGCCAAAAATTCAGAGCACACCAACAAGCCACTGACTGAAAATGAAATAAGAAAAGTAAGTAAAAACCACGTTTTCGAAAAAAAAATTGTGAATCTATTGTTATGAATATTTTTATCTATTATTGGATTCAATATTGACTCTATTCATTGGGATTGTGATCCACTCTGTTTGTAAAAAAGTTTCTGTTTTGATAGTTCGAGATGGTGAACTTTATAAAAGTATATTTTCAGGTGTTCCAGAGCTCCATTTTTGGTCAATACTTTGATCAAAAACAATCAATTTTCACAATGGATTTCGACTTGAATTCAGAAAACCAAGACGTTTATGTAGACAATACAAGTTTAACTCCACAGCTTCTGTTGTTGTACTATCTTCTCCTCTATGAGGATTGTAGATTGAACAATGCTCACATCCTAGCAACCTCTGGCCGTAAAATCAAGAGATATACTCCGGAGTTCATGTCCGAGTTGCCTATCAAATATTTACTCCATCACGCTCAGAAAGATCAAAGTTCATACTCAGGTAGTACAACATATAAATAGCATTCGTTTTTTTGGTGTATAACCTTCCATAATCTGAAAAATGGAAACATTCAAAGTAATAGAGAATCTGCTGAAGTGTACAAATGGCAGACTGTAAAGTTCACCCCAAAAAGTTACTGTATAATATAAACCATTGAGTCCAATTAATCCGTAATTTGTGGTATTCGTAAATTTTGCCTACGAATTGAATAATCAATGGAAAAATTAAATTTCAATCCTTATCTTTCTTTATATAATTGACATTTCATTAAATATTCCTTTTCTATTTTCAAAATAAATAATATATATTCTTTGATGCACATCAAAAAATACATAAATAACAATTTTTAAACCGTTAACCATTCAGAGACAACTACTAAGTAGAGGACTGATTTGTGACGACTTTAGATATTCTTGGTTTTGTAAGGAATTATTATTATTGCGAATATAAAGTCAACCGACTCAACGCAGGATCGGAAATTAAAGTAACTGTGAATTTTTGAATTTATTTATTTATTTATTTATTCAACAGGTAACCCCTAATTTTTATACAATTTATTAACCTTAGAAAGTTAACTATTCTAGTATCTAACTATTTTCGATTGTCTACCTGGATGTCATTCTAGGATGCAGATGCCAATATTATAAGATGATAATTAAGAAACCCTCATAAAAATCACCATGTTAGTTGTTAATTGCACCAATCAACATCATTCCCAAATACTTGTTCATCAAACTCGCAAATACTTCACGAAAAGCAGGTGAAATTGTTGTAAATTTGTAATTGCATTTTTTCGACAGGTTAGATTAATGACTTCAGACAGAGGAATTGAAACTTCAAAGAAAAAAATCACATTACTATAGAATATAATAGAATTCATTACATTACATTTTGGACAAGTCAGATTTACTTGGTAATTAATAAAAAATACAGTCAGAACTCAAATCAGATAAGGAGAAAATTGAGACATTCAGATTATTTATTCATTTATTATTCTCAAAAATCAATAACAGTTTTTCATTGAAATCATTTTCAATTCAAAAATAAAATTTTAAAATAAGTAGTATATATGATTGAATTAGCAGATACTTGATGAAAATCCATAACTAACGTATTCAAAAAACACTTTATTGTGAGATTTTCACTAAACAGTTTTACAAAAATGCAAGACATGTTTCGCCATACAATGGCTTCTTCGTTCGTGTCTTTACTCACGCCCGAAGAAGCCATTGTATGGCGAAACACCTGTTGCGTTTTTCTAAAACTGTTTATTGTAAACCTCACAATAAAGTGATTTTTGAATACGTTAATAAGTAGTATTTGTAACCTCTGGCGTGAAATTAATCTATTGAAAACTCTTTTCACTGATCAGAATAAAAATGGTGTCTTACGAATTAGGTTAATAGACGTAGATATTTGGTTCTTAAAAACATTTTTATTTTATTTTTAAATAAAAACCCCAAAAAACTTGGACGATAAAACGAAAATAATCCAAAGAAAATTATCAATATTGTAGAGAACCTTTCAAGTCACTATTTTGATGATGAAGAACTTGATATTCTGATCTCTTGAAATTTAATTTCACCTCTCCGAAGGAAGTCTTGGAAGATGTGGTTTATGTTGAGAGTGCAATTTAGTGCTTGCCCGAGGCAAGCCTACAAAAAACAAATTGTTACTAATATTAAAGCAGATGAGAGCAATAATTTTGGACAAATCTGATTACTATGATATAAATGATAATTCAATTGAAAACGGTACTTATAATGAATTATCAAAAAAAAACACTGCCTAAGATGGTTTCAGAAGTGAAAACTACAGTCAAGAAAAGTAAAACCTTGATCACACTGACTTCGGGCAAAAGTTTGCAAGTATCTCATTCTACAGTACCAAAAATATACGGTCTGCCAAAAATTTACAAACCAGGCAAGTCAGTGCAACCAATTGTTTTAGCTATAGGTTTCTCTGTGTATAAGATAGACAAAAGTCTAACAAACAGGTCAAAACTCTATTGATTCCGCAACCCCGTTTGGGTTTCGTTAATTCACGAGAATTCATCAAGAAAATTTGTGAGATAGTGAGATTTAGTTTCTTTTGAAGTAACTTCGTAATTTCCAAGTGTCCCTAAATAAAAAACAACCGTATATATGAACGATCTTTTAGAAACAAATCAACTAGGCAGTGAAGTAGTCGAGGAGTTATTCAGCTCACATAGATTTGCATGGGACAGAATTGCTTCCTGTTTTTACAAGCAACATTAGGGTACGGCAGTGGGCAACCCGTTATCTCTTTCCATGGCTAATTTGTTCATGGGCAAATTTGAAATGGAAGAAAGAGAACAGTTAGATTACTTTCCAAGAACTTGGATCTGATATGTGGATGATGTATTTTCCACACGAATAAGAGCAATGTAAAGAATTTTGTGACTTGTCTCATCAACAGATCTCCAAATATAAAGTTCATATATGAAATTGAAAATAACGGAGTTAGAATTTGATGTATATAGAAAGACAATTGAATACAACTGGCCGATACTTGATGAAAATTCATGTTTAAACTAATTAATACAGTTTTTTGTATGCTGTAAACTGTATCAATTAGTTTTTATATAGAAAAAATACTAGCACTATTAGATTCATCCCTGACAGCTCAAACCATTGTCAACTACAAAAAAGTCGGGACAAAATTTTCTTGTCCATAAGCTGGTTACATTCCCCTTGAGCAAAGAGAGAAAGTCATCAAGGAGATAGCTGAAAGTAACAGATATCCTTCAAAAACGGTGGAATTGTGAAAAGAAAATAAAGAGAATGTCTTCGTAAATCCTCTACTTTTCTTCCATACGAACGAAAATACACCAACAGATTGCTTCAGTTTTTTTTAGAAATTGAGTAGGAAAGTGACTTTTGAAACTACTCGTATCTTTCAACAAGTGTTGGGCAACCCGAAAGGCAATACGACGGAAAAGGAAAAGTCTGGGATTTACCAAATAAGTTGTGACAATTGCGATGAAAAGTATGTTGATTAAACTAAGCGGACTACAAGGAACATATTTCACATATTCGGTTTCATAGACCAGGAAAGTCCAATATTGCTCAACATTCCATAGAAAACAGCCACAGAATAAGTGAGGAAGCAGTTGAAGATTAGATATTAGTCAGGTAGCAGATAACATTAGGTACTCGTACTAGGTAATAATTCAATGTGAGATGATGATTCATCTAGATATATGTATGGAAACATTAGCGTAGTCGTTAGAAAATTACTCTTCAATCATCTCCTGATGATGCTAACTTGGTTAGCGAAACGTGCGTCGAGAGACATCATTTATGTTCTGTTGAGGGAAAAGTGTTTTCAATAGAAAAATTAAATTGTCACAATTTATTTTTCAAGGTTTATTCGGCCCTCTCCTAAAACTTCTCGCCACCCATTTCCCTCATCTAACGCTTGTCGAAGACTGGCTCGACGACATGGCCATCCGTACAGAATATAAGCCAGTTCAATTGAGTGAACTCACCGTAATTGAAGCTTTTAACGAAATTGAATCAAAACCTTCCAAGTGCGCGAAGCTCTTGCAAACATTGCTGAAACAAGAAGCTATTGACATTTGGCCATTTGTTGAGATAATAGCTCAAAACTCCAGAAACTTCCTGAGTGACAGTGTTCCTCGATATCTGCAAGATCTGTACAAAGATGTTTGGTTCAGGCTTAATACTGTGTTGCCGAGGAGGTTGTGGGTATTAACTTTGAAAAACCTGGTAGATCATGTTTCTAATTTGACCAGGATTGACGTAGCTGAGGATCCACTCCAGGTAGGTTGTAATAATTTTGAGATTATTTTCCAATTTCACAGTCAATTATTGCAGATAATGCGATGCGACAAAAGGGTTTTCCGTTGTGCCCCTTTATACTCAATAGTTCTGAGGGTTCTAAGGGCCAGTCTTGCTTCGTCCAGGAGTCAACTAATGCAGCACCTACAGTCTAATTTGAGGTTAGATTCGTCAGGTCAGGTAATGAGTGAAACTGATAGAGACGAGATGTGCAGAGCTTGTATTGCAGCTCAGGTAAGATATTCTATTTAATGAAAATTTAACTATGCAATATCTTAAAATTGTGTAAGATTCAAAACTGTCAATACTTGAGGTGTAACTATTAATTTTTTCAATCAGTGATAAGGTGAATATATAGTAATGTTGACATGAGAAGGTATTTCAGGTTATTATTATTATTATTTATTTACGGGTTCAAAATCCATTTTATTCAGTTCAGTTACAGAAAATACAAATATTTGAATGTCAATATAACAATACAAAAAACAATATACAGGGCTATTCAAATTCGTTTCTGTACATGGGGATCTCGTAAACGATGAGAGATTGAGTGTCGGTTAAACTGTGGCAAAGTTGCGTATTTTAGAGACCTATTCAATGATGTAAAGTAATCGAATATAGCTCTTTTGGTTCTGGAGATATACAGGAAAAACAAAAAAATCCCAAATAATTTTTTTGTCTATACCTATCTTCTTTATTTGCAGACATATTGAAAATCTGTCCACATTGTGTAGATTGTGTAGATGAACTACACAATTATGATACTAGACAGAAAGGCAAATATTGCGTTCCCTTCAGACGCTTAAATATTAGCTTAAATTCACCTACTGTACTTGGCTTAAGACTCTATAATCGACTTCCACAAAGATATAGATCCTTTTCAAACCGGAAATTTCTTATTGAAGTGAAAAAGATACTAATTGATCTGTGTCCCTACTCCCTAGAAGATTATTTTGAATTAATTTTTTAAAGAACAACCTGTAAACATGTATTATTTCACTATCCTATGTTAATTGTATTTTGTCTGCAATCCTTGTTATGCATGTACATAATTTATTTTATTTTATCATTTTACTCACTGTACTTTGTTGTATGTCTATATGTTTTTTGACTTGTCCTATAGCTGTATTTGCTCGAATGGATAAATAAAGAATTGAATTGAAAAAAAAATTTGCTATTGGCACTTGATGTGGGCTATCAGAATATGTCCATGAATCTCTTATGCAGGGTGTCATCTGACTTGGGCCACCCCCATCTTTGAATTTTTAAATACGGACCTGTATTTTTGTTGTAGTTTTTGTATCGTCGACGTTCACTTCATACTAAGAAATTAAATTAAATTTTATAATTCGCGATGTTTCGGTAATATTTGATTATAATTGGGTCATTTATTTCCTTTTAAATTACGGCCCTGGAAATTGGTTGGTTGACCGAGTTAAATAAAAACACAATAGCAACTTTCACGTCTCCATATGTACCGTAGAGTTTTTCTAGTTTTTTTCATTTTTAGGTAACTTTTCATATTTTTCTATTGCTCTACTTTACCTGAAATTATGAAGAGGTATGTAAGTAAATAAAACAAATACGAGGGTTACTTTTTATATATTGAGATTGAGGCAGGTCTTAATATAAATATAAGTTTACCTGATGGATTTGTTATTCCGGTGGATAGTTCATATAGAAAGGCCCTCCTAGATGAGGTCACAGTTTCATCGACCCATACTTTAGGGGTAGTATGACCAGCATTAACCCAGGTTTCATCCATATAATAAATTGTTCTCTGTTGTTCCCTATAATATTTAATATTGGTCAAATACTCTCTCCTCCATAACACAATTTCTTCTCTATCCAATAATAAATTATTGCGCCCTCGTTTTTTCCATACAAAATTGAAATGTTTCAAAACTTTATGGAATGTTGACCGCTTAAAACTAGGCAATAAAACATCTTCATTTATTTCTGTGAGTACTTTGTCTATCGTGGGTATTTCATTTCTGAAAAAGTACTCAGGCACTTTCCTCCTGATTGCATGTTTATCAGCATCATCTATTGATTTTATAATGGGTTGACGATTCTGATTTGTATTCGGTTTGGAAAATGTATGATTTTGTTTATATTCCCGTAAAACATTATAAATCGAAGCGCAACACACCCCAATTTTATCGGAAACTTTCGATACGACTTCGTCGACAGTCGATATCTCAATTTCTTCCATCTCTTTCTTGAACACATTTAAAATCACTTCTTTCATCTCAACACTCAAATGTCTTTTTTTGGATCGTTTCCTGGCTGGACTCAGAGGATAGCTCACAGTGTCATCAGCAGTGTCTGTACTGGACATTTTGGAAAACAATTTTAAACAATATACTATAACGCACGCCACACAAACACGCAAACGACTGATTACAACCCTGTGCTGGTACCGAACTCGTACCAAGAAGGCGAATTCACCAATGAACGCTGCCCTTTCCATCTGACATTGGGCGATCACTTGAACATCACGCTTCGGTTTTGTTTTGTTTTACTCTATCTTGGATTTGGATAGACTTTAGTTATGCATGATATGGATAACCCCGATTTTGCAAAATTACGAAATCTAATATTGTTTGTTTCATTTATTAGATTCCAAAAAATTTAGACAACCTACTTATTTTCAATAAAGCTAATATGACAATAAATAGTATTGTGTGTGTCTTGATATCAGGAGATATATTTTTAACGTCAATTTTAGATTATTTCTATTACTTTTAGATTGTGACAATATAGGACATTTTCTATTACAAAGTCAACCATAGATAGCAGAGTAAAAATAGTTATACATAAAGTTTTATTAAAACAACGATATACATTATTCTTAACCATGCGGTGGAGAATGATAAATATTGTCACATTCTAAGGAATGTCTTTAAAATGTGAGGAGTCGATGATATACTCTATAATATTTTTAAAAAGTCCCCCCTCACTTTCAATATACATTGTAAGCCACATATTAGTTTATTTATAGTCAAAAAATTAGCTTTGCTAATATTACGTATATCTTTCTTCTTTTCAATCTTGGAGTAATAGTTTCTCAGTGTTTCGTTTTTTATTGAAAATAAAATGTTCTAATGATATTTCATTGCATTCTTGGCTAAGGATGGTGATAACTTATTTAACGGTATCGGGACAAGAGCCACGGCGTCGAAGCTTTATAGACACGGCGTATTGTATCTGTTTTCAATTTTCAATTATTATTTTCAAAACATAACCTAAAATTTCAGATTCAAAATGAATTTATTCTTATGAATTTGTGAATAATTAATTTTGTTGTAATTACTATGGAAAGTTCAAATAGGAGACCTCCTGTACGACATTATTCTAGACGTAGGTCTAGATCTAGTTCTCCAAGGACATCTAAGACAAGACGACAAGACAAGGACTTAGAGGATTATAAATATGAACTCAAAAGATTTCTGGAAGAGCAAGCTGCTATAAGTAAACCAGATGACTTCTGGAGATTTTATCAGAAATACAAAAACCTACAAACTTTGAAAAGATCTAGTATTGATAAGACTAAGATTCTAAACTTCAATTTTCTTGAAAAGGTTTCCCTATTGTATGATAGGCTTCCTGTGCTAGATAAAAAAGGAAATAGAATAAAGATATCTTTAGTTGATTTTGAAAGTTTTCTAATCACTATTAAAGTATACCAAGATTTCCAACAAAAATCAAGTTTTGCGACACTCAAAAAACTTAAAATTGCTCAAAATGATCTACCGATTGCTCGACACAAAACAGAAATTATTGAAAAACTGAATGACAGTAGAGTATTGCTAATAGCTGGAGATACAGGCTGTGGAAAATCGACCCAAGTCCCTCAATACGTACTAGAAGCAGGTTATAGTAAGATAGTATGTTCACAACCTAGACGTATCGCCTGTATCAGTTTAGCTAAACGTGTTGCTTACGAAACTTTGACTGAATACAAGAATACAGTAGGTTATCAGATCAGATTTGAAAAAACTAAAAGAGCTGATACTAACATTATATTCATGACTGAAGGGTTATTATTGAGACAGGCCTCTGAACAAGACACTCTAAGTTCTTATGATGTTATTATCCTAGATGAAGTGCACGAGAGGAACTTACATGGAGATTTTCTCATAGGTAAGTATCTGAAATATTTGTCATATAAACTCTAAGTAACTATTTTATCAATTCAAGAAAAGGAAATATTTTCCACAGAATAGTGCTTTTAAATATAGTTGATTTTTTCTAACAAGTCTCTCAACAGAAACAGTATGATTACACAAATTCAATTTTAAATAATGTCATTTACTCAAAACTGAAACGATCTTCAAAACAAGCATAACAACAACACTATAAAACATGACAATATAGAATGATAAAATCTGAACCAGATTGCCAATGAGTCTGTTTGAAAATTTTGCGTTTTTATCGCTTTTGAAAATCTGTTTAAAAAAAAAATCAGCAATACAACTTTTTTTTATTAAGAACATGCTTTTTGAATAGTTTTTTTTCTGATTTAGCTTCATATTCATAAACAATAATAAACATATTTCTGTTGCAATTTTTGCAGAGACATTCCTTGTAACAGGTTTGACTTGAAAATTGTTTAAGTTACAGGTATATAATAATTTGCTACTTGTTATACACAGTATGTTTCACTTTGTGCTTCCATAGGAGATCGAGGTAGAAGAGTCAAGTTATCAAAAAATGTATCCTATAAAACTTTTATATATCAAAGCATTAGGTTTTTCTTAAATAAGAATCTTGGCATATCAAGTTAAGTAATACCGAATACGCTTGAACAAGCTAGGGTATAGTAAATTGCAAGTCGTGATTTTGTAAACTGTCAAGTGAAAATTTCGGAATAAAGTTTTATTAAAATATGTTTTGTTTTTCATCAAGTTTCGCCCGGTTCCATCACATGTATTAATTTTTTTCAATAATATATTGCTTTCCAAAACGTAGGTAGAACTGAAATCTCTGCCATAAAATTAATCTAATGTAAACACTTTTTCAACACTAGAACAAAAACTCGACAGAAAAGTCTTGATATACAAGCCCAGAGCTCTACTGCTACTCCGCAGAGATCATAACAAATTGGCGTGATATAAAGCTAATAATCAAGCTTCTTACTACTATCATTTTGTTATCAAGTGCTGAACTTTTGAAAAAATGAATTCCTTAGTAACAATTTTCGGTGAGCTACATTTTTTTTACCTTCAGAGTCCAAATTTTAATTTTTGATTTTGTTCAGAAACCATATATTTCAAAACAAACTTCAAAATACGCAACTGTACAGTTATGAATTTACAGTCAACTATTATTGGTTTACATCTGAGATATGGACCTTTTTACCTACTTATCCAATAGAAAACAGTCACTTTTTTGAAGAAATACTGTGAAAAGAAATTTAAGACATTTCATTAAAATAATATAACTTCAATAAACTATGCTTCTACTTGGTGCGGGACCCTGTATATTGGCGAATAATTTATAAAAGCTAAAACTTAGACAAAATGTTTTTCGATAACTTGACTCCTTAACCCTTAACTTTTAATGAAAACTCGATGTAATACACACTGTATGAGTGTCATATATAACTTAATGAGTTAAACTTACAGTAGTTCACAATGTGTGATATTTTTTTTGAGGTATAATGAAATGCTTGTTACATCAAAGAAAAGATTTCAAGCTAATACTCATGTCAGCGACCATAAACCTTCAACTCTTCACGAAGTATTTTGCTGAAGAAAATATCCAAGTGATACAAGTACCTGGTCGACTTTATCCAATAGAAATCCAGTACAAACCTATCATCAAAGACCCTTACGAAAGAAAGCGTGAGAAATTTGATTGTAGTCCGTACTTACAGATTCTGCAAATGATAGATGATAAATATCCTCCGCATCAAAAGGGTGACATGTTGATTTTTCTGAATGGTTTTTCTGAGATTTCTACTCTTTCTGACGCTGTGTCAGAGTACGCACAGTTGAAAAAGAACTGGATTGCTCTTCCATTGCACAGCACTTTGTCTTTGGAGGAACAAGATAAGGTAAGTAGAAAAGAAGTTAGTAAGTCTATTCAAAAAGACAACCCTAATATACAATACACCGTATGATAAAACTCAGGAACTAAGAGCATAATTGTTTTAGTTTTCACAGAAATTATAAAATAGGTATAACATAATTTAATCAATTGCATTAATTGATAAGGGCATTGTAAATCATTAATTTATTGCCGCTTATGTACTTTTAGGTTTTCCACTATCCTCCAGAAGGTGTAAGGAAATGTATAATTTCGACTAATATAGCAGAAACGTCTGTTACCATAGATGGAATAAGATTCGTTATTGATTCTGGAAAAGTTAATAGGATGACTTACAATACCAATGTGGGAGTGAATAAATTAAGTGAATGTAATATTTCTCAAGATAGTGCTAAGCAAAGAGCAGGTAAAAATAATATTAATAATAATCATTTCTTCTGTGATTTCCACAGTAATCAACACTCAATATAGCATATTGTTTCAATTCACTTTAAAAGACATTCAGTTATTCCCTTCAAGGATTCTCAAGAGTCTTGTACAAGATGAGGAAATGCAGAAGTCTTCTAAAGTAAAGACCCAACAAGTCAATAGATAAGAACTGAATTTGAAAAGAATCATATACATTATTTCATGACTGAAATTCACTAACTGCCTGGCCAACTTGCAGTTAGTGGCATTAAATATGATATATTGGTATTTTTTTTTTAATTCAAATTTTTTCTGTTTGCTTTTATGTGCCAGTTATTACAGAAAACAGTTTTTCTTATTCTAGCAAGTATCTAACTGATTTCAAGGTGCAAAATAATCAATCAAATCAATGTTTTTTTGTCTCAGTCATAATGTAATATTGATTTTTAAATTTAAGAAATGTATTTTTGTTTTCAGGAACTTCTCAATAATGACTCGATCATAATTCCCCAATTATTGAGAAATTTTAGTTTCAAATCACTGCAAATGGTTTTGAGTCTGTATTTTGAAAGAAAAATGTAAAAAAAGATCAACGTTGAGCCATACATTTTACTCCAACAGGTCGAAAGTCCAACACATATGGCAAAAATTTGTGAACTAACAGTTGGACATGATTTAATTTTGTCCATGTCAACAGAAAAGTTTTTCATTTATTCTACTTTATTGGGAGATTTTCACTGTCCAATGAATATCGCACAATAAAGTGTTACTTGAATACTTATGGATTTTCATCAAGTACCGATCAATTGCATCACATATGTTATTTTATTTAATGGCAACATAAAGAAGTGCATCATTTCATGTGTAGAAACCACCAATTATATAAAAATTATTTACAAGGCAGAACTTATCAATTCTCGTGGAAAATATGAGAATATGCATATAGATGGTTGTAGAGAGAAACGTGCATTTGTTTCAAAATAAATTATTTTTCAAGGTAGAGCTGGTCGTACTGGTCCTGGAACATGCTTTCGCATGTACTCGGAAGAAGACTTCGCCAATTTTGAGGCTTTTACTCCAGCCGAAATCCATCAGGTACCATTGGATTCGCTTTTGTTGCACATGATCTCGTTGGGATTGAGCGAAATAGCTAACTATCCTTTTGTTGAGAAACCGGCTGCCAGAAGTTTAGAAGAGAGTATAGAGAAACTAAAGTTCATCGGCGCATTGAGATTAGACAAAGAGTGTTTGGCATTGACGCCGCTGGGAAATGCTTTGAGTCAGTTACCAGTTGACTTGGCAATAGGTAATAGAAGAATATTGTTCAAAACAGTAACCTTGAAAACTGTAGCCAAATATGTTTTTTCTACTCGAATTATGTGAAAAAATAGCTAGTAAAGTAATTCTAAATAATTCATACAAAAACATTTGATTCAAATATTTATTTGATTTGATGGTCGTACTTCATATGAATTTTTTGAACTTCATAAATTATTCATATTCTTAGAAAAAAATCTTGTGTTAGCATGCCAAGAATCAATATGTAAGTCAAAAGCACACCATGAAAGGTGGAACTATTTGGGCAAAGTAGCAAGCGAAGAATTATAACTATATAGTACCGATCATTTCAATAATATTTACTACTATCTTCCAAACATATGCTCTAAGTACGTAGGAGTATTACTATTTACATCAAGGAATACTCTTAGTGATATACAGCAGAATTCATTTCTTTGAAAATTCACAAACTTGTAGAGATCTTTTAGAGTTATCGTTCTTAGTTTGTTATGTATCAGGTCTACAAAAGTCGAAATTTCAAGAGGAGGGGTGGTATGAAGTACATTTCAGCTTATGAAGTAATTTTTTCATTTTCAAATAGTATTTATAAAACCTTATATCAGTTGAGATATAGAATTTTAGACTGTCAGTGAACTAGCTTTTTCTGTAAACATGTTCATCTTTACAAAACAAATTTGTAACTTCTAAGTAGCTCACAATCTCACTGGCAAATAAAGTGATGAACTTTGTCTGTAGTTATTGAGTTCATTTGAAAAGTATAAAAATCGTAGCCTTTTCAACTTCATTGGGAAAGAACCCATTCCTTAAATAAATTAAAGTACTCACTCATGATTCTGTATTATTTTCTGGAGATTTTGATGTGGACAAGTCAGAAGTCTTCTAAATTAAAAAAAAATGATTTATGAAATAATTGAGAGGTCAGTTACATCTTGAATGACAGTTCATTTTTCCAGGTAAAATGCTTATTATGTCCACAATATTCGGCAACGTAAACTCTGTCCTCGCTCTAGCCGCACTTCTCAGCGTGCAGAGCCCTCTGACTCAAACTGCTCAAAGAAATTTGGATGCCCAAGACCTGAGAAATCCTTTAGAATCCAACCACGGTGACCCAATTACGCTCCTTAATTTCTACAAGGAATGGCTGACTATAAAGCAAACGTCGACAACCCAGCAAGGGCATTCCAAAAAATGTGGTGAGAATTCTAAATCTTGGGCCAAAAAACGATGTCTGGAAGAGCAGAGATTCTACGAAGCGACCAAGTTGCTTGAGCAGTTCAGGGACATCTTACACGATGCAGATTTGCTGGCCAAGATTGAAGATGAGAATTTGAGCAGTGCAGAGAGGGCCATCAGGCATGGGGAGTTGAAGCATCTGAAATCGATGCGGTATCAATTGAAGAATGAGACAAAGTCAACAAGTAGAAAGCAGCTAAAGTATGATATATACAACTTTTCAGATAAACCGGAAGATGGTGATAAGGCCGATATCAGGGATGTTGAGTTCAGAATAGTGAATGATTTTAACAGGTAAGGTTAACTAAAATGCCCAATGATAATTTTATTAAATCAGTTAGAATCGTAAGAAAACTATGTTGAAAAAATAAGTATGATGGATGTAAGCAATTTCAGGTTTGTGAAAGCAAAAAATTATACAGCCATATTTTAAATAATAATGATACTATGAAATTTCTTTACGTTTTCTTTGAATTTGATGAAACTGATCAAGCATTTAATTTCTTTTGGTAATTTATTAAATAATATAATTACCGCATAAGACGGATGTTTTTCTGACAATACTTATCTATGTGTTGGATAAATTATATCATTACTGCGAGTACAATAGTCATGATTCTCTCTTCAAATTTTGACCTATTTTTAAAAAGAGAAACAGTCCATTCATAAATATATAAACCTAATATTGTCAAAATGCCATTTTTTTTCTAAAGATGCTGCGGCAGGTTTGTCTGTAATTTTGAATATTTCAACTATATTCATATTACTGCAATACTCTATTCAAGAGTAGAGTGAAGTACGAGTGAGAGAGAGTGCTTATTTTGGATTCAAAAAATATTGTTTCATAAATATCAAGAGGATTTTGATGATAGTTTACTGGATCAGTACATTTGATATCCTCAATGATTTTCTTGGGTATGGAAAGCAGTTACTCATTGAAGAGGTCGGCAATTTTTTGGAGATTCGTGGCATACTCACTATTGAGGTAGTTAATTTTTTTTTCCACTCTGAGGAAACTGCTGATGTATCATTTGCCACGCATTGTTTTCGTAGTATTGTCTGATATTATTATATTATTCTGATGTGTTAGGAATGACACGTCAAAAGATAAGACCTCGTTAGTCCTTAGCACGCACAAGTTTCTCAACTTCTGAGAGTTGACGTTCGTATGGGTACGACAGCTGATTAACGGAAAAACAGATTTTAAATAGGCAGACAGAGATTTTTGATAACTTGGAACAGATCCTTTAATTTTTTTACATGCATCTTTAATGAATTGCAGTACACAGAAATTCTTCTCAATTGCTAGACCCTCCCAGTTTTCAGTTCATGATGAGTTTTTTAGTTAAAATAACTTTAAATGTCCGTAGGAAAAATATTTTTTCTCAATAAATGGTTTCTTCTGATATGTAACTGCAGCAAACAGCTGTCATCGTCATTTTTCCTATCATTCAATGGGAGTTTTTTTTTATTTTTCAGTAAAATAAGGTGATTGCTCCAAGAGATTTTATTCAAAACCTAATACTCTTGTCATTTGTCAATCTACATCAATTTTTTTTTTTGTAAATCGAGCAAAGATGCAATTGTATCAATAACAACAGTACATTTTCTCATAACGGTTTGGGTTCTTTTTTTGAAATCAAAGTATTGTTGTGTTTGAATAATGAAACCACTATAAATTGCAACTCTCTCATGAAGATACGGCGGTGTATTTGTGTTATTAACAATATTAGTTGTTGTTTTCTCTTACAGGTTGCAAAGATTGCTGAATGAAGCCTCGGCAGATAGCCATAAAGATCTTATGATGCTTAAACTAATCTTAACTAGCGGACTCTATCCCCAGGTAGCTGTTGAGGACGAGTTCAATTCTTCCAAAACTGTCTCCGAACGTCTTTACCACACCAAACATAAAAACTACTTATTCCTTAGGCCAATGAACTATTTTGCATTGAATCCTGAGATCCTGGAGTTGCACAACGACGACATTGAAGTACCGCCTCCTGGATATTTCAGCAAACGACCCATAAGTAAAAGACATCAGATACTTGTTTATCAGTCTATTTTGGAGACAAAGAAAGTTTATTTGGTGAATACCATGCGAATGCCTGCTTTGCAGACTTTGCTGTTGTTTGGTAAAACTATAGCTACTAACAGGACGCTGACACAATTTGTGGTTGACGATTTTTTACTTTTTGATGTTCCATATATTGGCCAAGGTATATTATGAATTTCTGATATTATACAAAATGACTCATTTAAAATGGAAGCACTTTCATGAAACATATATTTTTCAACCAATTGGAATTACTTTTTTTTATCAGAAAATCGTTTGAGTCTTCATTTCCAGAACTAACTTAGACGAGTCCAATAAGTTATACATTCTGTACTCCTTTTTGTAATAACTTCAGTGACGAATAATGTTCTATTCTATTATTTTTTAATATCAAAATTCGAAGAAAATGAATAGTGATTTTTCTTGAAAAATTTTGACATGAACCATTGCAAAGCTACATAAATCTGTTCATATATGTGATGGAATTGGCTGATACTTGATGAAAATCCATAACTTATTCAAGAAACATTTTATTGTGAGATTTTCCCTTTAATCTGTTCAGATGGAAAATATTGTTTTTTTTTATTTTTTATGTCGAAAAATAAAAGTTGGTCTTGGAAACGAAGATTCATTCATGAAATTTGGTTTTCAAATAGACTTCAATGTCAACTAATTGAAGAACAATCTGGTAGAAAATATAATTTTTTAAGAGTGTTTCCATTTCAAATGGAGCACACTGTATTTACAAAATGGTAAGAAGAGAAAACCTTTTTTGGAATAAACAAATTAATTTTACATTGAGCCAATGAAAAATTAACACTTAATCAATTTTCTAAAAATCAAATTTATAAAAATTATATACATTGGTCGTTTCTAAAAAAGAATCTCAATTGTAAAAATCCTCAGTATATTATTTTCCTTTTTTTTTAGGTAAAACACTTCTTCTCAGGGCAATTTCTCTTAGAAACAAATGGAAAAACAAATTGGATACCAAACTGCAAGACCCAAAAAACAACAAACATGTGAACAGAAAGGAAATTTTTTATTTTATTGAAGATCTCGTCAATTTCATGAGTGCAGAAATCAGTTATAACATGAAGCGGTTGCTACCTGCTGATCTAAAAGAAATATATTCTTTTGACACAAATTTCTTTGAAACTGAGAATTTCAACGGAAATAATCAAAATCCCTTTGACAAAAACTATACAATTGTAAAGAATTATGAAATAGGAGGAGTTAACGTCACAGAGAATGTTGTTTTCGATTGTTTGCTCCAAGAGCAGTGGGCCTGTGCTATCGAAGAAGAAATATTTCAGACCCCTTTGGAATGTCGTCACTGTAAGATGTCAAAGTTAGGGTCATCTCTTTTCAGCTTTATGCAGCATGAGACATTTTGCAAGGATCTGATGGTCGAAGAGAAAGAGGGAGAGAAAAATGAAGAAATAACTATTGTGAAACCAAATTCTAGGTTGTTTCACTGTCCAGTGTGCGATAAAGATTTGTTATTAACCCCTACTGACATTTTGAAACATAAAAAATTGTGTAAATGAATATAGAAATGTCTTTATTTTTATGTCACATCTGGTTTTAGATTATTAAAGGTCTGATAACCTCTTCTGTAAAATTAAACAAGCAAAATGTTAAAACTAAAAAGCTAATTAAGTTATTAAACAATGTATTGAATTTCTAGATTGATATAATAAGAGATAAACATAATAAGTATTTCTTTTTGGTGTAACTTTGAGTATTTCATCTTTTGGAATCCATATGAAAAATTAGTTTTCCTATTAAAAATGTTGCTATTAAAATAATTGTAAAAAGTCTTCATATCAGTTTCTGGTATTTTCAAACTTATCATTTCAAATATTGACAGTTTTGACCTATAGTTAATGTTTTGAATCATAAAACTGTTTGCAATATTTTTCTGTCACAACAGGAAGCAGCTGCTATCCAAATGTTAATAGAAACTTGTTCTGAAACGGAACAAGACAAAACTATTCCAGGACGACAGTGGGCCCTTCAAGAAGTCAGGTCACTGGTGTGTTGTTATTTGCATCAAGCTTTCATTGCTGATACCATGCTTTGCAAGCTGGTTCATTTTCAGGTCAGTATGACACCTCATGAGTAGGCGAGTTGTAAAATGAACTCATCAACCCACCATAATCGTTTTCTATTATTAAGGCCATCGAATGTCATCAATAGTTATTTATTATGCAAGGGAAAAAAGTATTAGATTTTAGCTCGAGGTTGGGAAAAACGACGATTTAATATTGAAAATGTGTTAGAGGGAAAGTCAAAAGACGATGCACCAAAAAATTCAACTCAGCACGTTTGTGCTGTCCACAGTGATGTGAACTGTCAGGAATATACCTGTACGTTCTTGTTTCTTTTCTAAATATATCGTATTCTAATCCTCCATCTTTGCTCCTCATTACCAAAACGTCAAGAAATCTCATCTTCCTCTTGAAGATGATCACTTGGTGGTCGAAACACGTGTCGAGGTGTGAAAATAACGGTTTGGTGTTGGGAAAAAACTCCAGTAATATTCATCAATAAACTCGAACTAAACGTCAATAAACTCCACTATAAGTGCAATTTAATTAACGAAAATTTAAAGAAGATTAAAATAAATTGAATTGGTAGAAGAATACAAATACCTAGGATTTGTTGGATAATACCGTGAAACTGAAAAATCACTCCAATCATATGTGGGTCTGTGTGTATTCGAATAGGTTTCCGCGGTCAGTAGTATGTTGTCGTTTAGTTCGGTTTGACCCGCGTCTGGAGTTTTGTATTCGACGTTTCGGCCCCGATTTTGGAGTCATTTTCAAGAAATTCATGCGATCTCAGCTAAGATCTCAATCTGCCTACAAGTCAAGTCACATCAACTTCTTGAACATAGCTCCAAAATCGGAGCCGGAACGTCGAACACAAAACTCCAGACTGTCACAGTCCTCACAGCTTCATATATTCCAAACTTTTCATTTTCCAACATCGTGTATTTTCAAAAAAAAATCAATATATAATACTTAAAATTCAAATATCGTTAATATTAACCTAATGTTTTGTTGTTTTCCATGTTCTGTAAGCTCCTATTTTCTATAAGTTCCTAATGTCAAACTCAAGTTCTTTTAGACTATCTACTACTATGAATACTCCTTTGCTGTCATTCAAGTGATTTGATAAAGCAGTTTTACTTTCGTGTTAAAAGTGTTTCATCTTTTAGTTTTGTCAATTTTCAATTCATTTCCTATGTTATTAAATTTCATAGAAACTCCGAAAGTTGTTCTGGAAGTTCTATGGGATTGAAAGAAAATCATTTTTCAAAACATTCAATCTCTCATTGTACCAAAAATCTTGATCTATTGTGTAATTGTATTTTATCAGCAATACTCTTTGAGACTACATCAGTGAAACTGGATATTTTTTTCAACTACACACAAAAATAAATCATCTTTTTTTACGTGAGGTTAAATAATATATCAAATTCAATATTACTATTTTTCCTTCTCTACCTAGAATCTACCAATCTCTCAACTCACTTTAAAATTGTAACAGAAAATCAAAAATAAAGACTTTTTTTAATACTGGGTGAATTTTTGTTTGTAATATATTATCAATCACACCCAATTTCAATACAATTGTTAACAGTACCATTCAAATGTTATTTCCTATAAAAAGTTAGGTACTATACACTTACATTCCTGATTTTATTTAATGTCTTTCACTGGTATATCCTCACAGTCTCATATTCACAACCAATAGCAATATAGTCCATTCTCAAAAAATCGATCTCAGGTTATTTCTTTTACCTTCAAACATATATTTCAGACTTATCCAAGTGAGTTACTAGAAGTTGTGATAAAAGGTGTACCTTCGATGCATATTTGCTTGGATTTCCTTCAGGAATTGATGCAGCAACCCAGTCTCAGCAAGCAGATATTTGGAATTCAACTACTGTCGCACATTAGCTTACAGTATGCATTGCCAAAAAGTTTGAATTTGTGTGTCCTAGCTCTGAATCTACTTTACGCTTTACTTGGAGGTATTGTTTTATTATTATTATTAATAATGTATAATTAATGTAGTTTATTGAAACCTACATCAGTTATTTCAAAAACTTGATTTTTTTATTCTGATGGGGATAACAGTTTTCTTTCAACATTTACAAACCGACTAATAAAAATTCAGTTGATTCATCCATTCATTTTTGTATACAGCAAAGACTTTGAAAAGATAATTGATATCGAGTAATCGCCAATAGGATTTTAAGTTGATATAAATAATGAACGCTATTATTATTTGATCTTTTTAAGTCAGCTGAGTTACATATACTAGATTGGTTTGACACCATGAAACCACATTACATTTCATGATCTCGTCATTCAGAACTAGTCATTCCATGATTCTGATCGTGAGCTGATTTTATTTAATTATAAATGTTCTTTTTTTTTCAAAATCTTCTGTAATTATGTTTATTTCATTATTTTGGAATATGCTCCTTATCACTTAGAGGTTTCCAAAAATGTTTCTGCAATAGTTTAGAATTAATTTCATAATCTATTTCTGTCACAATGTTCCTTCTCAACACCCATTTGCCAACTATTGAAAATAAAAATAGATGTTTTGAAATGTTTTCACAAAACAGTAGCTAACAGTTTCACTATGCAAAAGCTTAAATTTATTTTACTTAGATACATTTATCATTCAGTTTCAACTATCGGCCGAGTCAATCACATGTCAATGATAGTGGTATTGTTGTTTATTGTACTCTTCATTCTTATCTAATGTTTCTTTCCAGTCAAATATATAATCTCTATCTGTCTCCTTAAAATATTCTTGAAAAGTAATTAGTTTAACATTTTGTTTACATGGTTTTTTATGAAACTCTCCTGATACAATAAGAAAATCTGTGCTGGTGGGCCGTTGTTGAATCAAACTCCTTGTACCAAACGTTTCTTTTTCTACTGTGGCAGACATATTCAACTGAAACTTCGAGATACTCGTACTACCTTAGTCCTCGCAGGCTATGCAGATGCCACTGAAGATATCTGGCTTTCTATCGGAAATGTATCTAATTGTTCAAGAAAGCATAAAAAATGAGTTGAATCAAAGTAACGTTTTTTTTTTTATTTAATGCAATTCAGTTTTAGTTCAAAATGGCGGATTCATTAATATCTGTACTAACACACTTCACAGAAAAAGGAGAATGTCTGTAAACATTGCCAAAAAAGTGGTTAGCACAGTGAAATGTGCCATAATTTTAACAAAAGAAGACTTTCTCAGAGAAGAAAACAAACTTCTAAGACAAATCGTTCAAGACAAAGACATAATCATAACTGACAAAGAATCAATTATAGTGATGCAAAATAATAAATACTGGTTTCTCACAGTAGACTCATCCCTTGACATACCTCTAGATAACAGTAATCTAAAGAAATGAGGTCTGGAAACCTTACCAGTCTCTCCATAAATGAATCAATTACAATTTCCCCTGTGCTTTATTGAAGATTCAGGACATCATTCTCTTTCTTCCACGTTTTGTTCACTCCTTGTCCTGTAGAATTCCTGTTTCTCGAAACCTCCCATTTGAAATATCCTAAGTAGTACCTTACTTGAATTAGAATATCGCAAGTAACATTTACCCAGAATTTAGATCATCTCATTTATATCAAATCACCTTTGGAATATTTGTATGTACTTAGAATTTCTCAACATACTTGACATAAATTGACAGGGAAATATTTTTTTAGAAGAAATTAATTTTTGGAAAAAAAGCTTTTTGTATCTGAAGAAACTTCTATGCATGATCTATACATTTGTGTAATTAATTTATTTTTAACTAAATTGCTTTTATTTTTTATTCCGGAAGTTTCCCCAGTTTTTGTATAAAGACGGAGAAGTAAAAAGACAAAAAGTTTTTTTCCCATATTTGACATTATCAAGAAGGTGGAAGAAAAGGAAGAGTGAAATATTTTTTCTCCAAACGTGAAAGAAAGAACAATGATGTTGTGAACTCTTCTTCTGAGGACTGCTATATCCCCACACCTCATTCTCTTAGATTTATTTAACGTTTAGACATTTCAAGTAATGGATCTATTGTGAAAAACCAACACACCGGAAATAATAAAATCAGTGATGATTTTCGCTCTATCATAAGATAAGCATTAATTAAAATTGGAAAAGAAATTAAAGATAGATTTAATTCATTCAACTATCTTCATGGATGATAGTTGGAACATCTCTTGTTTATGCTTTTTAAAATTGGTTGGGGTCATTTTGTTGCAGTTTTCTCTAGTATTGAATAAAAAAGTTGTTATTGCAACTTTTTCAGACTTTCTTCGATGATTAGATACGTTTCCAATAGTAATCAAGTTATTAAATCCCACTTTTTCTGATAGCTCATAGTTTGGACTATTCTAGTATGGTATCTTATAAAGGGTATTCCATTTCAAAAACTAAAAAAAATGATTAAGTTTTGATTACCCTTTTATAAAAAAAAGCGCCACACGGTAAAATTATGAATGAAAAATATATATTCTCAATGATATTTGGTTAGAATATTTTACTATTCTATTTAAGCGAGGAGATATTGCGTATTGAATATACCCATTTTGTCACTAATTTTCACCATAACTTCACAACCACTCTGTATGAGCCCAAACAAGCATAGATTCTTGATAACTTATCTGAAGGTAATCAATAAGTGAAAATATATAGGGTGCTCATTCAAGAAAACAGCTTTGATAAACCAAACATTTATTGAACACTTTGAATTAAGGTCAGTTTCAAAACATAGTTTCCATTACTCTCTACAACTTGTATCCAAGACATTTTTATATTTGATGGAGAAGCACTCATATAGACACACATCGTTTATTCACCCTGTATTGATTTTTTTAAACTTTTGTAACTAAGATTGTCTAATGCTTGAAAACATTCATATTTTGGAATCCCTAAAATACATTTAACAACTACTTGAATTTTGCTACAGAAAATTGATGCTTAGTTTTCAAATTTACAGGTATATCTAGTGCTCAGCGTGTAAAACTATTCAAGCCAATTCTTCCTGCTTTGGTTCGCATCAGTGAAGCATTTCCTCCCTTAACAGACGATATTATCAACCTACTCATGCAGTTGGCTAGAGTATGTGAGTCACAGGCTTCCTTGGCTTCCCATTTTGACGCACATCTAGGCAAGGGTCTGGAAATTGCTTCCCAGGAAAGTGCGGAATTGTGTGATTTGACACAACGGACCTTCGCAGAAGTATTAGACAAAGCTGTTTTAAAAACCAAAGTTTATAAGCAAGAATGAAAAATAGTGTTGTGCATTTGGTGTTTTACCACAGACTTTGTAAAATTAGCTCCTCATTAGAGACCAAGAGTAATATCAAATGTTATGGAACTTGGTTGTGTATTGAATTTCGTTTCAATTGATTATGATTATTCAAATTTAGCTAATTGTATTTTGTTGAGATAAATACATGACTGCAAAAATCACGATTTAATTTTATCAGAAGTGAGAATTTGTAATCAAAAAAAGGTGGACTTGAAATTCCAGTCTAATAAGTACTACAGTTTCTCAAGAATATTTTAATTAACTCACATATAATCAATTCAAATCAGCAATTATCATCATTGTGTTATATTTCATTTAAAGAATGTATGTGGACTGTTTTAAAAATATGGTGAATGTTTAAATTTCGCGGGATACGTACATTCAATTAACAATTTTTTTATGTTGGTACACTCATCTCGAACATATGTTCACAGTTTCAGCTGTTAGTTTGTTGTTGCGGGGCATAGAAGTATGAAGTGTTTTGCGTGTTCGGCGATTTTCTGCTATCGAAAGAAATGATAAAAAATGTACACCAAATTTTGTGTAAAAATGGTATTAAGTGTTCAAAAAACACTTGAAATATTGACAGTGGCATACGGTGATTGTACTCTGAGTCAGAATAATATTTACAAGTGTCCTCAGCATATCAACAACTGATGAAAATGTTGAAACAGTGGAGAAAATTGTTATAGAGAATCGTCGAATCACTATTAGAGAAGTTACTGAGGATGTCGACATATCGGTTGGCTCATGCCATGCAATTTTTTTGTAAATTTTGAGCATGAAGCGTTCCGAAATTGCTGAATTTTGACCAATAAAAACCGTCGCATGAGCATCGCTCAGGAATTGTTGAATAACTGGTGACGAATCATGAGTATATGATTATGACATCGCAACCAAAGTGTCCCAGTGGAAGAACCCAAGGAGAGCCAAGACCAAAAAAGCACGCCAAGTTCGATCAAATATCAAGATTTTGTTTTCTTCGATTACCGAGAGGAGTTCTTACTACATGGCCTTATGGTCAATAAGGAGTATTATCATGAAGTTATGTGTCGCTTGCGAGAGACAATACGAAAAAAACGTTCGGTATTATGGAAAAATGAGTCATGACTTTTGCATAACGATAACGCACCTGCTTACTCGTCATTACTTGTTTGTAATTTTTTGGCCAAAAACACCGCAATCATGCTTCAGCTGTCATATTCACCAGTTCACAAGATTGAAGAGACCCATGAAAGGACAGCGTTTTCTGACGATTGAGGAGATAAAAACTGAATCGTTGAGAGAGCTAGCTCAAGGACTTACGTTTCTGAACTGCTTCGAAAATTGGAAGAAACGCTGGCACAAGTTTAATATATCTGAGGGGTACTACTTCAGAAGGGAAATAGAAATTGATGAATGAATATTTTTTTTTTTTTTAATTGAAATTCGCCCTATAATTTGAACAGACAGCGGCATTGAGAATTTTTCTCTGTAGCCTATTATTGCCTAGACTGAATCCTATTACTTTTAAAACTGGAGAGTAATAGTATGAGCGAAAATTTTTTGAATGATTATACTTGAATTTGCTTGAAACTGTAATGATTGATGACCTATTTTTTTGTAGAAGTTCATATTGACTATTGCATAAAGAAAATGTCTAATTTCTACTACGATCAGTTTCGGTTTATCAAACCATTTTCAAGTAAACAGTTATTTTGACAAACAAGTGCTTAAATTTACAATGATACAATGATTGGTACTTTAGGTACCTGAAATAACAAAATTTCACCTGAATGATCAATACCTTATCTGAAATACTAAAACAATAATTATTAAACTTCTATAACATATCAAAATTACAGACTATTGAACCAAAAACACCACTTGTGGATTGCTCCAAATACCAATGGTTCCTGAACTAGTTTTCGAAATGTACAAGGAAAGAGCTGTATAGTTCCAGATGGTCATTAATGGTTTTGAAATTGGGGTTTTTATACACTTCATTTATTTCCAATGCTTCCAACAATTTCATATTCTTTCCTTTATTACACGTATGAATAATCATCAGAGAAGGCTTTGCCAGAAGAAATGAAGATCAGAAAGCAACTAATAACCATATTCCACTCAATTTAATCGAGAAACTCATTTCAAATAAAAACCAAAAATTGATCAGGAACGAAATATATCTAAATCATGAAGAACCTGAAAAAGCTAAGAAATATGCTAGCATAAGCTATTCGGGAAAGCTCCCCTAAAACATAAAAAACTATTTCTTCAAGATTTAACATAATTACATCATTTAGTAGCAAGAATAATTTAGGGAACATGTTTTTCAACACAAAACCCAAAAGGGAAAAATCGGACATATGTAGACTAGAATGTGGTGACCGTTCAGCAGCTTATACGGTCACACAGGCAGAAATTTCAACATAAGATACCATGAGCAGTGAGCACGTGTTATCAGATAAAAAATCAGCTATATATGAACATCTAAAAGAAATACACAATAAATAAAAAAAACATGGAAAATCGCCATGTGTGTGATAAAGAAAAGGAGATGAATTTGTTGGAGGCATTGGAAATAAATAAATTGTATAAAATCCCCAATTTCAAAACCCTTAATGACCAATTAGAACCAGCTCTCCCCTTTTGAATTTGTGAATTTTGTCAACTAGTTTAGGAGTAATATTTGGAGCAATTCACAAGTAGTGTTTTTGAAACAGTAGTCAGTAATTTTGATATGTTTTAGGAGTTGAATAATCGTTTTGGTATTTTAGATAAGGAATTGATCATTCAGGACTTGTTTGTCAAAATGCACCAGTTTATTTGAAAACTGTTTAATAAACAAACCGATACTAGTAGAAATTAGACAAAAGTTATTTTCTTTATCCTATATTCAACTTTCAACCTCTTGAGGAAAGAGGTTTAAAGTATTAATCTACTTTCGTCCCATCTAGAAAAATTATTTGATGTTCTTGAACACAGAATGATTCATATCTGCAAAAAAGATGCATCAGTCATGAGTGATATAACATTTTGTAGATTTCAGAAGCACACTTGCAGTGGTTCATGTAATTCTAAAAATGTATTTTTGTTTAATAAGTTCTACATGTGTAACATGCTTTACCATTAAAAAAGTCTTACTATTGATTGTTTAGTTTTCTCCAAGTATTTATGCCTAAAAAGTTAGCATGCCATTGAAATTATTCGTTTTAGTAATTTATTACTGCACACCTTTTAAAAAATTAATTATAGCAGATAACTCAAGAGTGACCATAAACTTCATTTTATAAAAACAAGATAAAAAAACAAAGAAATGCATCAATATAAAATAAGGTTAAAAAAATAGAAGAACCTAAATGATAACCAAAGTAAGCATTGATTCTGTGTTTATCGAAAAGTGTGTGAAAATGTCATTTCAGGCAGAAAAGGCTTGAAAGTATTAACTATATGTCCAACATCTCAACTAACTATAATGCAATTAAAACTGATCTGTGATTGATGAAACATTAAGAGAACAAATCCGAAAAATACCTAATAAATAAATAAGCCTTAGAAATGAAAAATTTTTCAAAAGAATTTTGTTCTGAACTCGATAGGCCTCAAGAAATCTTCCAAATAATGAGTGAAATGAAAACATATAGAAGAAATGGCATAGATGCAGCGGGGAAGTGGCCTTTTAGGACACACCCAGCAAAGTGTAATTAATTGATTGACGAAAAAATGCCCAGTGAAAGTATGCATTTTCAAAGCCAGGTGTAGTTTTATCAAAGCTATCTTCCGGATTTGTTGGCCGTGGTCTGCAGAATTTTTTAAACCTTACAATTCATCTATGACAAAGGCAATAGGTAACGAATGTAGTGCCCTGGTTGTCCTTGCAGCAGTTACCCTCTGAATCTGCAGAGCTTTTTGTAACTAATTAATACAGTTTATTGTATTAATTGTTATTATTAATAATTATTATTGATGTTTGAGAAAGCTATTGTATAGCGAAACACATGTCGCGGTTTTTGTAAAACCCTTTATAGTGAAAATCATACAATAAACTGTATTAATGAGTTTTAATATGAATTTTCATCAAGTATCGGCCAGTTCTATTCAATTAGAGATTTTTATGTCTAAAAACGTGAAAAATAGCTTTAATATTCAAAAAATAAATAACACAAAATAAGTGAGAAAATCATTCATTTGAAATAAGGCAATCAGTAACTTTCTCAATATTATCTGCGCTCTGTAGAAATAAGCACCTACTTTCAATCATTACCTATTTTAACATTTTTCTTCATTTTCATATCTTACAATTACTTCGAAATTCGTTATAAAAATATTTTGCTTAATATCAAGTTCATTAGTATATGTCCTTTCAGTCTGTTATATTTTTGTCTCAGTATATTTTGACGATATATATTTTTTTCATCAGAAGCAGTTGTTTTTTTAGAACTTTCTGCAAAGTGTAAAAATTAATATCGAAAAATTACCGTCCCCTTCCTCTTGAAACTTAATTGACGCAGGTTATGATTAGCAACGCATAGGCATTTGCCTATGTCCCAGTTCGTCCCTGACGATGAAAATGTGAAAGTATGCAACAGCCCAGTGAGTTGCTGTGAAGTGTAATTTTTTTTCAATATTGATGGGATAAATTCTATATTTTAATTATTCTAAATTCTATTGATATGGAAAAAAAGTGTAAAAACTTCTTGCATTCATATCTAAAATTGATTGGAGGGTTTTCTTGTTTATCGATTTTCAAGTACAAAAGATATGAAAACAAAGTCACTTTAAAACTTATGACAGGGAATAATTGACGTATGACCATTATAGACAATTATCTATGGGTGAGGGAAATTATCAATTGAATAGTAACATAACAATTATAAAATATAATGATATTTCAATAAATTACAGAATACAACAGATGGAAGAAATATAATGAACAATAAATATCAAAAACATATTAATTACATATATATAATTTATACAATTGTATATCAGCTCAAAAAAGTTACGTGGTCAATTCAGTAATTAAAAAAAAATTACTCAATTACAAAGCAAAGATATTGAAAAATTGAAACTCAATTATACAGTTTATTGTGTGATTTTCACTATAAAGGGTTTTACAAAAACCACGACACGTGTTTTGCTATACAATAGATCTATCTCTCAAGTGTTAATGATAAGTTACTTCTAAATTGAAATAATTTTATACTCTGACATATTACCTACTTGTTTGCCTACTTTCTAATGAATTAATATACCCTATACATTCATTAATAATAAACTTTATTTTCATATTCATATAGTTAATGAAGTTATACCTGACCTTTGCAGGTAGATTCATTCATTAAAAAGTAGGCAAACAAGCAGGTCATATGTTAGAGCATAAAATAGTTGTAATTTAGAAGTAACTTATTATTAACGCTTGAAAAAGCTATTGTATAGCGAAACACGTGTCGCGGTTTTTGTAAAACCCTTAATAGTGAAAATCATACAATAAACTGTACTAATGAGTTTTAATATGGTTTTTCATCAAGTATCGGACAGTTCTATTCAATTAAAAAATTGTTCCAAAAATTATTTCATCGACTGTTTGACCTGAGGATCGTTTTCCAAAAACTTCAAATAGCTCACTCTGACGAATCCAGCCTGATAACCTGTAGCGAAATATAAACTTGCTTGGCAATTAGGATTGTAACAAACTTTGTTGGCCTTTTGTAGGGAATATAAAGTGGGATTCGATACTTCTAGGTCTTCATGGTGACCAGTGAATTTCTTCTGAAGAGACTCTGGAAAGTCATTGAAACTATTCTGAAATTTAAAATTTTGTTAAAATATTTATTTCAAATCAAATCAAAAAAATGCTTTATTACCCAATATTTGAACATCTTATTGGCAAAGTCTAGTAAAGTATAACGTGAATATGGAACATTAAATTATCAAATACAAGCTATAAAATAATGCTTAGGGACAAAGGCAGCATATATGGACAAAACAATATTAAGCCCAGATAAACAGATACAAATATAAGTACATGAATGAATGAATATTGAATAAATGTAAGTATATGCTCTCTCCATTGATATATAACTTATACAGCTCTGATATTTATCATCACCACTTCAGGCATGAAGCATATATTCTCCAGTATGCAGATGACACCCCCTTAATTGCTCACGATCAAACGCTAGACAAAGTTATTAACAATTTGGAACATCTTGCAACAATAACAAATAACTGGTTCAATAAATGGAGGCTCTAGCCAAACCCGTCTCAGTTCATCATATTTAATCATCGGAATTCCGCAACTTCTCCAACATATCTTACATGCCAAATCGACAGTTGATTACCTAGGTGTTACGTTTGATTCCAGACTAAATTTCAACAGCCATGTCAATAACAAAAAAAAAGAAAGTGATTGCAAGAGCCGCATATTTCACAAGTTTGACAAACCCAGGAGCAGGTGCAAATGTAATAACATCAAGCCGAATATATAAACTAATCTGTTGTCCACTTATTGAATACTCGCACCCACCGTTTCTCAATATCAAACAAAGGGCCAACGTGACCACATTTGTTTTGTTGATGTTGAATCAATCAATCAAACTGTACTTTATTGTCCAAGAATAATTATTCTTATTGACAAAGTGAGTAGATAACAATGAAGTGGATATCCACTGTGTCCAATACATATGAGAGACAAAAAATATGAAACACAACCATGACAAATAGAATGATGACATTCACTCACATATATTCGAAACTAATTACAAAACAATATCTAGACATGAAGTTGATACCTATATCTTTATGCAAATATAAATGATTAAAAATGGTCATTGTAATATTCCTGCAGGTCATAATACGCTTGCTTCAAAATGTTCAGGCAAATGATTGTACTTTTTTTTGCTTTCGTATATTATTGAATTTTTAATTTGAGTCAACCTAGGTATTGGCAGGAAGATATGGCAGTTATTTCTGGTGTGCCTGGGATTTAATGGGTTATCATTCGATAAATGTCGGTTGTGAATCAAGCATACAGTCTCCATAATGAAAAGGCATGTGAGCGTAAGAATTTGATGCTTGATGAATAGTGGTCTACAGTGATCCCTTGCTTTGGCCTTGTACAAATAACGGATTGCTCTCTTTTGTAGAATGAACACAGAATTCCATAAGGTTTTCCTACAAAAACCCCAAAAGGGTAGTCTGTATCTAATATGTGAATCTATGAGTGAAAAATATGTGTTTCTGCCAATAGCTGTACCAAGCTCGTTTGTCACTACTCTAATAGCATAACAGCCCGATGCTAGTCTTTTTTTCAAGGACGTTATATGTTCCTCAAACCCTAACTTTCTGTCAATGTGTATACCCAGGAATTTAGTGCTCGTTTTGTTTTCTACTTGATGTGTTCCTAAGACCAAGTATTCGAATTTGAAGGTAATTATATTAGTTTTTTCCACATTGAAACAAAGATTCGATTTCGCTGAGTTCATTGGAAATAACTGTTTTTAGAACATATACATTTTTTCCATGCCATAGGATAGTGGTATCATCCGCAAATAATGTGAATCTTCCTGTGATTGGTAAATATGTTAGATCATTAAGGTATAATAGAAACAATAATGGTCCGAGTACCGATCCCTGAGGAAATCCTGATTTGACAGGAGAATAATCCGAACACTTTCCGGAAATTTTCACAATTTGTTTCCTGTCACTAAGATATGATTCAAACCATTTGTAGACAATTCCCCTGAATCCATAATGATGCAGTTTACTCAGCAGTACTCTGTGATTGCTATGCCAGAATATAATGGTGTCGTCAGCAAAACATGAATTTACCACTTATGTCAACATAGACTGAGTCATTGACAAAAATGAGAAACAACATCGGCCCCAAAACGGAACCCACAGCCAATGAAACGTTCCTCTTGTGAAATTCCATCTAATAGAACATTCTGTCACCGATGAGAAATGTATGTCTCAAACCAAAGTAATGCAGATCCTCTAAATTCGTAAACTTCTAGCTTGCGGTGGTAAAAAACATAGAAATTTTCAATTATCTTTTCTTCAAGTAGTATGTGGTCTACACAATCGAAGGCCTTGGATAGGTCACAAAACATGGCCGCCGCAGATTCTCTTCCATTAAGATTGGTGTACAGGTTTTCCAGGAGTGAAAATATAGTGTCTTTTGAAGACTGAAAGTCAAACCTTCAACGAGACAGGTAGCTAGGCCTAAAATTAGCTGGGTTGTCAAAATTGCCTCGTTTATGTAGAGGAATGATTGTGGCAATTTTCAGACATGATGGAAACATACCTTCCCTGTCGGGAAGAGTTATCAGGATTTTCAAGGAAATAGTTACATAACTACAAATATAACTACATACTGTATATACTATATATATAACTACTACAATAACTACATACCAATTTCAAATCACAAAAAACTAATCCATATTTATGCTTTGCCCCTCCATAGGTTAGAGGCTCAGGATATTGATAGCTAGGAACATTTTCCATGGTTTTAAGTAAATCATCTTCAGTTCTGGTTACTCCTTTGAGAATCTTTCTCTTATTGGCATACTCAAGTGCCCCAACTTCTGGGGATTTATGTTTGTCTACTAATTTGGTATAACTAATAATCTGCAAAAAATTGATATTTCAAGATACACAACTATTAATTCTTATATTCCAGTTTAGATCTACGGTTCATTTTTAAAAAGTGGTGCAGTAATAAAACCTCTTTATGTATGTGAAACCCTTAAAAATGTAACTTCTATTTATTCCTTCTCATTTTCTATTGAGAATGGGTATTTTTGTCCCCACACAGGAAGGTTACCCCTGAATTCACATGATTTTAAAGGTCTGCCTATTTGTTACCATCGAGTAAATTGTCGCAAATGATTTAACAAGCGTGCGTTTGGAAAATGGTTAAACATTTCAAACAGATTTGTGTCAAATTATATTTCTCAAACACATCATTGAAAAAGTTAATAATATAATAAAATAATATGTAAAACGTTCTATTGTCGTCACTTTTTAACTGTATTATTATTGGTTTAATAGTTTCATCAATAATGTGTTCCAATTCCCATTTCTTCTTCTTATTCAATCAGTAATCTTTAGCGACTTGCCATACTAGCTCAATCGAATACGATTCACAATGATAAGAAGGAAGTCGTTGCACTGTATTTACATATTTTTCAAACTTACGTTTGTCTATTTGCAAAATCTAAGAGTTCTTTTTTTAATAGGTTTTCTGGAACGTTTTCTAAATGAAACCAATCTAATATGTCCATTTTGCGTCAACTACTTTTTAGCAGTTTCTTCAGTAACCTAAAATGATAGCTTACATTGTCCATTATAATGACAGAGTCTCTTGGAATCATTTTTCCAAAGAAGTCGTTAGTCCTGTCTTCATGGTAGTATCCACATAGCTTGGAAACAATAATAAGAGGCCCCTTTCAACAAATCTTTCAGAACTTTATATGCCTGATTATATACAGTTGACCATCCTACCTGATTTGCCTACGGCTCACTGTGTATGTTTGTTCTTTATTCAACCAAGCTTCATCCAAATAATCTATTCTTTTCTTTCCTAGTTTTTCAGATACTCCATAAATATTTTATCCTCCACGCCACAATATTGCATTTTAATAAAATAGATTTTCTCCTGTATTTTTTCCATTGAAAATAAATGTGTTTACAATTTGTTCAAACTGTGATTAGGCTCACTTGGGATCATGGATATTCTTGTATAGCTGCACAAATTTAGTCCACTCTTTATTGAAGAAAAAATCTTCAATTTCTCCATTAACATCCAATGGTGGTCAACCTGGAGTTATTGGCGGTATAAGTTCAATCTTCCTCTTGAAGACGATCACTTGGTGATCGAAACACGTGCCGAGGAATTAAAAATAACGGTTTGGTGTTGGAGAAAAACTCTAGTAACACTCATTACTACACCAAAGGTTCCAAACAGTGCATCATAAGTATTAGAAACATCTGCAATATTCAACTTCCACCTGATTCCACACGAATGCCCCTCCAGAAGAGTAGCACAAACTTATAAATGAAATGGTACTTAAAATTACACAAACCCTTTAATTGATTCAGATATCATTGCACTAATATCCACGTGTGTAAACAAACATTATTTTGAATTCAATAGCACCATATATAAAAAAAGGAGTCTCAAAATGGAAATTTAAAAAATTAATTTTTTTGTTACAAATATGTGTATACGAAGTTTTGGCCTGTTTCATAGGTACACATCGACAATTTCAGTAATTTCTCCAAATTATCAATTCCATTCACCAAAACATAAAATTCACAATAGTGAAGTAAAAATTTGAAAGATATGAATTGAAGAAAACGGCGGTTTTACATAAACTGCATCTATGATATTGACAAAAGACTCATCCACAAATATCAAAGATAAACAAGGTTCCATAAGGTGTTGTGTTCCAAAACCAAGATTTTCAACAGATCGCCTCGAGTTACCTCGTTTATCTTTGGTAATCGTAAATTGAGTCTTCTGTCGATCCCATAAATGGCGATTTTGTAATTGAAAATGCATCAACGTTTTCTACTCAGGCTTGTCCTTTAAGCACAGTTGTGTCCAAAAATGCACCATAGTTTAGTACCATCTATAAGACCTAAGGTAAGTCAAAACACCGCTGTGTGGTGTTGGATCATGAATGCTTTGTTTCTGGGCTATAGTTTCAACTACATAAATTATAGAATGAAATATTTCGTTATAATCTACGTTAGAAAGCATATGTTACTTATACGATATGGAAAATTCGTGTTTTTCAAACCAGTAAAAACTTGTTTAAATTTAGGTACTTACATATTTATTCAAGTACTTTTGCTTCACGGAATCATAACAGTATAACAACTGGTGTTGGAAATTGGCCACAATTTCTCCACCTGAACTACTGTGAACAAAGCCATTTAACCAATCACTGGACGTAATACTGGTGATTGTTGTTGGGGAGGAACCAATTATGGTTGGAGATGATAAGTAGTTTCGATGGGGATAAATTGTAGCATGCGCCAAATCTGGAATATGAAATCGGTGTCAGGAGAAGATGAGTAAAGGCCGACTTAGACATACTAGTCTTTATCTCTGTTTCAATTTCAGTCTGAAAAAGTTCAGTGTGTATGTTTCCACAAAGTTATTTATACGTTTTATCGTCCTTGTGTGTGTTCTTAAATTGTGACCTTGAAAATTACTGTCAATAATGTGCAGGTCCACAAACAGGTACTTCTTCAAGAAATCAAATTTGTAAGAATTGTATGTAAATCACATAATTACATACCCACTGGTAACACTGAATGTGACATTTTACTAGTAACAATTAGGATTGAAATTATGCTGAAGAAATTAACCAGTTTTGAACATTACTGAAACAGAGAGACTGAAATTGAGATGAAGAGACAAGGACTATAATGTCTGTCCTAGCATTTATCTGAATACTGGAAAAATTATTAACCGACTCACGATAAATAATTGTACAGTTGGGACAAAGAAAGAATATATATGCGTGTTCGATATAATACGTGATAAACCAAATACTTTTCTTCAACAAGTAAAAAAAAAGACATAACAGTTAACTTTTGTGTTTAAAAAGTGAGAGCTTCATTTAAACGAAGTAAATTGAAGAGAGATAGCTCAAGAAACGTGAGTCATCGGCAATTTTTTAGATTTTGAGATCAATTAATAATAATATTTATTTATTTGTAGTTCTTTATTACATATAAACACAATAATCATTCAATCTATAAAAGTAATAAAAAAACTACAAATGAGGCTAGAAACAACGTTCATATTATTTACATATTTATTAAAAGGTTTCTATGGTTTATCATGATAATAAATTTTGACCTCCAATTGAAAATGACTCTGTGTGAAAAGGTTCTAAACTGAACTACTGCAACATATTTCTAACAAATTCATTGCAAATAAGATAACTCATAATTTTTGGAATAATAATTAATTATTTCTTACTTATAATTTTGTTATTGTATATTAGAAATGTATCCTATTCACCAAATAAATGTTATTACATTGAAATGTTCAATTCTTAATTTTGGTTATAAGATGTATTATTACTATTGATCAAAATACGTAAATCAAGTTGACGATACACTTTTCAAAATTTGCAAAACGAATGATTCCATAATTTGCCGCTATTTATTCGCTAATTAGTTGCGGAAGAAAATATTTTTTCGCCCCTTTTTTTTAAAAATACATGTCTCGCTAACATGATATCAAGTTTGCGATACGACTTTTTTATTATTAAGGTTTCCAGAACTTTGACTAGACCATTAGTTTAGTATATTTATTTGCTAATTAGTTACGGAGAAAAAGATTTTTTCGCCCCTTTTTTAAATAAAATACATGTCTCGCTAACTTGATATCAAGTTAGCGATACCACTTTTTTATTAAAAAGTTCTCCAGAACTTTGACTAGAACATTGGTTTGGTATATTTAATCGTGCGGAAGGAAATATTCCACTTAACATCGATACGACTTTTTTATTAATCAATGTGAAAACAGCCACGAGTTCCAGTCATGGATTTGTCGAACCAACGCGATGCGAGAGATCTCCCATGAATTAACTCAATTACCTAAAATTTACTCCGATGACATTGACATTTTTCCTCAGATGTCGGACTTTATATGTCACAAATATCGAAGTTTCACAAAATAATCAATAGGGCTGATGAATTTTATATAATATACCCAAAATGGTAACATGGGGTTTCTTCAATGAATTTCGAAAATAAAAGCAATTCTCCAGTAAAAGGTTGAGTTGTTCAGAGCCACATTGTTTCGTTTTTATTGCTTTGCAGGCTGAATTGTTCAGAGTAGTAGCAAAATTTTGTTTTCATTACTTTATCGGCTTAGATCGTATGCAGGCCTATGAAATCATTCTATTGTCCCAACTATATCTAGTCAATCACTGAATACAATTAATATTATCTTAGTATAAAGATGTAATAAACAGTTGTATTTGAGATGTCAAAACAGATATATGTGAAATAATAAAGAATCTGAACCGATAATTCAAAAATATTTATGCCAATATGTACATAATTCTTGCTTAAAAATACTCATCAATCCTGGAGATAAGTACTTGTAATGATTGTATGTTTCTTGGGATCAATAATCGTTAACTAATGAATCATTTACATATTTTGATAAGTTCTTCGGCTAGTCTATGACCTTGCACTCATAACAAATAGTCTAGGAATATTGCTGCTAATACAACTACAACTAGTTGACTATTATTATCCTTTCCGCTGAAAAGTTCAGATAAATGAGAGCAAGTTGAAGAAAAAAAAAAAAATCAAATTTTCAATCTCCCCAGAACGAATATTATGAAATTCTACAGACAAACGTTTCGATGTTAATTCAAGGAATCTCTTTTAATCAGCATATTATTCACAATCATTACTGAAATATCTCAGAAACTATCAAACTTGTATAAAAAAATCAAGATCTTCAGATGATGTGGTGCTAGTTTTTTCCGGGTTTTTCTGAGCTGAAAAAGCAAATGCGCCACTGGAATCAATAAAGTCGCCCCGGAGCGCCAATTAATTTTTGTTATTTCATAATTTCATGATTTGTATTACTTTCTTCTTTAATATAATTACTTATATATTATGGCGACAGACTTTGAATAAAAAACTGCTCATTTCAAATTTGCTCAGACTCCAGAAATAAACTTGGGAAAGAAAAGTCTCGATTTTCTACTTCTCCATCTTTATACAGAAAATTAATCTCTCCTAAAATTATTCAAACTGAATCAAAATGCTGCCAAAACAGCCGGAAAAATTAACCAGGCATTTGGCAATGATAGTGTTGATAAACCCAATGTTCCAACGTTGATTTACCTAATTTCGATCCAGGGATTTTAGCTTCGAATATGAGCCCCGAAGTGGTTGATCTACAGTAATGGCAAAAAAATTGGGCCTCACCACCATAAGGTTTTTGATGGTTTGAAACGTATTGGGAAGGCAAAAAAGCTCGAAAAGTGGGTGTCCGACGATTTGTACGATCGACAGATATTGTTACGTTACGAGTTCCCTTCTTTACGATCCTTTTTTGGATCGGATCGTCACGTGTGATGGAAAGTGGATTCTCTATGACAACATGTAACGTTCGATCGGTGGTTGGACACCGATGAGCCACCAAGGTACTTCCCAAAGGCAAAAACCCACCAAAAAAAATCATGGTTACTGTATAGTGGTCTGCGGCTGGTGTGCTTCACTATAACTTTCTGCAACTGTTGAACGCCGAAGTTCTGCCTCGCCCACCATACTCGCCAGACCTCTCGGCCACGGACTACTATCTATTCAAGCACTTCGATAACTTTCTCACTAATCAGGACTAGGCAAAAACGGACATCATCGAATCCCGAGAACACAATTTTTATGCTGAAGGAATTATTCAACTTATGTTAAGTTGACAAAAATACACTGATTGAAATGGCTTATTTCGATTAAATTAAAATAGAAAGAAAAACTAATTTGGAGTTTATAGAGTGAATTTGAGTACAATAAATAGTTTGATATAAATAAGTTTAATGTTAGTTTCAATTTATATTATTTTTTCTTTTTTTTGCAAGGACAAACACAAGCACTACAGAAAAATCCTTAAGGCGTTCTAAGAGCGGTGCCTGTGCGACAGCACGATTCACATTGGATGTAAATCGCTGAAGATTAAATTTATTTGAAAAGATGTCCTGAGGTTTATATTCTGTTAATATGCGCAAATGTAGTGAACAGGAGAGCCGGTTTCGAATAACGGGCAAACATTTTTTTCATTCAGGTTTTCTTTCACACCTCAAATCCACTGTTTCATATTGACATTATAGGTATTCTTTGTTACAGTAATTCGCAGAGATCTAGATAAAAATATGATACTTACTGTTAACTGAGCTACTTTCATCGCTTGTGATCACATAAGATACCCAGTTCGTTAGCCAATGACCATCAGTTACTATTTTCTTGACGTTTGTGGTTATCGCATGAGTTATTGGCAAATCCCACAACTTCACAGATCTATCGAATGAACCAGTCAGTAAATATTTGGTGCCGCCGTCCAAATGAATCAAGGAAAGAACTGAGTGACAAACAAATATATTATAAAAATTTCAAATGTGGCCTCAGACTCAAGTAAATAAATCCAACTAATGGGGTAAAAGGCATGATAGTTTTTTTCATTGTCTCACCTGAGATGTAATGGCTGTGTGCTTGGATTATCTTACAAGGATATATCACATCTGTATCTTCATCAAGTCTTAGCCTCAAAAACGGTGATGTAGTTTGCAAATCGTATAATGCGACCATACCATCCGTATAACCTACTGCGACGTGTCTGTGCCCTGAAGCCTAAAAAAATTTAATCATGTTCATCCAACATGGATGTAAAGACCGTACATGGAAAATAACTGTATAACCAAATAAAAACTATTAGATTTCTCATCTTTACATAAATTCAAATTTTGTGCCTTTTCATTTGGTCAAAAATAAGCTCAAACATTAAAATTTGACTTTCAAAATCACTGGTGACCTACACAACAATTTGACAAGATATTCAGGCAATCTAAAGTTAAATCATCTAAAGGAATAATTCGTTCCAGCCAGTCTCAAGTCACCTACACTGTAGGTGGATGGACTGAAACGTATCAGAAAACAACTACTCCCCTGGCTAATACTACGAAGGGCGTTGGATTATATCTGACAGGTGTCAGTGCAGGATTCTTCACAGAAGTAATTACTGCATATGCTGTTGGCGATACAACTGCCGGAATTTATTACATGCTCCAATTATTTAAGTAAAAACTATTTGATTATATGATTTTCTCCTCAATATTTCCATAAGACAATTTCTAAAAGTGCCAATTTATATAATGAAATTGCAGACACCAGATTTATTTACCAGTAATTAAAAAACATCACATAATCTACGCATATAAAACATGCAAGTTCAATTTCTATACATACATCTATAGTACCCAAAAAATCTGCCAGATGCCTTACAAATCAACGTTTCTCATTTTTCTAGTATACCTATAACAGCCACTGATATGTAAACTCTCAATAATAAATCAGCCTGGTTTTAGATCTAAGCAATCTTATGGAGTGATTTCAATTCACTTTATTTTCTTATACGTATGTATCTCTCCTTGATAGTTTTCACTTTTGATTTCAATTACCTGTTGCTAGATAAATGAAATCTTCAAAAATAAATGTATGCAGTAACAGTCTTTAGAGTTCAAATAAGCTTTTGGGATGGTAAATTGTGTGTATTATTCCTTTTTTATTTGAATGATATGCATTACTGACTTAATTCTAAAGCGGTTCCTAGGTTCTAAAGCGTTGATCCTAGCTCAATGTTTTCTAAATTGTTAACAAAGGAATTTCATTCCAAACGCAAGAAATATTTTTTTAGATTTAATCTTCACAAATGTACACAACTTAGAAATAGTAACACCAATAGATCTTCTTTTTTCAAATAGCATGCACCGTATGAGTTATACTTTTAATATATTTAATTATGAAACGACTCATAACTTAGAATACACAGAATTCTATTATGACTTTGGAAATGCAGATTGCCAAGGTGTCAATAACTATTTGTATGCCATAAATTGGAATAATAGCCTAAATTTGGCCGATATAAATGAGGCAACCACTGAATTCCATCACATTTTGAATATGGCAATAGCCTTGTTTGTACCTGTGAAAAGATTAAAAACGTCCACTTTTCCCGAATGGTTTAATGCAGATTTAAGATACCTGGTGAAGCAAAAAAAATTAGCCCACAAAAATTTTATGCTTAGCAGGAGTGATCAAGATTATCAACTCTTCTCTAACTTGAGAAGTGCTTGCAAAATTCATTCAAAAATTTGTTATGAAAATTACATACAAGGAGTTGATGCCACGCTCAATTCAAATCTAAAATATTTTTGACAATTTATTGATGACAAGAAATCTCATGGTAGTTTGCCATCTATAATGTATGATGAAAATTCTATTGCAACAAATAAGGAACAAATTGCAGAATGTTTTGCTGAATATTTCTCATCAGTTTACGACAATTGTCATGGTGAGTTTGACGATCACCCTTGTTTGAATATTAACTCATATTTTTCTAATCCCAGTATATCAGCTTCGATAATTGTTTCCCTAAAAAATTGTATATACTCCATAACTCATCCTCTGTACCTTCTGCTCAAGAATTCGTTAGATCAGTCAGTTTATCCAAATTGTTGGAAACACAGCTTTATTATTCCAATTTTCAAATCGGGTGACAAGAAAAATATACAAAATTATCGAAGTGTGTGCAGCCAGTCATCTATTCCAAAATTGCTTGACAGTATAATTTCAGATCAACTTAACTTTTCATGTAGGGAAAGATTGATTAATAACCAACATGGCTTTTCTCGAAATAAGTCGACTGCCTCCAATCTTCTCATATATGAGCAAAAAATATTGAATATGTTGGAAGGTAGAGGTCAGATGGATGCCATACACACAGACTTTTCCAAGGCATTTGACAGAATAAATCACAATATTCTATTGAAGAAGATCGGAAATTTCAGTTTTACAGAACTCTTGGTAAATTGGTTTGGTAGTTTTTCGACTGGTCGTTCACAACAGGTTAAATTTCGTGGATGCAAATCGAGTGATATATTAGTAATATCTGGACTGCCACAAGGTTCACATTGTTCACCCCTGTTATTCAATATTTTTGTGAATGACATAGGATGCTGTTTTGAAAACAGTGAATTTTTAATGTTTACGGATGACCTGAACTTTTCAGACTGATAAAGTCTTACAATGACCAAATTCTTCTTCAAGATGATCTAAATAAGTTTATGAATGGTGTGTTACAAATAACTTATTTCTTAATGTAAATAAATGCCATTTTATTACTTTCTCAAGAGTTGGTAGGAAATTCGATACATCATACAACATAAATGGTCAGCACTTAGAATACACTTCCTCCATAAAAGATTTGGGGGTCATTTTTGATGAACAACTCAAATTTGTAAACCATATTAACCAAGTGAGTGTGAAATCATCCAAAACACTGGGTCTTATTTCACGTCATTGTTCAGGATTTTCCATTGAAGAAATGAAAAGGATCTATTTAGCTCTAGTGGTGTCTAAGTTAGAATATGCATGTATCATTTGGTCTCCATTTTACAATGTGCACTGTGTATCTCCAGAAGAGTGCAAAACAAATTTTTTTGAGATTTTGTTCTTTTAAGTCGGGTCTTCAAATACAGTACCATGACTATTCAAGTATATTACAAGAAATGGGGCTGAAACTATTGCAAGACCAGAAGAATTCATGCAGATCTATGCTATGCATTCAAGCTGCTCAATGGACTAATAACTTGTCCTCAATTATGTCATCATACAAATTATGGCGAACATACACCCTTGGAAAGAACCCTAAAGTAAGTAGATGACAAAAACATCAGTATTTTTGGTGTCTCTCATGGTCGTTTTAGACAATCATTGAATAATTTAAGTTAGTAATTGTTTACATGAGGTAGTTACAAGTTTAATTTTAATTCTATATCCTATAGTATTTTATAATGTTATATAGTTGTGTGCTGCAGAAACATTCCGTAGCGTTTTAGTTTATATTTTACATTTTTATATTGTACTTTTTTTTTTCTGTGAAATGTTTACATTGTAATGGGGTTTATCCCGTATAAATAAATAAATAAATAAATAAAATTGTTTAAAAAAATATGTATTTCAAATGTGTTTTTCCGCTAACCTGGTGTTGCCCCCTCACAAACGACAAACCCCGAGGTTGAAACTCAGAGACAAAAATTAATGTAATCTCACCTTTTAACTTGCCATTCCTAGACTAATAGTGATTATACATATTCATTTAAATATAAAACTGAACTATTTTAATAGGTGTATTCACTGAATGTTTATGTTTTTTAATTAAAACTTTAATGATATTTAACATAATTATTGCCATATTCTTTTTTTTGGTACTATTTCCATCATCAACAAATGCATTCAATTGAATTTCAACAATCTAATAGTAGTATATCAAAACTCAACCCAGTGATTCAATTCTTGTGTAATTTGCCTTTGTGGTATTAATTTTAATGCTTTGGAAACTTAATTGAGGTTTTACCATTTGTAAGTGAATAAAATGTTGCCATTAGAAGCAGTTGATGAATTTGGATATTCATTATTTTTATCAAGTGATCATCACCTTTCCAACAAAACAAAGTACATTGGTCAAATAAAACTATAAAAAATTAATTAGCAAAATGTTATTAATAATTTCGAACACAATTTAAAAGGATATGATGTTTCAGTAATATTTTTAAAATATTAGTGGATTTTGATTTTCCAATTGCCTGATGATTTTAGTACTTCTGTGAAATCAGTTGTTTTTTCCCCTAATATTATTTCAGTTTTGCTTTTTCAAAATAAATTTTATTTGGATTGATGTCATACTATATGCCTGTCTTCAAGTTTATGTTATTGATCATCAAAAGAAATAATTTTAATAACATACCATATTTAAAAGGTGTTACTCAAACTAAATATGTAATTATACTTACTTTGCTCCAAGATATTCTAGTAGGATAAAAAGGGTCATCCACCTCACTCAAATCGCGCATTATCTGCAACCTCAACAATGGCTTCCCTCTATAGACTAATTCCCTAAAAGTAAATTGTTACTAACGAGTATTATCATAACATATTATTATTACCTTTGTTCCTCTGTTACCTTTGGGATGAGATAAATATATACACAAAAATCAGACCCAGCTACAGCCAATAAACCTGTTCTGCCCACTTCAGATTCTGTCTGATCATAACATCCAGAAGGGCACCATTCCAGATACCATATCGGACCATAGTCAACGGCTAGAAAAAACAGCAGGCTTGGTTCAGGGTATGGTCCTTTATTGGCTAAGAGTCCAAAGTCCCAGAACTGTATCACAGACGGTTCATTGTAGTTGCGTTTTACACTGTATTTCCCATCGAAATTTTTGCCCGCTGCCACAGCTAATATTTGATTGGCATTTCTAGCAGTGTAAGGAGTAGGTAGCCAGGCCAACGCATTAATTGGTCCACCACAGTATATAGTAGTATGAACTGAAATGAAGGGAAATATTAAAGAAAGTTTTAAGTACAAGCTTTGTTGTGACATTTATCTATTTAAAAAAAACATATATTTTTTCTCAGAATTACTTATGTACATACATATTGTACTCTTATTTATTTGCACAGGTAAATCTTATGACAAGCTTTTTTATCATATAAATTATGTGATGTAATAAATCTATTGATTTGAATTATTTTCAAACCTGATATATTTTTTTCAGAGCCTGATGAAAAAAATGTGCTTGAAAAGATGTTTTACTATTTTTTTTCATCCAGATAATCCTTACTGAAATTTGAAAACCTCACTAAAAATTTCTTTTTTGTTTTATTGGGGGTTAAGAGCAGTGATGGGATCATTCAAATTAAAAATAATCGGTCATTCGATTATTGCAATCACTCGAAATATCTCAAGATGTAAAATGGAATCATTCGAATGATTCAGATCATTCGAATGTTGAATGTATCAAATCAAATTAGTAGTAAGTGAAATAGTCAAAAACAGTATTAAAGTCTTGCGCCGCTATGCAGCAGTACAGTGCCTGGCTATATACTGACATTTGTTTGTAGGATGTTGTGAAATACAGGTTTGGGCTGAGAATGTTCAGAAATTTGTTGACGATAAACTTTGAATGAGTACAAGTACAAACTTTATTGAAATTTAATGGTGGCTTGTTAAAATATATTAAAAACATAAACAAGAAATAAAAGTCCTCACAAAAATGAAAATCAATCAAATGTTGGTTTAAATTGGTAGTGTTACCAAAAAACTTGCAAATTCGACACTGAATTAACTTGCAAATTCGACATTGAATTTGACCATTTTCTATTTTGTCGAAATGTTCCCAAATAATAAATTTCTTAGTTCTAGGCCGCATTGTTCAATATTAAAACAGTAATAATAACGAAATGAAGGTATCAACTACACAATAAATAAGAGTAGAAAAAATAATGGAATATATGGGTAATAACAAAAATTTCGTTACAACGCCTTCGAATCCTCCAAACTGAAAAATTATTGACACTGTTCAGTGCTCTCTGTTTGTATTCTTAGTGCGACAAATTCAAACAATTTTAACCCATAAAGTAATCCAGTTCATTCCGAATTTCACCATTCATGTGGGCGTTTCACATGGCACATGACCTCATGAGCATCGAGTGATTGCGTGATTATTGCTCGAATCGCCGAAACTCGAATTAAATCGGTGAGTGACGAGTGATTTAATTCGAATGATATTTCGATTTTTGGGATCACTCGAGTACTCATCATTCGATTCTCAGAATCATTCGATTATGCCCATCAATAGTTGAGCTGAAAATGAGGTATTTTTTCGAGTCTAACATCAGAATGAAATATACTATCTCAACTTGAAAAAAATATGGTATTATCATAACTCAAAAAGGTAATATTCGAAATATCTTTAAAAAAATTGTAGGATAAAACATCGAAGACAAAAACTTAGACTGTATTTGAAAGCAGATTAGAAATAGTTGAAGAGTTCCAGATTGGAAAGTACACATCCTATATTACATTTACACATGTAAACTCCAATTTCTATATTACACATTCATGAACGATATCAATTAGTTTGGATTTGCATACCAGTCTGTCTATCCAGAATACAATTTGTCTATATTGTAAATAATTCTAGCCACTTCTAGTAACAAGAGCACTCTTTTTGCATATCACTGTAATTAACCCCAATCTCTCATTCACTTTCCACAATATCCTTTTAGACATCAATGACTTCACATTGATAAAGTATTTCTCCTTATTATCAATAGGGTAATGGGGAAAAATTCAAATCGAAAGTTTTTCAAATAGCCCAAGAACTACTTCAAATATGTAAATTTTTATTATAACTTCAATAGCCCTCATTTAAGAAACTTGGAAGTTTTGATCATATTTTCATAAAAACTTTCAACATAAATTATTTCAAAATTACCTCGACATTAATAACACCCCTTTTTTTAAATGAAATGAATAAAAACACTTTTGTCTAAATACCACTGGAAAATTTTATTTTACGACCGGTTTTGGGTTTCATCCCCGAATCAAAACCCGGATCAAATCCGAAACCGGTCGTTAAATAAAATTTTCCAGTGGTATTTAGACAAAAGTGTTTTTATTCATTTCATTTAAGTGATCATGAATTACCATAAAGTAAACAAGTCATCAATCACACATATTACACCCCTTTTTATTGTATGAAGGCATAGAAGGACTAGGTACACATTTTCTCAACAATAAATTTAATTCAATTCCGAGTGCAAATTAGAATTCAACAAAATTTCGACTTCACTGTCAAAACTTATCAATATTCTGCGATTATAGTCGAAATTTTGTTGAATTTCGACTTCAATCTCGGAATGTTTGTTCAATTCCGATTTCAATCTCGGAATAAACTAGGAATTTAAGTGATTTTTTTTTCAAAATAATTTGTGGTCCTTCATACTTTTGTGATTGATAATGTGAAAGATTATATTCAATAGAACTTATTATCTAGCCTTACCATCTTCACGAACTACTTCAAATAAGTCAAATTTTCTGAATTCGGTTTCTTGTTCTAGTATGTTTTCGAATCCACTAACACTTTTTCTGGCAACATCACAAGATTCTTCATCCTCTGGTAGATATGTCTCCACCAACTCTTCAGGAAGAAGCTCCCACCGCAAATTAGAGTAACAGAAATTATCAAAAAGTGTTGGCTCACTATAATATTTTGAACAACTGAAAAAAAAAAGAAAAATTCTACTTTTGCTATTCAGTAATTATTTATAAGTGAAATTTACGTATTTTTTCAAATGAATATACTTACAACTCCCAGGTAGTACTGAATGCTTTGGCATATAACGTTCTTTTTTTCTTTGGAATATTACAGATAAATGAGGGTTTCACTAAAAAAAAAAAAACAAATGTTAATTTGTATGTGGTGGAATCGACCGATACTTGATGAAAATCGGTAACGTATTCAAGAAACACATTATTGTGAGATATTCATTCAACAGTTTTACAAAAATGCAACACGGGTTTCGCTATAAAATAGCTTATTCAGGCGTGTCTTTACTCCACGCCTGAAGGAGCTATTGTATAGCGAAACACGTGTTGCGTTTTCAAAAAAATGCTTAGAGACAATCTTACAAGTGTTTCTTGAATAAATGTTAATTTATTAATATATAGAGGAATTGAAAACTCACCTTTGAAACTACTATCTTTGAGTAACTTCGATGTATCATTTTTTCTCTTGATTTTCTTAGTTGTTTGTTCGTTTTCATGATATTCTCCTGATAAGGAATCTGTTTCCATTTCACAGTCCTCGATGGGTAAAAATAAGTCATGACTATCTGTTATATGACTTCTAATATCTTCCTCCGACAATTGTATCACAAAACATTCCGTGCAAATATAAAACTGGAATTCAGAAAAAATTGTTGACATTTTCAGCCTCAGCAGGGTATGTGATAAACATTGGGAGTGGTAAGCACCATCAGTTCCAACATAATTGTATGAGGAGGGTCCTCAGAAACATCCAAAGACTTTATAAAACAAAAAGTTTATCGATTTGATTGAAATCATGCAGGAACACATTTAATGATAACAATATTTCAATATTCACATCTATTTATCTATATAAATTACCGACATAAGTATATGTCGGTCCGTTATATTTAGTGCCAAAAGTATTCAACAAATTAGATTTTTTGATGAAAAAGGCACCAACTTTTTTCATATTCAAGACTAGGCTGAAAAAGTGCCTCATTGAAAACATTTGCTACAATATTTAAGAGTTTTGGATTGAATTTTAAAGTGTTGTGTTTTTACCTGTTAAGTGTAATTTGTTATATAGTTACATGACCATTGACGTCTTCCTTGTTATTTTATAAAGATATTTTCAAATGATTTTATACTTTCAAACAAGAGAAATAAATATTATCACTATTATTATTCAAAATAAAATATGTCAGAATACTCTTTGAAGAGTTCTGTGGAAATTACATTATTTAGTTGAGGAATTTTTAGAACCTCCAATCATAATATTCGAAGATTTGTTGTATTTATCTGATAATACACCAACATTTTGATTTTTGTCTAGGATGAGCATACTTATTTATTATTATGTAAATATTTCAAAATGAAAGGTTATAACAATACTAATTGTATAACTATAAATAATAAAATTTAGTTTCAAGTTTTAACATATATTTTTGAGCCAAAAGAAAGAGAGAGTTCATAAAAACTATACATAAATATTCGTTTGAAGGTGATTGACAATGTTTCATGATGAATTTCACTAGTTCGGACTTCCATTGTCTACTATATGAAATTATTTGAAATCCCTGAAACAACTAAAAAAGAAGAATAAAAAATGAATAGCTGAAAATAACAATTATATTAAGCAAAATAAATGATAGTGAAATAAAATACAAGTAAAAATAGAATAATTGAATAAACAAAAATAAAGAAATGAAAAAAGAAAATAAAAATAAAAAGTGGAGAGATTCCAAGTCACGTTAGTTCACGACGTTTCGATTGTTAGCATCTACAATCGTCTTCGGGTGATGACTGGGACTGATACCTCCGAGAGATGACTATTTATAGGTCGTTCGAGCGAGGGAAAACCAGCAAATCAGAAATAGCAGACCATGTTTGGACCCATCAACACAACATCGAGTGGTCCCAAGCTGAGATCTTGCACAGAGAGGGACATTGGTTTAGGAGAAAATTCAAGGAAGCCGCATACATGTTGTCTAACAACGTATTCAGCTAAGCAAGCGTAGAAATACGCAACATATGGAAACCCATCATCAAGCGAAAAATGGCCAACTCCCGCCAAAACGGTCATCTCCCACGGAACCAGTGAAGCGGAAAATGGAAAGCGGGGATAAGTGAAAGTACTCGAATGACCTATAAATAGTCATCTCTCAGAGGAATCAGTCCAGTCATCACCCGAAGACGATTGTAGATACTAACAATCGAAACGTCGTGAACTAACGTGACTTGGAATCTCTCCACTTTTTATTTTTATTTTTTTTTTTCATTTCTTTATTTTTTTTATTCAATTGTTCTATTTTTACTTGTATTTTATTTCACTATTATTTCATTTCAGGTTTATTTTACTTAATATAATTGTTATTTTCAGCTATTCATTTTCGATTCTTCTTTTTTAGTTGTTTCAGAGATTTCAAATCATTTTATATAGTAGACAATGGAAGTCCGAACTAGTGAAATATATACACAAATATAACTTCAGCTACTCTCTATGAGTAACCCTCAGCTTTGAGGGAGTTATAAAATCTCAAAAAAAGTGAGGGCATTACCTTAGCATACAAACCCAAAAATAGATGAAAATATTGAATCAATAAAAAAAATCAAGTTAATTTTGACTGATTACCATCTCCAATGTTATCTAAAAACATCTTATACTCCGGTACACAGCACACTTATATTCTTTGTCAAAGAAAGAAATTATTGTCTTAGTTACCTCCTCCGGTTTATTCGAACAAGAATTCATGTGGTCTACAATTGTATCCACATTATCAGTCCAGAAAATACAATTTTGAAATTTGCACTTTATTGTCAGGCATTTTTTCAATTCACTTTCTAAAAGAGCAATCACAAACTGTTCCTCTTTGAAGTCCACGGGATTCTTTTTGTATGCCTAGAACAGGAAAAGCGGCTATAATATAGTAGGTAAATTGAGACATTGACGCAATTTCAGCTAAAAAAATAACCTCATTATTTTAGAAATTTGATGATCACATCCAAGTTTACTCACCACTGTTTGTGATTCGTCCATATTCATTGTTCTTTTGGTCAAGGAATCAATGATCAGCAAAGCACTGAAAAAAGAGACAAAAATTTTATTGCATTCAGTAGCAATGTTTGAAAAAACTTTATATCAATGTATAGTTACAATATCGAGGTTCAATCATTCATAAAATTCTCCTTCTGACAAATTTTAGTCATGAAAAACATATTTCAAAAAGTTCTAAAAACAAACATGTTAGACAAATAACAAAAACCTCTGAACTGAAATACACACACAAATACTCAAGTTTGGACTGCAAAAACGCATTTGAACAGTGAATCTCAAAAAACAGGGAGCCATCAGAGCAACTTACTAAATGAAAACAATCTGTAAACAACTAAGTAATATTGGTTCAAAATGGGTGGAATATCAAAATAATTGTATCAATAATCATCATAATTAATGACTTGTGTCAACTGAAAAAATTAATGTGTTTCATAATTGAATACTGACCCTGAAAGGCAATAATCCTTGGACGATTTAAAAAAAATTCTTCATATGAACATAGATCCGCAACCGCTTTCTTTCTGAGATACAAGATGTTGAAGTTCAACAAAAAAAATCGTTTCTCCTCTTTGCAATTTTTTAAAATTTTGGTACATTTAGCATGTAGGCATAAAAATAAATGTTTCCCATGGTGAAGGTTTTCTAAATGTTCATCAGTGACGTACCTGTTAACATGCCTTGCCATTGTTTTTATCAAAATCATGATACGTCACTTTCTTTTTTAAAATAAATATTATTTTTGTAACTGCCCTTTATCTTCTAATAGAAATGATCTCCTGTCCTTTTTCATCCGACGAACGGTTTTTGAGGTAGGAAATAAAATGCATTAATTTGCTTATCCCTATTCGATTTTTTCTCTTACTCTCAATTTCACAATTGAAGTAACCAAAGAATCTAGGCAAGATTTGTATTTATAATTTTTACACTGTTAATGATTCATTCAGTTTTTGTAATGAATACACATAAAAATACACTTTTTATTTTCAAAAACAAAACTATTATGAACAAAAATTACCAAAATCAAATTAACTGTTCAAAATGTCAGCTTTCTGCAAGTGTGCAAACTTCAGCTCTCCTTCTCATTGAATTGCGTACTCTTAGGAATATTCCTGGAGTATTCCTTCACAGAAAACTTACGCGGTTTCGTATCCTCCCTCAATTTCGATTGGTTTACTGTACAGCAGCCTTAAGATTTCCCCAAAGAAAATAATCATAATTGTTGTCTGGGAATCTAGCTAGCCACGACTGTTTTAGTTTAAATATTTGGGTGCCAGAGGACTAAAATGAGCAGGTGAACCGTTGTGCCTAAACCACATGTGATTTCACATTAAACAAAATTGGCATATTACCTTCAAGAAATCAGCGATAAATATATCCATTTAATTTTCGTGGTAAAAATGTCCAATTAGGTAATCTCTAATTGTTTCAACCCAGACATTTAATGAGAACTGCTCCTGGTGATGAGATTCCACGATTGCACGAGGATTTTCCTCTTGACTGTTTCAGATTCTGTTTTTAGTATAACTAGCTGTCTATGAATAAAATTTCAATCTCAAATAAAGGATTTTCTGAAACCTTTCGGAGAAACCACTGGCAGAAATTCACTCGTAAGGGAAAGTCTAAAGGAAGTAGAGGCTGAACCCGTTGAATGTGGTAAGGATATGATTAATAATCATGCAGAATCCTCCATTATGGGCGATACTCAAATTATTGACAACTTGCCTCGTACTTATTTCAGGATTTTCGTCAACTGAATTTAAAACAGCTGCCGTCAATTTATGGAGTTCTTGCCGTCCAAACATTTCATTTCACATAATCTTCTGTGGGTGTTTGGAATAGAGCATCAGAAACCATTCCATTTGAGAAGCGCTCTTGATAGCCTGACTTCATATGCGTTCCCGTCAGTTAACCCATACAAGTAATGCATGTCTGCCAATTCGATATTTGTAAAATTTACCCTGTTTTTTTTTAATAAACAAGTTTTTATGGCGTAAATAATATAACGTATCTAGCTAGGGAAGGGTCCAAATTGTTTATGTTGACAATGAAATAAGCACTCTAGATTTATGTAGCCCACAAAATAATCCTACTACACTACAACGGCTGATTTTGCTTAGGAACAAGCAAATTAATGCATTTTATTTTCTACCTCAAAAACCGTTCGCCAGACGAAAAAAGGTAGAAATCCTGCAACATGGAAAAAATTAATTTTTATACATATTTGCAGGGGAAAAATGATTTTTTTATCTCAGAAATAAAGTGGTTGCGGACCTATGTTCATATGAACAATTTTTCTTAAAAAAATCAACCAAGGATTATTGTCCTTCAGTATCAGCATTCAATTATGAAACACCCTGTATATGATACAGGTGAATGAATAATTCAATAAGTAGTTTTTACATAAACAAACTTGAACCGTTTCAATAAAAAATGTATACAAACAAATATGTAGGTTTCACAAATACACCTGAAAATTAGAAATAGTTTTCTTTTATCGAAGGATTAAACAATGTCGAAATTCGAACTTTGTTAACATTCGGATGAATTAGTGAACAAAAAGAAATAATATGCAGAAAATGAGAAAAAATAAACAATGAATATGAAACTCAAAAATATAAGAATGTAGACGAGTTCATTCCACCTTCATACTATATTGTATGCTAACAATAAAAAATACCTATGTTGATTGCTAATAAGAAAAATGCCCAAAGAGCAAAGATTTTAATTGGTCTTATGTTCACAATTAAATTACAAATACTCACTCTTTAGCAGCTTTCCTCTTGTGGTCGCTAATTTTGTAATCCACACTGAAATAATTGGATTGGTTTGGACTCTCCTTAGCTTTTTCATGATAGAGTTTTATATGACTTGGCATGCTGACGGGCAAAACCATTTTTCTGCATATGTCACAAGCAACTTTTGCTTCATGGTCACCACATTGGGATCGATGCGATAAAAAACCAATGACAGATTTCTTGACCGTCTCACATCTGTCGCAGAACAAAGGCTTCTTCATTTTGTACATGTTATTTAGAACGGATAAAACATATTCTTTGTCGTTTAGATCCTAACAGATTTCAATACAATCATTACAGAATTTCAATAAATAAAAAAGATTGTTTATCAGATTAATAAAAAAAACCATATGTTCATTCTTACCAGTGGAAAGTCTCCCACTCTCCAAGCGAGATTGTTGTGACGTTTCATCTTGTGATTTAACCAATTTTTGCGCTCCACTTGCAAGTTGCAGACAGCACATGTTACCAAACCATTAACAAGAATGCCTTCACATTCTTCTCTGTGAATTATAAAACCATTCACATCTTTGTACGATTGTTCACACTTTTGGCAGGTCAAAATTTTATTTTTTGGTAGTATAATTTTCAGTTTATTTTTGACAACCGAGTCTTCATCTAAATTCTGAAAACAAATGTTAGTTTTTTCCTAATTTCCAAACTGAAGGTTCATATGAAACCCTGATTATTACACCAGAAAATTTCTTAAATGAGACATATATATTGTTACTAACATATCGATTTCACTATTGTACTTTTAATTAGTCTAAATCCAAGAATTTTCATGGAAAAGTATAGTGAATGATATAAAAATGTGTAGGCTGTCATCTTAGATATGGAATTTTGAACTGGTGCATGAGTTCCGCTGCAGAGAGGGTTTTCATACAGCAAAAATATGCCATTAGAAGAATTCTCCAATTGTGTTGGCGACAGACCAACAAGGTGGACACAAATATAAAAATTCGCCCAATACCTCAATTTTCAAATCACGATTAAAACCTCTAAAACTAATTTTATTTAGTATTTTGACTATGTGATATAATTGTTTGTTACTATAGGTTTATAAAATTGACATTCTCCTTGTTTCTGTATGAAAATATTACTAATTCAATATTCCTTACTTTTCAACAAGTGAAATAAATATTATTATTATTATTATTATAACTTCTACTAATATGATTAAAGCTGACAGGTGGTTGAGAATTTCAAAATCATAATAAAATATCATCTTTCACAGCTGAAAACAACTGTGTAAAAACATTTTCAGAGTCGATTGACCGTGGTCTGCAGATTTTTTTAGCCCGATGCTTTGTCTACAACTGCGTATTCATTATCAATGGTGTTTTCGACTTCATTAGATAGATGCTGGGCGTGACTGTGTTTCTATTGGTTGAATTAAATGACCTAATATGTATACGATGGTATTATCGATGGAAAAAAGGTTATTGGACAAAGCACTCATAGGAAGGTGGGCAAACCACAGAGATGTGTTTCTGGCTATTTAGCCTTCGTCAGTACGGTACAGCCAAGTGTAAAGGATAGACAACACTTGGTTGCAAGAAAGGGGTCAAACAAGCAAGCGGATTCATCATCAGGGGCCAACTGCGATTTCGTGTCATCTAACGGCTGTACCGTACTGACGAAGGCTAAATACCCAGAAACACGTGTCTACGGTTTGCCCACCTTCCTATGAGTGCTTTGTCCAATAACCTTTTTTCCATCGATAATACCATCTCACTCACTATCCCTCATCTTTTTTGATTTATCTTGGACCCGGATGTCACGCAGGTTGCTATAGCTGCTCCCGTGACGAAGTTGGGAGTTAGTCCTTGTAATCACAAGGTCTTCCAACGATGACACGAAATCGCAGTTGGCCCCTGATGATGAATCCGTTTGCTTTGTTTGGCCCCTTTCTTGCAACCAAGTGTTGTCTATCCTTTACACTTGGCTGTACCGTACTGACGAAGGCTAAATAGCCAGAAACACGTGTCTGCGGTTTGCCCACCTTCTCTTGGATGTTAGCCCCGACTACTATCAAGCTCATGTGATTTTTCGGATTACTGATTTGTTGATACAACCGGGGCGACCATTTCTTTTGTTTCGACATAAACCCAAGAGAACAGAGTAAATGTATATAACGGTTCTGATGAAATCGGCGTTCAAGGGTACGGAGATAGTGGTTTTTGATGAAAATCTATAAGGTGTACACTTTATTGCGAGATTTTCGTCGCAAAACCGAAAACAACCGCGACACAAGTTTCGCTATACAATAAATTTCTCATACTCATAGTTTGAAGACTATAGAGCAGAAAAATATCATACTTTGTTTTTTTATTGTCATTGCTCTTATTTCTGTTGGATCAAGATCTGCATATTTTTCATGAAAAACTACACTACAGCATTCGCATTTTTTTGGACAATTTCTGTTTTACACTCTTCACATAAAACTTTATCGTCCGTTTGTTTTAGGTCTCAATACAGTCCTGTTAGTTGTTTATACTGTCTCAGATGTTTATAAATCCTTAGTTGAGTTTTTGTGAAACCACAATAATAAAATAATTTGAAAGGGTAATATTTTTTGGAGTGATTAATTTTTGGGAAAAAAAGTTTTTGGCTTTCTACTTTCTACTACTCCATCTAGATACAAAAAAATGTGGGAATCTTTCAAAGAAAGGAAGGAAGCAATCAATTTCAAAATAAGTAACTCTATACATGGATGTGTAGATAATGCAAAGAAGTAACTTTCAGACACAAATTGGAAGAAAAAGCCCTCTTGAAACAAATACTGTCATATAAACATTGAACAAATACAAAAAACACTTTTCTCTACTCAGTTTGTATTCCAAACATTCATTTTGGAATTGAATCAGATATCATTCACAGGATTCCTGAACAATAAACTAAATGAAACACTGGAACACTGTCATCCTCACTGGTAGACATCCGATGTTTTGTCGTAAGACACTTTGCCTTCAGTACCAATCGGGATAACATTATAAGAAAAAACTCACAATTCATTCATGAATGACGACTTTATGTCACAGAATGAGTGTCATCGATGACATCGTAATGACATTCATTCGGAATACAAACTGAGTAAAGTGTTTTTTTGTATAATTCAGTGTTCATATATAAATGTATGTTTCAAAAGAATTCTTCTTTTGTGTAATTCAATGTTTATATGAAAGTAGCTGTTTCAGGAAGGGTTTTTCTTCCAGTTTGTGTCTGAAAGTTACTTCTGCGCATGATCTACACATCTTTGTATAGAGTTACTTATTCAGAAATTGATTGGATAATTCACTATACTATTACTCAGTTTGTGAGACAATCAACTATAGAATATTTTTTAACAATTTTCAATTTAAAGTTGAAAATTTCCGTACCCTACTGAGATTTTAGAGAGCTAATTACTTTACCGTGTTAAATTTAGTAAAGACACGCCTGAAGAAACCATTGTATGGCAAAACACGTGTTGCATTTTTGTAAAACTGTTGAATTAATATTTCACAATAATGTGTTTCTTGAATACGCTGTGTATATTCGTCAAATATTGCCGATTCTATCAAATAGGAAACTGAAAAGGTCACCCCGAAAAGTCACTGCATGATATAAACAACCTGTCATATTCACAATTTTTTCTGAAAATTGAATAATTTATGAAAAAAAAATTAGCTTTGTTTATTTTTCAGATTGTGGAAGTGTAATACCAAAAAAAAGGAAAGAAAATGTGATTATTTTCCAGGGTTGTGTTCATGAAGTTACTCAAAGTATAATGAGCTTACTCTAGTGATGTAAATCGTATTCAGAAACATACTTGATCTAAACTCTCTTACAAATATATAATGAAAAGTACATTCGAAACAAAAGTGTATTTTATTCAATTGCTAGCCTCAAATCCAAAAAACTAAAAATTCCCATCTTACATTGGTTGTGTTCATCTGCAAAATTACTTTTGAACATCTACTTACTACCGTTAATTGACAATATATTTCTAATCACATGATCATACACTGCTCTATCAGCGGTAGTAAGTTTATGAATGCATAGCTATTATTCGAACGGATACGTCGAGACGTATCAAAACCACCCCCATTTCAATTTTTTAAAGGAGTTTCTTCAGTATTTTTTCTGTTACATGATACTTGCTCTTTTCTGCATAAAAAAATTAGCTCTTTAAAATTACAGTAGGGTAAGGAAATGTTCAACTGTGAATTGAAAGTTGTTAAAAAAATATTCTATAGTTGATTGCCTTACAAACTGAGTAGTAGTATAGTGAATTCTCCACAAGTTTTCGAGTTATCAAGTGGTAAAACTAGAAATTTTTGTTTTCAAATTCAACACTGATGTGATCTCAGTGGTTTACTTGTTTAGTAGATATAAGATTAGATCTTATCAATTCAGTTGCAAAAGACTTCCAATAAGTATTCTATTATTGGGAAAGAAAGTTTTTGTAAAACTGTTTAGTGAAAATCTCACAAATTGTTTTTGGAATATATTTTCAGTTTGCACTTTATTACAGCAGATCCTCTATCGATTCAGCTGTATTTTTTTTTATTGTGGAACGTTAAATGTCTTTCAAATTACTTTTTTTTACTATTTTCAGTTATTTCAATACTCCAATTACTTACCAGTGCAGATTCTCCTTTGCGCCAGGCTAAGTTATTATGTTTTGTTACATTATGTAAAAACCATTCTCTATTTGGCATTATTTCTGAACAAATAACACAAGTGACTTCAACTTCATCACTGAATGTATTCACAGCGTCTTTTTTAGGGCGACCCTTTCTTTTTTTCTTTGTGGAATCCTGAGAACTTAAAAAACGAAAATTGAAACATAAAAGGTAATAGATAAATTAATGAAAGTACTAAGGCTTTGATTAGCCTTGCTGACCGTCTCCTTCAGTTTCCCTGTGATGACCCCAATATTCATTTTTCATTCATCTAAATGGTTCACAACTTCTAGGAACAAATATTTACATTATCTTTGCATAAACATACTTCATATATTAGTATATGCTAAATCACAGCAAAATTAGGAAAAAAAATTATGTTCCCAGCCTGTTGAAAAAAATATACTGAAATATATTTTTCTGTCAACCGACTATCACCCGCCTACAAACAACAACCCTCTGCTTCAATATAAAACAGAAAATGGAAAGTTTCGATAGCCAATTGGAGACGGATTTTTATTTCATTTCATTTCAAAATTACATACATAGCAAGCAAAATTACCTTGTACTTGGAGACGAATCACCACCAAAAGCTGCTGAAAATACTGAATTCATCATATAGCTGGTGTGCCCATTAAATGTGTATTTATTTTTAACGGTAACATTGCTGTTCTCAGTGACATCTTCATTACTTTGCCTATCTGTTTGTTCGTTTTCTGGAATGACAGATGATGGGTCCATAGGTATGATTATAGAGTTGGTATCAACATCTGCATTTACAGTATCAACATCTGCATTTACAGTACCAACTGTGGTATCTTCAGATTTAATTATATTATTCTCAGCTTCATTTTTCAGTGGTATTTCTTCGCCTCTCCTGTCTATTTCTATCAGAGAATCTGACACTTTTGATTTTTTCTTCCCAGAAGTTTTTTTTGTAGGAATAAAATTATCATCATTATCGAAAGAACTATTCTTCTGGGGTTCTTGTGATTGTCCTCTTTTTAGAATGTTCACTCCCCTGTCTTCCAATTCAAGGTAATCTACCCTTTTGCGCTTCCTGCCTCTCATGGATTCTTCCATAGGATGTGTTAAAACAGGTTCTGATATTATATGATCACTTTTGACTTTTTTTTTTTGCCTCCCGCGTTTCTTGGGAATCTTGGTAGAACCATTTGTGAAAGTAGATTCAGCATTAACATTTGCCAATGAATCTAATTGTACATTGTCAAACATTTCTTCACTTCCTAGTTTCATTCCTGTGTTCAAGATGGCCTCACCAGCTTCTAGATTTTCCATCTTCTTTTCACCATCCACTTGAATGCATTCCAGTTTCATGTTGTTTTTCTCATCAAATGATTGTTTTTTCGGTCTGCCCTTTTTTTTCACAATGCTCAAAGGGCAATCAGCATTTTCATCTGAAATAAAGGCTGAAACCTCAGCTTTCCAATTATCAGCAAACGGAGTTGCATTTAGCTGTTCTGTTTCTTCCCTCTTAACTTCTGAAAGTGCCCTCCCAGTTTTGTCATTATCCGTTGTGAAAGTGATTGATTTTTTCTTTTCTTCTTCTCGTAAAATACTTTTCTTAGGTCGTCCTCTTTTCTTCAGAGGAGTTGGAGAATGTTTCACAGTAAATGAAAAATCTGATGTTGACTGACCAACTGACTTGTCAATATTTTTTCCATTGCTTTTTTCAATATCAATAAAGCTACCAACATGTTTTTCTTTTTTTGGTGCAGTATTACAATCAGTCTTATTTAGAATTCCAACTGACTCTATACTTACGTCCAGAATTGAACTCTCCAGGTTTTTTTTTCTAGGTCTTCCTCTTTTCTTAACAACCTTTGGTAAAATAATAGATTCTGCATCTTCGGCAAGCTTTACAAAAGGCTTTTCTACGAGCGATGATTCGTCTGAAGATGTTTGTATTGGTTGGTTTATTGTACTTTCATATTTTCTTTCAATCTCCCCTGTGGTGGGGAGTGAATGTTTCAGAGAATTTTTATTGATGATATCAAAACTCTTAATAATATCTGTGGCATCTGTTTCAATGTTGTCTGTGACATTCACGTTATTTTCTTCTCTCGTATTTTTGATGATTTGTAAGGAATCAATATCGTTTTCAGTGAACAATGCTCTAGGTATTTTCAGTACATTTGAAGTACACACAGTTTCTGCTATTTCTTTTTTCAGTTCATTTCTTTTATCAGAATCTTTACCAGAACCTTCAGAAGCTTTGTTTGGAAAACAGTTCTGTTGATCTTTAAAAACTGATTGACTAACATGAACTTTTGTTGAAACTGCAACGCTATTGTCGAGTTCTAAATTATTCATTGTAATATTTTTTAAATTGTCTGTTGCTGCCTCATCTTCTTTTCTCTTTACAAGTACGGGTATTTTATGTTGCCGTTTTCTCCTAATCGAAAACTTTTCATTTTGAACTGTAGAAAGATCAATTTGTTCAGCTAATGTTCCATTTTGATCCGAATTCATACTATCTTTGATTTCTTGGGAGTTATTCTCGTTTTCATTTGGCATTTCTCCTACATCTTCTGAGGAATTTTCCTCCGAACTTTTTTCCTCATTACTTATATTCTTGTTTGAATATTCAAAGCCTTTATCTTTGTGTAATACTGAAATGTGGGGAAAAATCTGCTGTTCCTTGAAAACTGAATCTTTTACAGGGTTTTTGATACCGATTTCAATACTTCTTTCGACAGTAGAAGCAAGTGTTGTAATTTCAGAAGGAACCATTTCTGGAATATTTTTTTTTTTCGTTATCAATATGGGTTTCTTGGAATATCGTCTTCTGTTGTATACATTCTTATTCTGACTCTGTATAAGGTCAATTTTTTCATTTAAAGTTGTATTTGTGTATTCTTTATCATCTACCCTGATTTCCAAAGATATACTCTCTTTTGATGTTTCGGCTGGTTCTTTCTCCAAATCTTCTTTTCCGTCACTATTCAAATTTTTGAAAGAATCTTCTGAAGACCGATCAGGGTGTACCTCTGAAATGGACAGAATATCTTCATCTTGTCTTATTTTTCTTATTTGTATATTCTCAGGTTTGTTGGAATGTTGCTTTTTCTCAATCACCAGTTGATCAGTACTCTCATCTAGTTCTGAAGGATTTGTTAAAACATAAGGAAGAACTTTTGGAGTATTATTAATAAAAGATTCATTTTTCTTTCTTTCAATCAGTACCGGCTTTTTGGAAAATCGTCTTCTCTTATTAGGGAATACTTTTTCACAAGTAACTTGTGAAGTCAATTCAATGCTTTTCTTTTCAGTTATTGTTGATGTATGTATTAGATCTGAAACAGATTCTTCTTGTCCATCTCTTCCCAAATACTTGAGAGAATCTTTAGAGGAATTTTTCATTAACGTCTCAACAGCCTGGTTGAGTTCTGAATCATTTATCATCAAATCATTTGAAAATGAAGTACCATCTAATTCATGGTTCTTAAATTTTTCACAATCATTTTCTTGGCATATTGCGGAAGCGGAGTCCAGCTCTTCTTCAGAAACGGGAAAGTCTACAGAATTTTCCATAGAAATTTCTGTATTCTTATGTGAAGTATTCAAAAAATTATTCTCTTTTCCATTGAAACTACCCAATTCATTTTGTAAATTAACGATTCCGGCCAGGCCAACTGTCACGTGTTTTTCTGAATCCTTATCAAGGTTTTTGGTAAAACCTTTTTCATCTTTATCTTGTGATAATTGTCCAACATAATTAGATTCTATGTACTTGTTGGGTTCTAAATTATTTGCTGTAATAACAGCAGTATTTGTTTCACCACCCTTATCAAAAGTTGAACCTGACTGCGGGAGAACTGCTTTTATTTGGTCACATTTATTAGCAATAGAAATATCATTTTTCCCTTGACTAAATTTTTGTTGAATCTCTGATTTCTCCAACTCTTCATCTAAAGTAATACCTACCTGATTTTCAGAACTTTCCATCTGAAAATTTTTGGAATAGCCTATTTGCTGATCAATATATGTAACAACAGTGGAGGGAACGGAATCTGTTCTCGGATCCACAGCTTTGTTCAAATCACCAACATATTTACTTTCATTCCCAAATGACTCATTTGTTATCTTCAGTTTTATCTTTGAAAAGCTTTCTTCCTCCTTTGGAACACAATCCTTTTTTACAGTAGCACTTCTAACAATATTCATCAATTCTTTGCTATTTAAACTAACTAGGTTGTCGCTGATTACCTTAACTTCCTTCTTCTTCACCGTTTTGGCGGGAAGAGTTGTACTCTTTGGTAATCTTGATATTATGGATTCAGTCATAATTTTTTTAATTTCTTCCAGATTATTCTTCAGAACTTTTTTTCCCAGAAGTTTTTGATTTTCTATAGGTTTGGATGTAACTGGAGTTTTTCTCTGCTTGAGACTAGTCTCAGGTTTCTTGAAAATGTTTCCATTTTGTTCAGTCCTCACAGTGTCACTCGAAGTACTCTCAGATTGTTTCTGTGAGGCAGTTGAACTACTAGCACTCGAATTATTTTTGCGTTTTTTAATGGTTTTTTGGCTAGATGTGGATGGTAAAGTCGGAACATCTTTGAAAAGTCCTAATTTCGCTAACTCTCCTGGGCTTATAATAATAAGGTTGGTCTTTTTGTCTGAGTTCTGTGAGAGGTTTTTGTTATTCATGATTGGATTTTCTGAAAATAAAGTTGTGAATGAATTTTTGATAGATTGGGTAAGTTTTTAGTGGATACATTTTTGGATCTAACCCAAGAGAAGGAGAATCTGTAATTGTGTTCAATTTGATTAAGGCCTGCTATCCCGGATTTTGTTCAATTGGATATGTTTTGTTGAGTATAGTTTTCATTTAGTGATTATCAGAGCTATAATAAAGAAAAACTATGATTTACCTAATAAGTAAAAAATCTACAAAGATTATCTGAGAATATTCAATTTATCAATATAAACGTTACCAAATCAAAAGTTACAACAAAAATGCAGGTACTCATGCACTATATGTAAATGTTTTATGAACATACTCAGATAAATTAATTTTGTTTAATATTTCTTATGGACTACATATTGAGGAAATCAATACCAAAAATATAATAAAGGTAACAGTTTACTGCAATATCAGTTTGTTATATTACAAAAAACTGGTTTTTATATTTCCAGAAGATAATCAAATTAAAATATTTAAAATCAACATCAACTATAATTCACTCTGAAAAAAATTATGTTATTCTTTGATGAATATATAAATTTCATATAAACGGGAATTTGATTTCAGTGTTTGTTATGGAAGTTGCTGATCTGTGTTTAAGAAAGAAACTGGCCATAAGCTTTAATTAACTATGATAATCAATAACACCAGATCAAAACATAATTAAATTTACTATCATGATATACGTGATTACCAAGGTTGGAAATATTTTTTGTTGGTTTTCAGTAAGTATTTTATTATATATGCAGACCAATCTTAAATATTCCTTTTAGATAGGAACTTGAAGAGAGAGTTTTAATAAGTACTCTCCAATATCAATATGTAATTTATACAACAAAAATTTCATAACAGGTACTGAAAAATATATTTGTAGAAGAATTCTGTACACTGATATAAGGTATGAAATAGTATTAATATTACATGAAAACACTTTTAGTTTCAAACTGTTTTTTTTTAAATAATGCCCAATATTTGAAAAATTCCCAAAAGTTCAAGTGATTGATCAGTCGTTCTTATTATAAAAAATACCATTCATCAGGACTGTGTATTATGAATATCTATTTCAAATCTGATTATTAGCGTTTGATGAATTAAAGTTTCAAACAGGTTGTTTTTCCAAATTTTTATTGGAAAGATTTTAGAATAATCTGTACATTTGCTTGATGAGTTTTCATTGATGTTTATTTTTTCACATTTCCATACTGATTTCAACTTCTTTGATAATTATAAAAAAAGGTTATTCTGAAGATTTTCTCCCCAAAAAAATGTATATATTGAAAACACTAAAAATAAAGTACATAGCTATTGCTTGTATAAATTAATTTTGCTATTATACCTACTACTAAATGATACATTCTATGAACAATTGAAGTATTAACAATTTTCAAAAAATGTAAAAGACATGTAATATAAGATTTCATCATTTTCTGAATATGCTTCAGCCCTGCTGAATCAAAAGGCACCAGCAGTGACAAAAAATTAATAATTATATACTCTATGAACATGTAGTAGCTATTAGATGTACTTTCTTCAAAATTCACAAAGTATGTTTACAAAAAGTTCAGATGATAAATTTTCATATGAAATTGAATATTTTCTTCAATGTCTGACTTTGTATCTGAAAATATCAATTATAAAGATATTCCACTTCCCAGTCCTCGGACTAAAGTACCTAATCAAAAATTGTATTTTTAGCAGTACTCAAAATAAAAAATTTTAGATCACAAATTATAATATTGACAAAAAACATCAATATGGCGACACATGCACAACTTTGGGAATTATCTTTGTAGTTGACGCTGAACAGAATAAGCATTTATCACATATAATTATTATTTAGAATATCGTCCATCAAATTAAAAAAAAATCTATGAACTGGATTCGAACCACAGATCTTCCAATCAACAGGCGAACGTATAATTACCTATACCATACTCGTGAAACAAATAAACGTCACTTTACTCATCTTTTACCACAAAGAACTATGCTTACCTTAAAATTAATAACGTAGTTTTTTTCAAATAGGTATATTTAAATATCTATTTAGGAGAACCTTACTGAACATCTTGGCAATACTGGCATTAATTTAATTTTACTTTTACATCGTAATACATCACATTTCAACTTAGTTTCCATTTATCAATGTTGCCAATGGCATGAAATGAAATATGCCAGATGCCATATCTATTTTCTGATTTTGCTTTATCGTCTAGATACAGCCAAGTCTTCTTGGCCGGAGAACTGATTTCTCACCTAACGGTGCTTAGTAAATGGTCGGTTTCAATAACATTAATTTGTCAGGAGTGTATATATTTTTTTGGTGTAGCCCAAGAAAACAGAGCGGTCATTCTTAAATTACTCGTCGTTCGCAATTCGTCTGAAAATTGTTATTTTTGAACTCATACGTATTCGCATACCTGCGATTTGATGATTACTCACCGAATAACGAATTTGTTGAGACAGACACTTAGATCTCAATATGTAAATATAAATGCATAAGAATGGTCTTCACCTGGGGGGTTTGAGCTAAACTTAAATCCCTCGATATGCAGAACTGCAGTTGGTTCAAGAATAAGGTCCCAGATCCGCCATACTCCCGCCATTTTAGTGAAGCTTACATTCTGGCAATACATATTAATAATCTTCACACTTGTTACCTTTTTACAAATTATAGATAATGTATTTTCAACGTCTCAAAGTCATTACACTGTTAGTAATAAACGACATTGTTGACCAATCATTCCTATGCTGCATTCTATGAAAAAATATATGTTCAGCATATAACGAACGAACAGTGTGCACAAAAATCTATAATATAATTGTTTCACCATTCACACTTGTAAGTGTGAATTTACAGTCATAAGTGTGAATTCACAGTTAGAACCAGGAATTTCGCAATTTTCACCTATAACAGTGAATTAACACTCATAAGTGTGAATTTCCAGTCATAACTGTGAATTCTCAATTGAAACTCTAAATTCTCAAATTCAAAGTTGTAACTTCACCAACCTGCGAAATATGCCACTGCCCCCTAACGGTGAAACATATTTTAATCGAGTGCGAAGCCTACAATCGACATCGGAAAATACATGGATTTCCTTCAACTTTTGCCGAACTCCGGAAGGAAGGTTGCAATCCCTCTCAGCTTATAGATTACCTAATTGATATTGGTTTAGTCAATGAAATTTAGATTATATTAGATTAAGTGTATCAACTATTATGTATGTATTAACTATTTATTTATTAACATTTTTATATTTACTATGACATGTAATATGCCGTCTCAAATAACATGAATGTTTGAAGGGACAATAAACAGTTTAAATTAAAAAAAAAAGTTGTAACTTCAAAAGCGTCCGAAGACAGCAATATTTTCATTTGTACACTATTCATTCGACAAAATAGATGTCGGTTAATGAAAAAATCTAACTTGTAACCTAACCTAACCGAAGCTATATTCAACTAATGAATTTCAATACGTGATATGTTTTCAGCAAGTTCTAGTTACACTAGTTAGATTAAGTTAGGTTACAGGTTGTCTCATTGACAATCATATATTGAATAAATTTGCAATTAATGTAACATAATGACATCTATTTTGCCGAGTACAAAGTGTACATGCGAACAAATTGCTGTCTACAGAATCTGATCATAATTCGCAGTTGTAACTGTGAATTCACACTCATAACAGTAAATTTACAGTTATAACTGTAAATTGTGAAAAAATGAGATTGATTTTGGTGACGTATTCAAATGTTAAAATTCGAAGGCACCACAAGATCAGAATTCAAGAATAGATTTCCTCATATCTATATGGAAGTCTCTATTTCGAACTAATAAATTTGTATATATTCCTAATTCAAAATTACCCTATTTATTTTTCAAATATAAAGTTGCATGTCAAACTATATTTTGATAATATGCATAAACATCATTTAAGAAGTTGATGAAATGCGCGTAGAGAAAGATGTTATTATTCTGATGTGTACTAAGGGCCCGTGTTATGGGTTTGAACTCCAGTTTGAACTAATTTCAAACCTCCTGCCCTGCATTTGTTGCCTTTTTATAGGTTTTGATTATAGCTGTCAATTACCAAGTAAGGTCCTTGCCATTGTCTCTGAATTTTGAAACACAAAACCTTTCCGCCGTTGGGGTTGGAAGAGCCACACTGCATAGCCTATCTTGAAACTCACCGGCACCGTTGTCAAATTTTATTTTCATTATGTCGCTGAAAATCTTTAATTTGTTTCTGGCAAATTTATGGTTGATTTCTAGTCTCTCCTTCAAGTCATTCACTTACTCTGATAGGGGTACCTCTTCAGATTCATTGGATGAACTGCTACACATTACGTCTATCGGAAGATGCAGTTATTGACCGGTTTACAACAAGGATGGTGTGTAGCTTGTCAATTATTGTTCAAAGCTCCAGTATTCCAACAAAAATATAGGAACCAATTTATTCCAGTCCCTTTGATTTTCGGAGACAAACATCGAGAAGTAGCTGTTTGTGGTGCGATTATGTCTCTCGACCATTCCATTTATTGTGGGTAACAGGCACTTGTTACCGGATGTAGTCGCTGGAAGAGGTCCCAGAATATCAACTGCGATTCTGAAATGATGCTTCAACTTTTAACTTAGCCTTGTCTTCGGACCCTTTCTTCACGAGCATAGGTCACAGCCCTTGTATCACTTCTCTAAGTCTCGGCGACAATTGACCCAATAGTACCTCTCGCGCACTCTCGCTAGGATTCTGTTTACTCCGAAATGCCCTCCATCCAGTGCAACCATCGTAGAGCTGTTTGAATATTTTCGGGATTATGTGGAATTTATGGGTCCTTCCATCCGGGCTCTCTCGAATGCACATAAAATCCCATTGGAGCCAGTAACCCTTTTCCTGCTGGTCGTGCTCGGAAATATCTCTCCATTCCGGTCTCACATCTTTGTCAATCCATTCTTGTACAGTTTTCAAGACCGAACCTTCTTTTTGAGCTACGGTGATATCTTGCCTCGTCATGAAGATAGTGTACCTTCGGGAGCTGGTACCACACCATGGGCAGGTGACTCCTCACATCTTCTATCCGTATCCCTAGACAGTTGTCAAGGGACTCTGACAGGTTACAGGGAACCCGAAGCAGCGGAAAATAGGGAATCTTATATCCCTATATTCCTGTCAGGGATATAAGCTCTCACTACCTTAACAAGTTGAGAGGCTATCTGTGTTTTAGTGACGCTTTTCTTTCCGATGTCAAATTTCAAAATCGTAAGTTTGTAATTTCCCGAGCCACCGGGCTATTTGTCCTTCTGGGGTTTTGGTGTGCTAAGTGGAGTACTGAGTGATATGACCTGACCAAGAATTTACGGCCATATAAAGAGTTGTGGTAGTAATACATCGCTACACCTGTGAGGAGCTATTTTCTCGTGACGCAGTAATATCTTTCGGATATCCCCAGAGACTTACTGAAATAGCTAATGAAGACTTCTTCTTTCTGTACCTGAGGGAGTTCTGCTCCTATCCCATATTGGAATGCATCCTTGTCGAGTATGAACAAGTCCTCCTCCTTTAGCAATGCCAGGAATGGGGTACTGGTCAAAAGTCTTCTCAGGGCAGCAAATGCTTGCTGGCAGTCTGAGGACCAAACGGAGGGAATTCGCCTCTCAGTCAAGCCACTCTGCGGTCAGGCAATTTTTCCAAAGTCTCTCACGAAACGCCAGTAGTAGTTACAGAGTTCAAGGAAACTTCTTACGTCTTGCTTACTCTTCGGTCGGCCTTGAATTTCTCTGGATCTGTTTCAACTCCTTTTAAGGAAACAGCGTGTCCCAAGAAATTCACTTTTTTCTGGAAGAGGTTGAACTTCTTGGGATTGATCTACAAATGAGTATTCCACAGCCTCGGGTAAGCACTGACAGATACTCGTCAAAACAGGCAAGCGGTTTTCGATTGAAGACAATCTATGAAAAATTAAGAGGAGTAACAAAATCACTGCGTGAACGCAAGCGAGCCATAAGTGGAACCACCTAGTGGTATGACATCCAAGTCAGCGTAGCGGTACTTTGACCAATTCCAGAAATACAGTGGGAAAATTAATCCACATGTATGTTTCTAAAAATTATTTAAAATCATTTCAGGAGGGCTTCCTAATTTTTGCTAACGCAGTTGTAGGTTTTAAAGATTGGTCAGGTATTATGTTTAGAAGAAGAAATGGAAAGCGTAGGTATGTTTTTATGTAGGTATGTAAAATTTTGAACTACTTTTGCAAAATAATCATTTACTACATTACATATTATATTCGGATCAGTTACTAGCTTAACGTTTTTAGTAATTATTTCTTAAATTCCCTTCCTACCTTTCTTCATCTTCATACCTATGAATCGAGTTGGTCGGTGATGTGATGATGCCCTAGTGTTTGCTCTTAAGCTTTTCTATTCAATTCTCTTCTTTTAATTAGTTTTTTTTCTACCCCCAAAAATTTTACAAGCAGCACGCCCCTGCTCATCACCTCCAATCTCTCCGGAAAAGCGATAAGCAGTGGCGTAACCGCACACGATTAAACCGTGAGCTAATGAAATGCAGGCGTCTTTGGGGTGCGCAAGCGACTCCCCATTGATCGATTACATTTCAAGGTGGACAAACATCAAGAAGGAAACATAATGGACACCGCCAGCCACGAATTTTAAGTCAATTTTATCGAAACTTAATGCGTTCTTCTGAACAAAATAGTTATCGATCGTTTCCGCGGTCTGAGCCTTGGCAAAAAACATCTGTGCATCGAATAAGCAGTGGTTTGGTAAATAACCCAGAAATATGTCACAGAACGGTGAGTTGTTTGTTTTTTCATGTGATTTTTCAATAAAGGGCTGGGTTACTTTTGTTTCCAAACAACGACTAGATATATTTTATACGAGTAGGTATATATTGTTTATGTAACGGTTCATAATCTCGGTAAATTCGGGCGTGAATGAGTTCAATATTTGAAAAACATTGTTTGGCCTGGTGGACGCCGAATACAACATATTATATATTGGTCAGTGTTAGGTACAAAATTCATAAATAGCAACACCCAGAGAAAATTTGCGCAAAAATGTATGGTGACAAAAGATTTTGGCATTTTTTTGCTCAGTATCAATAACTGTTGTACCGATTAAAAATAAACTCGCCATCAAAGCGTTAGGATTTTGAGTGCGTTATCTCATTAAAATAAACGTTTAATCCATTCAAGATCAGAGTATATGGGATATGAGAGATTAGTAGAATTTACAAGATATTTAGCTACTACTATCAACATTCAATGGTTATATACTGTTTTAAAATAGAAAGATATTCAGTTGATTCTTCTAATTATTTTCCAAATAAAGGGCGCAACAGTGGAATTCTTGAAGTGAAACAAAAATACAAATTCAAAGAGATATTTCAATAAGTTCGCTCTCTTGATGTGACAATTCGTGTCTAGAATATTAATATAATCTTGATTTGGTGTAGCAGCAATAGTTCCTTTACATATCGTTATTTGAGCATTGATATGTCACATTTTCAATCTATTCACAATATAATCAAAGAACTGCAATGACGGTTTTCGAAATGGTATTCGAGGAAATCTAAAATAAAAAACATACATGCATATTATAATGAATAAAGCTCACCCGCGGATATCCTCATGTATATTTTTGGTCTTTTGACATCTTGAGGAGTATGTACATGATGGGTTTTTCTGAAGATCCAACTATACTCGTGTCGGTGACGCATTGAGAAACGCAGAAAAAATCGTTAAGGACAAATATCAAAGTTTTTTAAATTCTACATCTTTAATTTGGCGAGGCGCTTGGAGTTACTTGCAGAAATAAAACAGAATCTACTTATTTCTGTATCATGAGAATTTACAGAAACCATTGTATTATATATATTTTTCTAGTTTCTGTAGGTATTTGTGAATCTCACTAATACAGAAGGAACGTATTTAATAATCCAAAATCTAACCTGTAACTTAATCGATAATAAATGCAGTACTTAAATACAACAAAAAATATCATCAAATTATATGAATAGAACAAATAATAAATAAATGTTTTATTAATAATGAATAAAATATAATGAATATTTTTATTACTACACAAACACGTAATCTGAGAAAGGACAAGTTTGTATTCTTCACCACCGTGAAGAATACAAAAATAAATGACGTCACTGTGAATTCAACATGGAGGATTACCAAAAGTGATGAACTATATAGAACAAAAATCATTTTTTGTGCAGACCTAGTATTTTAACCTTGAACAATCTTAATGAATAAAAATTGTAATTAAAAGCATTATACCGGTGTAGAAAGGACAAATTTATCAGTTTACCCCGATAAGTTACTGTGAAAAATAATTTTCATTGAAAAATATGATCTATTTATCAGCAGCAGTATTCAATAATATCGCCTATCAAAAAAAGAACTGAGTAATTGTGCGGATGATATACTTAACTTATCGGGGGCTTAAATCTGCCTCCTGACATTTGTCAGGGACGCATGAAAATAAAGCCAACGAAAGCAAACCAAAGAAGTTCATAACATTAGTTTTTTTCCAATTGAGATTCATTACCCATTGTTCTTTATTGTTATCAACCAACTCACCTAATTATTCTATTTCGTGATCCTTCAACGAATTGATGTTTTGGTTTTCAGTGTTTAAAAAACAGAATTAGGTTACAACCTTTATCCTTATTTTTCAAGAAAGTATCCAAATGCAAAACGAAAACATCTAAATTGTTTCGATCTCTTTTCCTATTCCTTGACTGTATCCCCCTCTGGAGTGTAGGGGGATACAGTCAAGAAGACACAACTGTATTCCAAAACATAGCTTTCTCTTGATATAAACGTGTCCCGCTGTTTTTGGCTACAGAATATATTTATTGAGAATTTGAACGTGTACTGTTTTCAATGGGACAACCAGTATATGTTGATGTACAGCTTTTCAATCTCTAATAATTTCGGAGTGACGGAAACCTAGGTGCATGTTTAGAAAGTTTAATATAATGAGTACTTTTTCAATGAATTGTTTCAAATTCGACTTTGAACTCGAAATTTGGACTTCTGAGTTTCAAAGTACAAATTACCAAGAAACAAATAATAAAAATATGTGGCCGTCTACGCTTCCGTTAAATTCATATACTTGAAACAAGCTAAATTTATTTTCTAAAAAAGGTGAACACAAACTTTACATTAATTGAAACCCATCAATTTATTAAATTTGCACAATTTCTAGAATATAGAAGCTTGTCGCAAGATTCATCTATGTGTAACTCGATTTTGACATTTATGAAAAAATCATGTGTCTTTTCAAAAAATAGGTAAATCTCAGGCCATGCTTTATATTTTATGTAAATTTTGAAATATAATTAAATTGAAATATAATTACAAACTCAAAGTTTGTTTTTATAGCATGTGAATAAAAGCTTTTTTGCTATAAATTGATTCAATTTCAAGTTACTCGAACACTTTTTTCGAAACCATCAGCTCTCAGACAAATACTTCCATCAGATCATACTTCCGAATATATTTTGATATTTTGAATTCATACTTACTAATTTTGTATGTTATTGTATACTAGAAATCAGTAATCTCAAAAAGTGTTACGCTGCATAATGTATTATACCTTGTTATATAAATATACAACAATATACATAACAATAATAATAGAATAACTTTAACAAGGAGATTCAAAAAGTAGGAAATTTTTGAACGCCACACCCTTGTCTTCCTCAGTACCATTAATCGCTATAGATATTGCAAAATAGTCTTCACCATGAAACGCCTATATGTTTTATTTTACAGAAAATGATTTCAAAGAAAGATTAATCGGGGCAGTCAAAAAGGAAGTGAAACAGGTGATGGAAGAATCGGTTACAAGGAAAGTTGTACACGAAGAAAGTGGATCTGTGACGTCTCTTTGTGGGGCCGTGGAAGCGTGCTTATCGCAAGGTAACTATTTTTCATAATCATGATGTAATGTTGATGATAAAATCTCACTTGCATATTCCTCCTTGATGCTCTTATAAGTCAGTTATGTCTCAAAAAATCTGGAAATTCAAACAAGCAATACATTTATCATCAAATAAATACTGGATTGTTAATCATCATAAAGTGTTGGGTGTGATATGAAAAATATTTGTTTTTTAATCTTTGAATAAATAGACTTTTGTTCACTTCACTACCAGGTCACGAAAAAGATGTGTCCAAGAATTGAAAAGAATGTTTTCAGAATTTCATTTTATATAATACCGTATAAGAGTCTAAACGATTCGAACAAATTCAATAAATGTGTGTGTGTGTGTGTGTGCCAACATGATTGTACCAAATAATAAAAAGTGTTGTTTCTTCAACCAACTATAGCCCATTTATGAATCACAACCCTCGAAAAAGTAAACTTGTGCCAGCTAAAGATGATTTTCGAAATCTTACCTTTCAAAGTGCGATCCCATAGTAATAATCAAACCAACGTTCACATAGCGTAGAACGAACCACTCACGCTAACCAACATCAAAGAAAGCAACATAGTCATCTCAAGCAAGTGGCGCTGCAATTCATTCACAAAGTCACTGAGATATTTATACCCGCTATGCCTTTTGAGGACGCCGCCATTAAAATAGTTACCTGCGACAAATAACGTCAAAAGAGGCGGCCGACGCTTTTCATAGACACGAACATTATTATTCGCGAGGCGCGTAAGCATAGTTCAAAATACGCGCCCGCTCGCTCGCAGGAATCGCGGCAGCACGTGTCTGGTTACCGTGCGTGCGAAAGTGAACACATATGTTTGAAACATATGTGTTGTCTGTGTTTACTATTTAATACTTGTTGATCATATTAAATGTTGGCCCATGTCGTGGCCAATCTTATGATAATGGGTCCAATATGGCCGGCATTCATAAAGGAGTATTAGCTAGAATCGTAGAAAGGAATGAGCTGGCCGAGTTCGTACCGTGCTTGGCTCACTCTTCAAATCTTCTCAGAAGAAGTTAAATATACTTCTCATGCTCTATAGAAGTTAAGTACGAGGTTAAAAAGAATATAAGTTTTTGCCCGCTTAAAAAATTAAAATACGGGGTGCATTATTGTTGTTATGATGGTTTAGTTGCTCTCCTTCAACTGCGACAATTTTCTCAAGATTAATGAGGGTTACTCCCAAAAGGGCAACTAGTTAATGGTGGAAATGATGTTTTGAAATGATAACTTCAGATTTTATTTATTCTCTCACAATAAATATGTATCATTGAGATTTAGAACTTTTTTCATCTAATATGTTGATGAAAATTGTTATAACATTTCTGAAATGCAGATTTACAGAAGTGTTTCAAAGTTCTCTAATGAATACACTTTTCTAACACCAGAACAAAAATACCGTTTTGATGTGGGAAAAGCGTTTCTGAAGTATTCATTTAACGTCAGAGGTTCCAATTATACCCATTATCTTTATTGTTGATTTAAACAATTTCAAAGTAGTGATTGAAAAATTGTAAACCGTTCCTGCGGTACTTTAACTACATTTTCTTTAGGGCTGCGTAGACGAGCATTGGGCCTGTTCAAAACATCTTCCACAACAGCTCTATTGCACAAAATTGCCAGGCACAGTCCCGAAGCAGCAAATATATCGAAAAAAGTACAGGAAATCGAAAATACCGATCCTAACAGAAGATCTTCCAGCAGTAGTGACAGCGTAACCAAGCCCACTTTGAAGAAGAACGCTTCATTGCCAACTAATCCTCTACCTAAATATTTATGGATAAGGTAGTAATAAAAAAATTTGAGTCGAACCATATTCATCCATTTTTTTGCAGGCTTGCCCTATTCGAGAAGCAACTAGCAAAAATTATTGACTATTTGGTTTCGAATGCTCACAAATATTATGATAAAGACGCCCTAGTAGCAGATCCCGACTACGGAAGTATTCTGAGTTCTCTACTAGTTGGGCCTTGTGCCCTCAATTACTCAAGGATGAAAACCCAAGATCATTTTTGGACAGATCCCCCAGCTGATGAACTGGTAAATGCCATCAACTGTAATATTCAATATAGTATAATCAAAATCGTCTCTAGTTCTATTTAAGCTATTATACTTTCAATTAAGGATTGATGTATTTAGGTATACTAGATCGCAAGCTCATGCCGATTTTCGGCATGAGCTTGCGATGCCGTATTTCGGGGAAAAGTGAAAACACAAAAAAGTCTTGTTTGGCTTTCATAAATTCAGATACTAATCATGAGTAGGATCTTTCCTAACCAATCATCGCACACGGACAGGAGAATAGGAAAAAAAATCAGTTTCGAAAAACTGGCCTCTATGCAAATGTCATGAACTCCTCTACAATATAAAAAAAATTCGTTCTTTATATTAACAAGGTTCGTTTAAGTTGTCATGCCATGCCGTGACGTTCAATTAGTTGGTTGTTGAGTGGTAAACGTAATTGTAACCCCCTACCCCAGAATTAGGATTGAAGGTCATCCCTTTTTGCATGGAATGGATTCAAAAATATTATTAGACATCTGAAATCTTCAAAAATATAGCCGAACAAAATATTTGGGTTATTTTTAAGATCATTTGAGACTTAATAACAATTATATTTTTATCCCGTCAAGAGTAAGAATTTGTTCCAAATTTATCGAATTAAAAAATCTTTCAGTTTTTTATAATAATTTTTTACTTTCTTCAAGTATGGAACAGAAATAAGAAACATACGCCATACATTTTCGTGTTATGGATTTCAAGTTTAAAAACTATGTTTTTTCCGTTAACCTGCTATGGCACCTCTACGAACGGCAACCCTCTGAAGTCGAAACTTGTGCGAGCTGAGGATTAACGAGGTCTTACCTTTTAACGTGTGATTCCTAACACGGGTTGGACGATAGCAAGTGAAAATCGAGAGTTCAGCCTGCGGCTTGAACCATCGATTTTTACTTGCTATGGAACTCACTTCTTCTTCTTATAACATTGAAAAACGTGCTGAAAATTGGTTTACTGCAAATAAACTCAAGTTGAACGCAAGCAAATCCCAAAAAATAACCTTCTCCTCTAATATGAACTCACATGGTCGAATCACATAGAACAGCTCTGTAACAAATTAGCAAGTACTCTATTTCTCTTGAGGCAGTTAAAAAAAGCAATTCAACCTGATACTCTGAGAATGACATATTTCTCTCTGTTTCATTCACAGATAAACTATGGAATAATTTTATGGGGAAATGCCACTCGTGCAATAACCATCTTTCGACAACAAAAAAAAGCAGTAAGAATTTTAGCTGGAGTTGGATATAGAGAACATTGTCACCCACACTTTATAAAGTTTGGCATCATGCCTTTACCTTCATTATATATCTACAATGCCTTATTAGAAATACACAGAAATATCAACCAATTACAAACCCATTCAGATATACATGACCATAATACTAGGTATGCCAAGTTATTAAAAACTCCAAGGTATAGATTAACCAAATCTCAACATAATTCTCTGAATATCAATCTATATAACTGCTTGCCGGAGAGAATCAAATCACTATCTTTTGATCAGTTCAAAAAAAGCACAAAAAAATATATTCTTGAACACTGCTTTTATTCCACAGACGAGTTTCTCGTCACAACAAAGCAACTGAGTCATGCACTCAACACATCACTTCTCTGAAATATTCCATTCTATTTACGCTATTTATTTATGCCTCACTTGATTATGTTTGTAACATTTTCAAAATATCATATGTTTTATTGTATAATTTTATTCATTGTGTACTTTATATTGTATCTATTAATATATTGACATGCCATATATGTATTTATAGGTATAGGTATATGTAATGTGGTGAAAATACATATATCTATCTATTTTGGTACTTATCACTTCTCGTGTGGCTTCGGTGGCCTTTGAAGGTCATTTAGAGTTCATAGCTTTTTCAAATTATTATTAATGATAACAAAAAAATTACAAAAACTCATAATATCCTATATTTATGATTGCACATTTTGAATAACGAAAGAAAATATATGCCAGTAAAATTTCAATACGACTTTTTCCGTCAAATTTGTGTAAATAGAATAGAAAGGTGAAAACACTAGTTTTTAAAAATCATCCATTCAAACAAATCGAATGAATTATCCGGTTTTTTTAATGAGTCTCCTTTTTTAACTTTGCAGTGTAATAAAAATTATATATTGACGTAAATATATATTGATAGAATTTTTAACTTCGCAAAATGGATTTATGAACGTGCCAGTGCAACTTAATTTGTGTTAATTTTCTGATATTTGATAGTTTATCTGATAATCACAAAAGTAATCTTTGGAAAATTGCAGATATTAACTGGAATTACATTTAAATATTTCAGCTAGTATGTCTGAGTCTCATCCTAACTGTAGTATGCAATTTTGCTTTCAGTAGACTTCATTTGTGATGTCAATCGTCGCCGAGAGGAAACTTGTCTTTTTAATGAAAAGGGAGTCTTATGATATTTAATTTGATAGGACTTTCAATTCAATTTTAGGTAATCGTATCAGTCGTTCTTGAGTAATTAGTATTTTTATATTCATCGCTCGATTAGAAGATCTCGATATCGAATATCGTCGGAGAAAAAATACATGGTTGAAAAACACTACATCAGGTGTATTATCTTGTATCAGCCTGAGGGTGGGGAATGTATAGTTTCAATAAATTCGACACTTCTCATTTCTCACAACCAATTCGATATCTCCCTCCCGGAATTTCGTCAGTACCGTAAAAGTGCTGTGGGTGATAATAAAGCACTCTTCAGACCGCGTTCTATTATATGGATATAGGCTGAGACCGCATATGATGGGTGCGAAGGGCGCCTCGCGGCATGCCTTGCATCTGGCATCAGCAAACTCTAGATGTATCAAGCGACTACGGTAGACTGAGGTGTTTAAACTACCATACTGGAAGGACATGATGATACCCCCGCAGTTTTCGACTTCAGCCCACTCGACCTGAAGAAAGCGAAGGTCAGGTGCCTTAATAAACCGAGATCTTCAATGTTGTTGGAGAAGACTCCATTTATCGTCTTATCCTTGTATTGCAGCAGGATTGAAGTGTTCTTTGAAGGTTCATCAGCCGCCTTCTCTATTTATTTTTTTACCGAACTATGCACTGGTCAAGCCCTATCCCCCGAAGCCCCGATACATTCGGAGGGGGGGTAAGTGATCATTGTGTTCGAGAATCATGTGCCCTGAGCAAGCGCAGTGAGCCAAGAATGACAGCCTTCTGCATCTGTCCGGCTAAGATTTCTGCCTTAGTGCGGCAGGTATGATTTTAAGATCCGAGAGTAGAGAGGGCATCATTCCACAAAGGATCCAATAATCAGAACAACCATCTTAACAGAGTGGTCTGGATAGAGTCTGCGGAGTTTGAAGAGAAAATCTCGATATTTTATCCGTTTTTCCTCCTCTTTTCGGACGAGATTCGTCTCACCAGGACCTGAAAACTCCACAACAAATATCGTCTTGCTCTGGTGGCTTATTAGCTTATTAGCTTGTATGAGCACGAGGGTGGAGAACGAATAGTTCCAATAAATTCGGCACTTCTCGTTCCCCACAACGGATTCAATATCCCCCGGAGCGTAGGGCAACACCTGTGTCTCGTCAATACCGTAAGAGTGCCGTAGATGGTAATATAGCACTCTTAGGGCCGCGTTATGTCGATGTATATAGGCTGAGACCGCTTATATGCTGGACATACTGATAGCAAGTGCAAGGGTCTCGGACGCCTCGCGGTAGGCCCTGCACATTGTGTCAGGAACCTCTATACCTATCACGCGACTGCGGTAGACTAAGGTGTTGAAGACACGATCCTGGCAAGCCATGATGAACCCCTCAGTTTTCGACTTCAGCCCACTCGACCTGAGGAAAGCGAAAGTCAGGCGCTTTGATAAGCCAAGGTCTTCAATGTTGTTGAAGAAGATCCCATGCATTGGCTTATCCTTGTGTTTCCGCAGAAGTAAGGTGATCTCTGCGGCTGTTTTATGAGCTTTTTGCTGAACGGGTTATTAACGTTATTGTTATTATTATAATTATTTCTTGTATTTTTAAATGTCCTCAGATCAAACCTGTCAAAATTTTGTACTGATAAGGGGGGGTTGAATTGTACCTCGAACTTTGCTCTTCCGTATTGCTCAATTTTTCCAGTATATTCTACCATTTCGCGTGGTTTGTATTTCCCAACTGAATAATTAATCGTTGCCACCTGGATCTGATATATACACTTCATGTGTGTAATGGTTAATTTTGTCGGATTTACAATAGTAAATTTCACTAGTATCTGCATTCAAACTCCGATTCCTTACGACTAACTGACTTTGTGTAAAGTATAAGTTTTTTCTCCATTTCGGTTACACAAACGATGTGACATCAGATATCGTTCGACAAAATATTATCCATTAAAAATTTTAATTAAAAAACTTCAAAATATTTGTAATGCTGTGGATGGTAAATACCACATTTACCTACGATATGATAACTACCAAGTATTTATTCCCATTTTTGTGCATTGTTGACTTTCTTGTAGGTTCAGAGACACAGAATTTCTAGCGCTCACTCCACCCCTCCATCGGTGAGAAGACCCATTCTGAACTTCCGGAGATCTCTTAATACAAGCTCTGAAGATACATTATCTTGCAGAACGTCTGCTCAACATATAGCAAAAGACTACGTCGAAAGTTTACACCAAAATTCCAGAGCAACGTTACTTTTTGGGAAAAACAACGTTCTTGTTGTGCCTTTGAATGCAGACGTGTCGGAACCGATGCCTGGGTAATATATGTAGCGTTTGAATTGTTTCAACTGAACATTTTTTCATTTCTGGCGTAGGTATAATCTGATTTTTTTATTTATTAAAGGTATTTGAGTCTTCACCAAACGCCTAACGGACTAACTATAAAATGGACTCCAAACCAGTTGATGAATGGTTTCGTAGATGAATCTGGCCAGGATAAAAGGTAAGTAAGTATAAGAATATTTCTTTCAAATATATCGAATAGTTCATATAACTATATAACTTTGCAAATTTACCGAATAGTTTATAGATTAAAAGCAGACTTATAACTTTTCAATTATATCACTCTAATTTGATACATTTCGAGATCAAATCTAGACTACATATTTGAATAACATTCTTCCACGTAACATTTTACAAAACCACAACACATATTTTATTTTTCTGATTGATTCGGCCGTTACTTGATGAAGATCCATAGTAATTTCACAAACTACACTTAAACGATTTGATCTCCACTAACTTTATTGAAAATAATCATAACATGTTTCGCTAAAACATTAGCTTTTTCAAATGATTAATTAATCATTTGAAAAAGCTAATGTTTTAGCGAAACATGTTATGATTATTTTCAATAAAGTTAGTGGAGATCAAATCGTTTAAGTGTAGTTTGTGAAATTACATATTTTATTATACAATAGTTTCTTCGAGCATATAAGTAGGCATGGACATCTCCCTTAAGAAGAGGAAAGGTCGATCTCTTGGGATCGACAGAAGATTTAAACTAAAATGATAAACGGGGCTTCAATATCAACCGCCAAACGAGATTCGTCCTCCACTAAAGCTTTCACTACTAGGCAACTAATTGCAACCAGAACCCAAAAACAAATCTTTCGTAATCCAACTCTAGACTGTTTCTCTGTTTCGACTCACCAACTGCCCTTAAAGGATGAACCTAAGAAAGTGAAAACAATGACATCCCCTTTACGAAAACGTCATCTATGAGATCTACACAAGACTTTTTCGTGGATTGAGTCTTCTTTCGATCCAATAGATGGCGTCTTCTTATAGAGAGATGTCATAGTCTTCACTTTTGCTAAATTTTCCTCATGGGCTGCACCAGTATAAGATCTATGGCGGATCGAAACAGTGCTTGACTTTCCAATAAGGCGGTCCCTTTGGAAAAGATAGTAAAGGATAGTGGATGAATCTCGTTCGGCCGTCGACATCGAAGCTTATGGAAGCCTCGTTTATCTGGAATATTCGAAGTTAGAGATTTTTGCTGATCCCGTAGATGGCATCTTATTGAAAGGAGATGTCCATGCTGACTTTACTCAGGCTTGCAGTTTGAGGACAGTTGAGTCCAACAACGCCTTCGTAGTTCAGCCTAGCACTACTGTAGAGACCTATGGTAGGTCGAAACAGCGCTGTCTGGTATTGGATCACAATGCTTTGTGTTTGGGTACTGGTTTCAACTCCTTCAAGCGTATTTAATACTGAATTACAAGTAGTGCTTTTTGAATATATCAGTTGATATCTTAGGGTAGTGAAACAATTTCGAGAATCTATATCATGATTTTTAAACCCAGGATAATAATGCTCAATTTTCAGCGTATATTGGGATTACGCCTTACAATTGCGACTTGATGAAATTGTGTATGTTCATTGTCATCAAGACAGTGATACGGGGGGAAATGTTACATTGGTTGGTCAAGACGGAGTACAAAGGCCGCCCATACATTTTCCCAAAGGTACTCGACCGTTGTTTTTCAGACACCGTATTAATAATTGATGTTTTCAGGTGGCCATATGTTGGCATTTTTGAGTTGCATAGAAACGGGACTCTTACCTCGTGGAAGACTGGATCCTCCTCTATGGTCTCAAACACCCGGAAGAAACTACACGAAACGTAGAAGACCTCTAGCAGCTCTGAATGAAACTGATGAAACAACGAAGGACTATGTTTTCAGAATCATCGACAACAGTAACCATAAAGAAATTCGTGAGTAAAATAATTTATAAGTAAATAAATACCAAACTATTCATCTCTAGTGAAGCGGAATGAGCTTATGGATACCCACGTGTCTTTCCCTACAAAAGTCCGAGTTCAACTTTGCAGCACGAGTACTAGCTCCGAAAGTTCTTCCAAAAGCTTCAGTTTAGATCAAAATGCCCCCGACAGCCCACCAAGTGTTTGTATCCAAGCAGTTTGTGACTCTATGAAGCGGCAAATCATATCCAGGTTTGAATTTTAGATAGTCACTAAACAAATTTGAATCGAATCAAATCAAGTTTAAAAAATCCTTAATGTTGAAAATTTCAGGGCCTTTTATGGATGGTTGGCATACTGCCGACATTTATCTACGGTAAGAACTCATTTGAGTGGTTTGGTTAATGGCAAGATAATCAATGGTGATGGAGCAAATGAAGGTAGAGTGTGCATCATATAATGATTATATTGTTCCCCTGCAGGTGTTGAATTATTCTAGTTCAATCATTTTGTACAGGTATCACCCTTGAAAAATGGTCTGAACTCTGTTTAGAAGGAGTAGTGACCGATTATGCAGAAGTTTATAGGTTAACGTACTTCGGTGGTATTGCAGAGGACTTACGAAATGAGATTTGGCCATATTTATTGGGTCATTATAAATTTGGAAGTACTCCAGAACAAAGAACTGAATTAGGAGAGGAAACTCGACAGGCGTAAGTTGAAAATAGTATATATTGTTCTAGTGAAGTCTCGTTAGTCATACTTGGGATGCTTATTCTATTATTATTAAGGAATCTGAAACCTACTCAACCTGCTATAAATATTTATGAGATAAGACAGAATTCCTTGACATGTAATAATTTGCCAACTAAGAACGATCGCAATATCACTGGATGTTTTAAGTGAGCTAAGGGATAACCGTACACATTGTTACGAGAGTAATTAGTTCGCACTAAGAGGATAGGTACATGTGAGAATGCATGTCTATGGGTTAAAACGCATCCGCATATCCGGCTTTGTATCTTATCTTCTTCGGAAGACTCCATAGTTATTTCTCGGCCTAATGAGGAAGTAGTCGAAGTGGCCGTTCTACTATCCGTTGGCACGGCTGGAGAAGAGATTCATATCATGCCACCAGTAAGGGGGGCATTTCACAGAACCCACAACAGTTGTCTCATTTGGATGCAAAGGTTCATATTATTCGAATAGACTGACATCTAGCAACTGCCGACCTTGCGGTTCTGAAGAGTGAATTGCTACACAAAATAGAAGCCCAGATCAAATCAGCGATGGGTTCTACGTGTTGTGAATAACCTACAGACGGCTAATAGGGTGTAATCGTTCTGGAAGAGCATTTATGAATATACACAACTACTCAACCTAGACATTACAGCTCCAGGCCCAGATGAGCTGAACACTTATTGGAAGAAAATATTATCCACCATCATCTCTGGTAAGAGTTTTGAATCCATGGCGGAGAGAGGCGAACCGTTTTCTTATATTCAAAAACAGAGAATTGTCTATTCAAAAATACTACAGGTCGATAACATGCTTGAATTCGTGATACAAGTTGCATTATTAGAACGAATTGCAGAGAGGATCAAGATGATTGCAAACAGAATCTGCTCATCGACACAGTGGCTTTACGCAGGACTCGGTTCTATATAAATATTACTTCTCTATGGTCTGAATTTATTTCTGCAAGGCATTTAATATTAAATTGTATAACTCTGGAGAAGAAGATATTCATCAGTACATGCATTCGGGATGAAACGGTGATTTCAGAGAAGGTTAGCTCGTTGATAGATGTATACTCACCTAGGAATTAAACAACGCCACACACAAGAGATAACCACCTTAACAAAGAACTCTCTCTGTAGAAATTATCAGTACAATCTCTAACATATCTAGTAATCGGAAATGTCAGGGATTTACAGAGCTTTCGGCATGTCCAGCATATGCGGTCTCAATCGGCATAATATAACACGGCCCTAAGAGTTTATTACCACCTCCGTTACAGTATTGATGAGACAAAAATGCCACATACAATGCTTCCTTATGCTTTGGGGTGTGTTGAATCCTTTGTAAGGAATGAGAAACACGAAATTTACTGGAACTTACCCCACCCTTAGGCTGATGTGATTCCTTTCGATCAACAAAATAAGATGAAACGGGAAAACGTCAGAAAACGGGAGGAAAAACCTATGAAATTTAGTCATCCTGATAAAATAGTACTACACTACAATAGAAATTTAGGCCAGGCAAAGTAGTCATTTTTCGTTCATTGCGTCTACACAAGATACATGAATTTCGATCCCAATAACCACTTTATTTCTGCACAAATGATTTTGGAAAAAATAATTGAGTTTCAAGTCTAAAGTCGGAATTTAACAAAATTCAAGAGTTCAAAGTCAGAATTCAATAAACTTTCGAGTTCAAAGGTGGAATTTGATAAAATTTCGAGGTTGACATCGAAATTGAAAAAAATTATTATCATTGAATTCCGACTGCTGTTTCAAATTACTGTTAAATTCTGACCTCAATAACGGAATTTTATTAAATTTCGTCTTTAAACTCTGAATTTTATTAAATTCAGACTTGAACTCCGAATTTTATTAAATTCAGACTTTAAACCCGGAATTTTACCAATTTCCGATTTCAAATTCGGAACTTAAAAAATATGTGCCCTTCTTTCCTTTTGTATAAAAGTTTATAATGAAATAGTAGGATTTTTTCAATTTTCACTTCAACTTACTTCTAGACTTGTTTCTATTGCTTCATTCTCAGTGTTCTTACAATCCAAATGATTGGTGTGATATTTTCTTTCCGTGATATAGCATATATATATAATCCTTTGCGAGAATACAGTTTTCCATTTGTACATTAGAATAGCTGACCAGATCTATACCGGGTAGTTTACTGATGTGCTGAAACGTTTTTTTCACATCACTACACAAGGCGATCTTCCAGTACCAGTAATTCATCGAAATTTTGTATCCAACATAAAATTTTAACAACCAAATTGGGGTAATCAAGAAATGACTTTCAATTATTATATTAGTGCAGCAGCTGAAGTTGTCATGGTCGATGAACCACCGTGACATCTTCACTGATATATCGTTATAAGATGACTGTGAAATGGAAAAATATGAAAACGTGAATGATAGTGAAACTTCAGTTAGCACCACTGCAACTCGTGATGTAGGTACAAAACGGAGAAGCCTTAATAAATGGGAATTATATTATAGAAATTTGAATAAATTTTGATATAGGCAATTTTTTTTAATTTAACCGATTTTGTATCTCCTGCGGATTCTGATTTGACAAATACTGGCCCTGGACACAGTGTTATTGGCCAATATGCTTGTTAGAAAAAAATACTTACTCCGAAAAAATTGTTGTTATTATCGTTGCAAAAATCCCCCATATGTAATCTGTCACTAGATAAAAACTGACTATGTTTCTACATTTAGGTATGAAAATACGATGTCTGAATGGTTGGCAGTGGAAGCTATAGTTAGGCAGAGAGACAAAGAGACCCAAGCACATGCTATAGCAAAATTAAGTAGTGAAAGCATGTCTGGAGATCAAGTCCCGCAAATACACCGAGAGTTGAGTAATGAGGTGATTATTAACTGTCTGAATATTTCTGAAAAATTTTACAGAAATATTCTTAACGAGCATGCTACAAGGAGATATAAACATTAAAGTAAAGAAAAATCTCTTTTGACTTATACTTTCAAAAATATTGTAGAACAAGTATTTCACTCAAAAATCATTCAAGCATTCCTGTGCAAGAAGAAAGGTTCTTAGTTGTTGTTAATCAGTTAACAAGCAAACTTGAACTAATGATGATTCAACAGGTTTTTGAAGAGGATCCCATTACCGATGACGAAGAAGAAGAAACGTCCGATGAAGACAATCAAGACAAGTGTGCCAAGAAACTATTACGAAAAAAACAAAACACTATCAAGTACGTCAGTGACGGAGAAGATGACTGTGAAGTGAAGAAAAATGAAAACGTGAGTGATGGTGAAACTTCAGTTAACACCAAAGCAACTTGTGATGTACAAAACGGAGAAGCCTTAATAAATGGGAATAATATTGTAGCGATTAATTCTAAAATAGGTAACGGTGAACGGACAATTCTGAAAATATTTCATTTGATTGTTTAAATAATTTTACTGTTATAGGTGAAGTAGAACAAAATCAGACACAAGATTCAACTCAAGTTAGTATATCAGTAGAGAGTAAGAACAACGTAAATGTAGAAACCCCTGAAGAACATGGATACTTACTTTCGAATAAGAAAGAGGAACTCCAAGACTTTATTCATAACGTGGTTGTGATCAATGCTAGTGTGGATATGTGCAATATAGGTACCTAAATGAATATTAGCTTCATTTGAAGTCCTTATAAAAAAACTCTAATATTTCTTTGAAGGCAACGACAGCTCTCGAATGGCAAATTTGGATGCTGTCACAGAAGAAAATAATTCTTCCTTGGACACCTGTATAGAAACACATGGACTTGCCTCTCCTGCTAGATCGGCCTGTGTTTCTCCCGCTAGTTCGAATGGAGGAGTATATAGTGTAAGTCTAAAAACGTGATGATTACATGAATCATGTGACAAGTTATACATCTAAAGAATTATGAAGGGTCTACAAAGCTACGAACTCTATTATCTATTCCTCACAATACCTAATTAATATTTACGATTGACATAATATCTACTAGAGACTTGACGGCGACGATAACATCAATCCAACATTCCATACAACCATCTTTATGATACTATTAGCCACTCTGACTCTATATCTTTGACCTGAAAATTCACGACCATTGTGAATGAATAACAGCTGATATTAATTGACGTGAAATGCTTATCTGAAAACTCACGGGATAAGTGAAGTATTGTTTTTTTAAAAAAAGTCCACTGTGATTATTCTTGAATATTACCTATCTAAATCTGTTTTGTACCTCTATTGAAATCGGCAAGTCGGCATTTCGGAATGTGCTTCTTAAGTGCAAGGCTAACTGCCTCATTGATTCACATTCCTTTCTGAATACATTATTTCCCCCTGACCCAACAGTGAAACAAACTTGTGTATATTTGTCTCCTGAACTTTCTTGATACGTAAAAGTGTCAGAATCTTACGTTACAATGATTTGAGTAAGCCAAGTAGAAATGTATAGAGTGGTGTGCTTAAAAAAGATCTATTGACGAACCTCCCTGGCATATTCGTCCTTCATTCCTTCCACTCCGTTTGTTTAATTTCTTATTTACCCTTTCAATAACATTGTACCCTTTCTCTGCACTTCATCCATAATTTTCTCGATTTCCATTAGAACTTCTCGGACTTCACCTTGTACTTGCTGGAATTATTTTTTTATTTATTGATGGAAAAAATTTAGTCTTTGTTAATTTTGTTAATAAGTTCGTCCTGCTGTTGCTTTTGGTTTTTATTTCTTTCTCATTGCTCAACCTCATTAAAAATTTCTTTCCCCTTACCTACTTGTTTTCCATTGCTTGTTTTTCACATTACATGTTGTTTTTTGAAGCAACTTTTCTTTTTGATCATTTATTCTTGTTGTTCTAATTTTGTATTTCCTTCTCTTCTTTTCTCCCCTTTAATTCCTACCAGTCTTCTTGTAGTTGAAATTGGTTTGACAAGATCTCCAGATTCTTGCCATCTCATCGAACTTTTATCCTTTCGTCGGTGCCCACCGGTCACCGAAGTCAGTCTATAATTTTTTCATTAAATTATTGGCACACTTATTGATTGAGCTTCTCTAATGAAAAACACAGAAACATATTCACTAAAATACTTACACTGTCTGTATTGAAATGACTTGCTCGAATATCACTATATAGTCCGGTCAATTTAGACATTCTAAGCTACCTAAATTCCCACCAAGCTGAAAATCAGCAAGATTGTTTAAAATATGATTAAAAATAAAAGTTGAAAGTTCCCCATATTTCCCCTGTATGAAAAAATTTTATTTAAGGTCAACGGTCAAAAAAATGAGTTTTTCACGATTTTCAGCAAAACGGTAAGTTTAATCATAAAAATACTTCACACAAAAATTGGAGATCATAAAAGTATCTACAAAAAATGTATCGATACTTTTTTTTCTACGAGCCACCGTTTTTGGGATATAACGATTCAAAAAGTTGTAAATAAATAGACAACACCCTGTATTCGACAGTTCAGTTTCAAAGCCTGTAATATTACCTATTACATAAAGATGGTGTTAACCACAGTCAATTTTTTTTAATGAGTAAAATAATTTCCAAAGGTTTTGGTGCAGTTATTTTTATTTTTTGTTAACATCGAAAATTACTCAAAGTTTTTGGCCAAACACGCCGCACATTTATATACGCATCGAATATTTACGGAGCAGGTAACTGGAATATAGATTAACTTATTCAGTTCATGAAACTTGTTTTTAGCAAGATCTACTAGAAACATTTGGCTTGAACTTACATAGAATTGAGAAAGACGTACAACGTTGTGACCGAAATTACTGGTATTTCTCAGAGAAAGATAATCTGGACAAATTGAGGAATGTCATGTGCACGTAAGTAGTTTTTCGTTTCTGTAGTACGATCATAATTATTGATAAACGTTGTAATACAGGTATGTTTGGGAACACCTGGACATCGGATACATGCAAGGAATGTGCGATTTGGTGGCGCCCCTTCTTGTAATATTTAACGATGAATCGCTCACGTACGCCTGTTTTTGTCATCTGATGGAACGGATGGTGGAAAATTTTCCCAACGGCAATGCCATGGACTGTCATTTCGCCAATATGCGATCTCTGATACAAATCTTGGATTCCGAGATGTACGAACTGATGCACGCGAGCGGAGATTACACACACTTCTATTTCTGTTACAGGTAAAATTATATTCCGAACAGAAAAAGGGTTGCTGGAAGACATTTACAACTTTCGACTGCAAGAATTTACAAACTTGACTTTTTTAGTCACTCTACCAGCAATTTCCAAACTAACATTAATATAATTCTCATACATTTTCAATTACGGAGAAAATCAATACTTCAAATAATTTTCGGAAAGTTAATCTCCCCCAGCTGTCCAAATCCTCTAGTTCTCAATTTTCCCAGTTTAAGAAATCTATTTTTCACGATTCCTTCATTAGATTCATTTTACACCAGAGGTTTCAAAATAGTACAACGAGGTAATGAATTTAAAAATCAGAGAAATTTTTGTCATTGTGTCAATTAATTGATACAGCTATATCTTTCTCATCAGCACTTCTAACAGTTTTTTACTCTGCTTTTAACGCATAACAAAAAAAATGCGCTTTTAAAGAAATTCAAAATCACTATATAAATGCGAACTAACGTGAATGGCATATAAACCTATTTTCTGTTTTATTATCCATACTAGTAAAAAGTAGAGAAATAAGTAAATAAAAATTATCTTATTCTCGATTTCATAGGTGGTTTTTATTGGATTTCAAAAGAGAGCTAGTGTATCCTGATGTGTACGCAACCTGGGAAATAATTTGGGCTGCACAACAAGTTGCTTCGACCCACTTCGTCCTATTTGTAGCACTGGCTCTTGTGGAAACCTATAGAAATATAATACTATCAAACAGTATGGATTTCACGGACATTATCAAATTCTTCAATGGTAAGACTGTCTTCGGTACATCTGCTCGAAACCTGTTTAATTCTTAATTTTTTTGAATCCCAGAGATGGCGGAGAAACACGATACTCAGGCGGTATTGAAACTAGCCAGAGAACTAGTACTACAGTTACAACTATTAATAGAAAATAAGTAAATGTTTAAGAAATGTCATGCACGACAAGAACATTTTTGAATTATTGAGACAACTCAAGGTGGGCAATTAGAATAGTGACTTTTCTAAGGCATTCTAACGGGTAAGAGGTCAATCAGCGATTCTGTTTCTTGACGCTGACCATCTACAGGATCTACTTAAAATTTTAGGTGTGAGGATATATGTATTTGTGATAAAACTTATTTTCTTACATAAGAGATACTGCATTCGATCTGAAACTTTACCATGTACCTAGTCTTTCGAGTGTTTCAACTGTTACATGAATACTGGAACTATTTGTTTCATTATATAGGTACCCAAAACAGAGGGTCCAATATTATACCAGTGTATAATATTTGCTTCGGCCCGTTTGAAATATAAATTCTACCTCTTCATCAATTTGTCTCTGAACTGAAAAATATGTTGAGTATAGCCGCCATGCACTATTTTATTTGTATTTGCTTATTCAAACTTGTGCCTATTCCAAAATCATCGATTTAAGAAAGTGACAAGTAGCACTTTTAATAATATCTCTTGTTATATGAAATTTTTATATAATTTTATAATTACTATAGATTTTATTGTTCCATTCAAAGCAATCAGTTAAAATCGCTCTTGTATCATCTTAGCACAAGAAATTAGATTAGTAAATTGGAATTGTGCCAAACATGTATAAATTATATGATTCCGAAGTTCTTAGTTTTCAGTTCATTTTACTTATTTTATACAAAGAAAATATCAAAAAAATGGAATTGCCACTAAACTATATACTACTCTGAAATCTCAAATCAAGAGAAATATGTTATTTTATATACATCTTTTATAAATTTTAAGAAATACCTATATGTGATGCATGAAATATCTGAAAATAAGTGTGTATCAAAAAACTTGTTTCCAAAATAAATATTTATTTATTGTTAATCAGGAGAAATAATATTTATTTATCTGTATTAATACACTATGTGTATAAATGTTTTATACTAAAACAAATCATATAAATATACTCTATACATATTGATGATGATTAGTTTTCCAGAGTTTGAATAGTTATATTTATTTTTTTTAACCTGAGTGAAAACCGTTAATAGTTACTACATAGGTATTTTTCTTGTATTGTTGGTATAAGTATATAATATTTTATTGAAAATTAGAAGTTTATTATACTATATAAATGATTTTTTTTTCATGCATTACCCTTTTTATACTTCACTTTAATACTCATGAACTTTACAACAGGACTGAAGTTGAAATTATTGTTGAAATTATTTAGAACCTTTCGAGACCACGTCGAGTCTAAAATAGTTCTATCAAAAAAATAAAGTGATTGAAAAATATTTCTATCTACAAGAACTAGGTAACAGGCGACAGAAGGTTTGTTTTGCATCAGGCTCAATAATAGGCAGACCAAGTAATCATTATGAAAACGCATAACCTGGGACCATACAAAGTGCATACTGTTATTGTAGCCATTTCATATAATTACGTTTGGTTGAAGGTGATTGACAATGTTTCATGATGAATTTCACTAGTTCGGACTTCCATTGTCTAATACAGGGGTCTCCAAACTTCGAAGCCTTCGACTAGGATAGTCGCAAAGTGCGTGACCTAAGCAAACTTTCGCTTTTTTTGCATTTCAATTATTATTGTGTATTCGTATTGTGTATTATTGTGTATTCGACATCTAGTGGCGAGTAGTGGTACTATGTACTATCTATCACCTAGCTACCCGCTAGGTGGCATTAGGCGTAATTAAATATTTGGAATTACCGCGTTGGTTCGAAAAAGTTCTGGTTCTAGCTAGTGTATTCCGATCACCTCGAGATGGCAGTAATAATTGCATATAAAAAGGCTAGCGGAGCAACTGCGAGTTAGTCTGCGTAGGAAAGGCGAAGGAAGCGAAACTGTCTATTGTGAAATAAAGTAACACCCGTCAATAAAAGTATTTTGATTTGACTTATTGTTTTTATGTGTGATTTGTTAGTATAGAAAAGAAGCGAAAAATCGACAGTGAATGCAGAACGTTCCAAGAAAAATGAAACTTTCAGTATTTTGTGATTGAGTCCAGTAATAAGGCGCTATGTTTAATTTGTAATGAAACCATAGCTGTTCTCAAAGACTATAACATTAAACGACACTATGAATCGAAACATCTTCAAAGTTACTCCAAGTATACAGGAAGTTTGCGGAAGGAAAAATTTGAAGCTTTGAAACGCGAACTCAAATCGCAGCAATCTCTGTTTACCAAAGCGAATACTGAACAAGAGTCTGCAACTCGCGCCAGCTTTCGTGTGGCTCTTGAAATCGGAAAACGTGGCAAACCATTCACCGATGGAGAAATGATAAAAGAATGCTTGATTGCAGTAGCCGAAGAAATATGCCCCGAAAAGGTAAATTTATTTAAAAGTGTCAGGTACTGCTCAGGTGTTGATTTTTATTCGCGGAGTAGATAAAAGCTATGAAGTGTATGAAGAACTTCTTGATATCGATAGTATTCACGTCACGACAACTGGGGCAGATATTTTCAAGGGAGTTGAAAATGCTATTAATAAAAAGAACCTTCGATGGAGAAATTTGAAATCTATAACAATGGAGGCAAAAATATGTATGGTAAAAATAAAGGAGTGGTTGCACTTGTGTCAAAGGCTGTAGAAAATGATGGTGGTTCAAAACCATTAGTCTTACATTGTATCATGCATCAACAGTCCTTGTGCGGAAAATGTTTGGATATGTCTGAAGTTCTAAAACCAGTCATATCAGTTGTTAACTTCATCAGATCCACTGGGCTGAATCACCGACAATTCCGCGAGTTTATTCAACAGATTGGAGAAAATGATTTACCATATCATACTGCCGTACGCTGGCTTAGTTGCGGAAAAGTCCTTAAGCGCTTTTCTGAACTTCGAGCAGAGATCGAAATTTTTTTAAATGAGAAGCAGCGCCCTTTTGCCGATTTAGAAAATAGTGAATGGATGTGGAAGTTAGCCTTCTATGTCGATTAGACAAATCATATGAACTAACTGAATTTGAGATTGAAAGGAGAAAATCAGCTTCTCCCTGATTTATACACCAATATCAAATCCTTCAGGCAGAAAATAATACTATTTCAATCGCAATTACGTAAAAAATGTTTCATACATTTTGAAACATGTGAAATATTCAGCCACACTACAGTGACTAAATTTCCCGTCAATTTTGCAATCGAAACTTTGAGTGCTGTGAAGATGAATTTTGATACTCGTTTTTCAGATTTTGATGTCATTGCGAATGAAATTAAGCTTTTTCAAAATCGTTTTATTCTGACATTGAAACCCTGGCTCCGGAAGTCCAAATGGAAATTATTGATTTATGGTGCAGTGATATGCTTAAGAACAAATATCAAAATTCCTCTTTGTTGTAATTTTATAAGAGTCTTCCACTGGAACAATTTGATAATTTGCATACATTTGCTCGTGGGTTGTTTTCTGTTTTTGGTACTACTTACTTGTGTGCGAAAACGTTTTCCAAGATGAAGTACACAAAGAATGTTTACAGATCTCAATTAACCGATGAGCATCTTAAATCTCTTTTGATAATTGGTACAAGTAAAATTGATCCACAACATCTTATCGATTGAAGCTACATTGATGTCTTATGTTTATTGTTTAAAAAAATATTAAAAAACTAATTCAATGTTTATGGGATAATTGAATTTTTTCTATTCTAATTATTAATGCATGTAATGATTAAGAAAAAATCATTTTCTTAACATGTCGCATTGAATAAAAACACGTTCATTAATCAACTACCGTAAAATGGGGTCAATATGTGCCACTTTTTCATGTTTTCATGTTGTTGCAAAAATATTGTTAGAAAAAAATTAAATATATGACACCGCGTAGTTTGCGAATGCATTACAGTACAAGGAAATATAAAAATAATTTTAGTTATATCTAAAACCTGATATATTTTTGACACATTTTAAACCCAGCTATTGGGGTGACTATGTGCCATATCGGTTTTCAATGCATATTCAATAGAGAAACACAACTGGCATGTTCTCACCTTTATCTTGTCACTCAATAAATAAAGGGCTAAATGAATTTACACAGTTGTGTACAAAAAATATATATTCTATGAAGAATTTGTATACAAATAGAAGAGAAATGTATCTCTTAATGGTGACACAAATGAAAACCAAACTAATAAGACCAAGCACAAAATAAATCAAATTTTAATAAGCAAAATATTTAAGTTGCGGTAATTCAGGAACTTTGAAGATTTCTCTCTTAGATATTTGACATGGCTTGTCAGTTTTTCGTTTAATGTCATCATAGAAATACCAAATCGCATCTGGTTTTCTGGGCCACTTCCAATTTCCCCCACACTTTTCCATTGCTGAAATTAAAACTGTATGCACAGCTACTTCTTTTACTTGTCCTGGAAACACTTGATTTTCGTACATATCGAGTACATATTCACCAGCACTAACTTCGTTTTTCTGCACATTTGTGTCAGGAATTTCAATGGCTACCATGTCTAATAATAATAATAATAGATTTTATTATAATAATTGATTTTATTGTTAGGAACAAAATACAAAGACAATAATATATACATATAAACAAAAATATAACCTATCAAATGGCAGGATTCAATTTCTGACCATACTACGGAGAAATCGCAACATGAGCAGACCTTGCTCTTCCATCCAACCAAAAAATGTGTGCACCTATGTAAACATAAACACAAGTGCACACAAGCAAACATATCACCAAACGAACACGATTAAAAATATACTACATAAATCGGTATGCAAGACACATTGAACACATGTATAATACTATAATTAAAAAGAAAAGAAGTAGATGCAAGAAAAAGAAAAAAAAAGAAAATAGATATTAGCACTAGAAATTCAGCATGCTAAGAAGTTCATTCATAAGCAAAAGATGTTTAATTTTCTTCTTGAATATAATACAATTTGAATTCTTTAGTTCGTTAGGTAATTTGTTAAAGAGCCAGGTTATGCAATAAGAAAACGATCCACGATAATGGGAAGTGTTGTGGTGAAGGGGTGTGAGCAAGTTCTTGAATCCCAAATTAAGATTATGAACGTCGGTCCGAAACCTGAGTTTGTTGTAGAGATAAGCAGGCTTCATGTGATTTATTATTTTGTGAAATAATGTACATGCATGTAAGATACGCCGATTTTCCATACTCAACCAACCCAGTTTTGGTAAGTGATGTGTCACATGATCCCGTCTCCGCGAACCAGTGATCAATCTTCTCTTATCGGTTTGTAACAGATAAGGACCGTACACCACATCAGCATAGTTCGCATGGGATAAAACAAGTGCGTCGCAAAGAATTTCTTTAGATTGGCGATTCAGTATTTCACGGTTACGGTAGATTGTTTTGAGGTTACAATACCCTCTTTTCAAAATCAGTGAGACATGCGGATTTATCAGCAAACCAAGAATTTTTATATTGTCATCTTCGCCTTTTATTGGTAACGACAGGTTATCGATAGTGATGCTTATATTATTCAAGCACTTTTTCCTAGTTGCTGACCTCCCAAAAAGCATGACAAACGATTTATTGACATTCACGGAAAGACAGTATTTTTCCGAAAGTTCAGTCAGACTTTTCAAATCTATATTAATTTTTCGGCAACTATCATCTACAGAAGATTCCTCGAAATGCATGTATATCTGCGTATCATCAGCGTAGCTATGTATGTTTGTGTAACGAAGGCAATGAGGGAATTGGGAGGTATATATTACAAACAAAAGTGGCCCTAGGATGGACCCCTGCGGGACACCATTCCGAGTAGCAAGAAAATCTGATTTTGTTTTTATATAACACACTGAGAGCGATCACTAAGATAGTTTTTCATGAGTTCAACTGAGTTGGGTGAAAATCTGAGATATTTTAACAAAACTAATAAAAGCTGATGGCTAATCGTGTCGAAAGCTTTTGAATAATCTAACAATACAAGTAAACACAAATTATTACTATCAACCGAAGTATGAATATCGTCCATAACTTTCAACAGTGCAGTTGTACAGCTATGTTCAGCTCGAAAACCTGACTGAGTAGGAGGCAGTTTATTAAATGTATCAAGATAATCGCGCATTTGAAAGTTCATAATTTTTTCCAGCGTTTTTGAGATTGCACAGAGGATGCTAATTGGGCGAAGGTCATTGATACTCTGGGGATTTGCGGTTTTTGGTAACGGGATGATTTGAGATTTTTTCCATAATGAGGGATATGCTGATTGTTGGATGCATATATTGAATATATGTCTGACATGAGGAATGATAATAGGGCAACAAAGCAATAACATTTTGATGCTGATATTATCGGCACCAACCGCATTGGATTTTATTGAGAGAAGTGTTTTATACACCTCAATCTCCGTAATATCATGGAAAGCAAAACTGTGATCATCAAAGGAATTGTTGTTGGAAAGAAATGATAAGATATCATTACCTGGATTCGAGATAAGTGAAGAGCTATTACAAAAGAAGGTATTGAGATCATTGGCATTAGTGAGCTCTTCAGGGATGGTTCTATTGGATTTTTTATGCATGCCCAAGGAAGCTAAATCCTTCCAAAATTTATTTCTATTACCTTTGAGGCGGAACTCCAGGTAGGCCTTCTTTTCCCACTTGATTGTGCGGTTTGTGAGGTTTCTCATTTGCTTGTAATAATCCCAGTGGGGGGGGAGCTTGCTTCTTTTGAATCTGGTAAAAGCTCTATCACGCAGTTTCATCATGAATTTCAAGTTTGCTGTCAACCATGGATCCCTTTCTTTCGAAATTCGAACAGTTCTAAGAGGAGCATGGGAATCGAAAGTTTTTAGTTTTTAGTATGTATCAAATCGCTCCCTCAGTTGAGGTGAATAGGGACTTTGATGGCTTTTTGCATAAGAAACATGTCCTGTACTGTCATTTTCGCCATCAGATTCGTTATCAAGTCTTGTAACCCTTTGAGAAAGATTATGTTGCTTATGAGTCTGTCCTGATGAAGTTGAAGGTTGATGGTCTGTCTCTTCCTGCACGTTGTCTTGAGTTCATTCAGGTTGGAGCCCAGCTCCCTTACCCTTTTAGCTGATTTTTGTCGAAGAAGGACAAATAGGTTCATGACTGAGGGGATGTTTGCGGTATGAAGTCCTCAGACATCAGTACCGCCAATCACGGGGTACCCCTGGGGTGGGATGGATGAAAAATCTATTCGTCCGTTAACGGGGGACATGAGGGCCTCATTCGACAGAGTGTCGGGGCCTTCTATATCAGGAGGGGTCGTCTACAGCATAATCTGTGGCTTCCCTAACTAACGGGTCTGTCTATTCGAATTAAGGTGTTCAATAAATATTTCACCATTCAATGCTTTTACTGCAGGTAAGGCTTCAACAATATACAATGGCAGTCTTTGTAATACTTCGTGACGATTTGCAGAAAAAATACAACATTTACGTAAGCCAGCTATAAGATTTTGGGCACAATTTTCCTATAAAATATCCAAGAGTTATTTTAACAGTCCTGGAAATTCATCTTTGGGAACTGTCATGCAGCGACTATGTTCTTTCAATCCATTTAAAATCTTTCTCCAGGAAACTTTAATAGGTCTAAAAATGCTACATCTAGAGGTTGTAGCAGGTGGGTAGCGTTTGGGGGCAAAGCAATGCAGGATATGCCATTTTCATGGCAGATATCTATAACTTTTGCATTCATATAAGAACTTTAGTAGTGCCACTGAATGGCACAATCTCACCCCACAAATTTGTGCTCTTATCTCAAAATAGTTTTAATTCACAAAAATAAATTAGTATGCAATAGGTATATATTATCATGATGAATAAATGGGTAATCGAAATTATTTACCTAGATATCTCAATTTGTTCCACAAATTTCTCACCACCAAAAAGTATACGGACTTTTGGGACAAGTAGAAAATATGTGTCATCCGTCAACGCCGACCTCTCAACAAATAGCGGGAACCACGTAGTTAGGAATTACCCCACAGGTTGCCTAATTTGTATAGTCATCATAATAAAGGCTGGTTGACATAACAAGAGCATAACGAGCGTACGAATTTCAAATATCTGTAAAAAGACACAATGGCATATTTTCACCCATGCAGGCACATTTTGACCCCGTTCTACGGTATTTATTTTTGTCCGTGAATATCAATTTTTATTTGTATATTTCATAAAACAATATTTTAATGAATTTTCACTTTTTTACTAGTAGTAAAAATAAATGAAAATAATCATATCAGACACATATGTCTCCATCTTCTCATCAGCACCATTTTGTATAACTTCACATGACAAACAACTCATTTCTTTTTCAACATGGTGTCCGGACCCAACGGTTCTGCTATATTGTCACGATGTTAGTTCCTAAAATATTTACCAACTTGTTAATTCAATCCGATTCTTAATAGAAGTTTCGTTTGAATTGAAAATAAGTTTTTTTTAAAATTTGTGTCTGAAAGTTCCGTGCATGATCTATACATTTTTTCTAAGAGTTTTTCATCTTCCATCTTTTTTCAGACATTTCCTAAATTTTTGTGTATAATGATGGGAGCTTTTTTTCTCAGTGAGTGGGTCTATTCGACCCTCCACCGCAACCCGCAAGGGTTTATTATGGCTCACACCTATTTACACTCGACCAAATAAATCCAGCTTCTTAACGAAGCCGATTAGTTTGTATGGTGAGTGGTCTTTCAGGTCAGAATGGTAAGAGTACGGCTCTGCCGTACATCGTTAATGAGGTAGTCGGATAGTCAAGGTGCAAGATTCCCACCTTGATACCCGCGACAACCTCCACATATGAGGGTTTTTGCACGTCAGCTACACCTGACGATGCCTTACATTCAACCGTGCAGGGCTTTTTCGCCTCTGGTTTTTATATAATCACTTGAGCGCAAACGTTTGCTAACCTGCTCATGGTGGGTTTGTACCTCCACCTGAGACAGATTCTGCGTACGCCGCTTAAGAATTTGTTGCATGGCGGTTTCATGAGTTACCCCGCTCTTGGGGAGACGACTCAGTCGTTTCCTGGCTGTACCACCAACCCTTTTTTTAGGTTCAGTTATTGGATCAGGAGTTGGAGAGTTGAGAAGCTCTCGATCCTGAACTAAATTTACAGGGAGGTCAGTTGGAGTCATAAATTCGGCATCCATCTCCTCTGTAGACTCGCTTCTGAACAAAATTTACAGGAAAGTCAGTTGGAGTCGTAAACTCCTCTGTAGACTCGCTCCTGATCTACATTAGCAGGGAGGTCAGTTGGAGTCGTAAGATCGCCATCCATCTTCTTTATAGACTCAGCGCCAGAAAGAATTTTTAAGTTTACTCTGTCCATAAAAGTCCCACGAGTAGCTAGGGAAAGAAGGTCAATCACGGCAAAGCCCCGCATTACCGTGACAAGGCGAAGCTACGACGAGAGGCGCCTGGTATCTCGATGGTTCCATAGAGACAGCTGATAGGCTCAGTGTCATTCATCCTCTCGGCACGGATACACACACCTTGGGCCATCGTTGGGATGATATTCAGTTAGGGAATAATAGAACCACAAGTGATTCTGTCATTCCCGTATCCAGCGGGGCTACGTAGAAGCAGGCATCCGATGGCTGGTTTGCTCAACCCCCACATCCCAAGCCAATGCACTCGCCAAAAATAGCATGCACACTGGTTCAGGCAGTGAAAGATGAACATGGACAGCCAACCCGCCAAAGTAAATTAGGTTATATGACTAACATAACCACTTGCAATGAATATATCATAAAACATATTTTATTTAATTGGTAACTGGGTCAATGAATAGTTAACTCAATATTTCTAACAGAAATTTGAACATTTATGAAATAGAATCAATAATTTCATTTTTCAGACAGTTTTCTTTTATACTTGTACTTATGTAGAGTTTGAACCTCTTTCAAAATTATAAAAATTTTGTGACTATGGATGCATCGGTAATGCTAGAAATCGCACATTAAAAGGTAATACTAATATGTTGCTTGCACAAGTCTCTTGAAAACTTTGAATTAGGTTCATTGCTGTTTGCATGAATTGTGTTGTATTGTATTGTCTTCATTATCCCAAGAAACATTAAATAACTTTTCATCACACGTGACGATCCGATCCAAAAAAGGATCGTTTTGTTTGGGTCCTCAAATCCTCGTCCTGGATTACTGTAGGTCGACCACTTCGGGGCTCATCTTCGAGGCTAAAATCTCCGGATCGAAATTTCGCAAACCAACATCGAACAGTGCGTTCATCAACACTATCATTGCCAAATGTCTGGTTAATTTTTCGGGCTGTTTCGACAGTACTTAGGTTCAATTTGAATTCGTAGAGAATATAAAGACATAATAATAATAATATTTATTAATCCAATAAAGTCATGTACAAACAAGGGGTGAGTAACATAAGTGAAAAGAGGATATTCTAAAATAGATTCAAAAGAATATCAAAATTACATAGAAGCAAAGTGGTAGTAGCTGGTGTATAAAGTGCGTGTATAGATATAAATAAATTGTATAACATTAAGACTAGACAAAGATTTCGTTAAAAAAATAATTCAGTCTGTATGAGCATTTTCCTGAGTTTCAATTCAAAGTTACATATTGGTAGTGATTTCAGACGGGGGAGGGGCGGTAGGTTGTTGTACACCAGTAACTATGGGATTCTGGCTCGTTATTTGAAGAATATGGTTTGGAATGATTTCTTGTATTTTCCCTGTGGAATATGGATGTGTATTATCTAGGCAGTTGGCTTGGTGCTTTCTAACATGTGCAAAGCAAGCTATTTTCAGTATATACAGGTTGATCACTGTTTAAATGCCTAGGCATTTAAGAAGTGGTTTGCATGGTTCGTGATAATGAGAAGAGGTTATACATCTAATTATCAGTTTTTGGGCATTCAATATTATTATTCAACGCAGATGATATCCCCCAAAACGAGATACTATATCACAGCCGGGACACAATTTCACACTGTGATGGACAGGTACAGTCATTGAGTCATTTGAAAATTCTGTAAAAGTTTTTAAAATATGAAATTTTTTACCCAGAGTAGTTAATTAGCATACAGCAGTGAACTCCCTATTTCAGATTCTTTCCTAGGTATACCCCTATAAATTTAGTTGAGCTGTTTTGTTTGAGGTGCTCTGGTTCTATAATTATTGTATATGAATGGTATATAGTTTTTTGGCGGGGGTGGAAATTTATGAAGTTGGTTTTGGTTGTGTTCAGGACCAGATTATAGCAACCATTCACTTGCCTTTTTCAAAGCAAGGTTTGTTTTTGCCTCTGTATCTAGGGAATTTCAACCAGTTACCAGAAAACTTGTGTTATATGCGTACATTATGACGTTGGAGTCTCCGGTGTACCATGGTAAATTGTAAGTGTACAGAATAAATATTATATAGGCCCAAGTATAGAGCTTTGAGGTACGCCTCAACAACAGTCAAATGTGAAACTATCCATATTCAATATAAAAAGATTTAGATCATATCATATAATACCGTATCTTTAATTCAATTCATTAAATACTTTTTCAATTGATTTTTTAATTTGAGAGCAGTTATTATTATGCCATCACAATAAATTGATTTCTGTCCAAAATTAGATTACTAATTGATGATAATTGTTTGTCTAGTGTTATGACTATGAATATTATTGAGTTCTATGAAATTTTTGATTTATTTAGTATTGAATGAATGAAGCAACAATTTTTCGACTGTATATTGTGTTCAATTCGAATAATTTTTTTGGTTCAGACAAATTCGCTGTAGGTTCTGAGTACGGTAATTTATAATTGAATTTATTACTTTTATTTTGTGAAGATTTCAAAGTTTATAAAATATATCTTTTAGGTAAATTTATTATAACAAGGTTTATCTATATTTTCTTTGTTAATACCACTACACAAGTTTCCCTTCTTTATTTTTTGGCATATGATTTTTTATGCTAGACTTCTACTATATCTGTTTGTGACGGATCCAGGTGACATTCAGAGAGTGCACAATTCAGAAAACATACAGGTTTTTCTAATACTGTTGATGTTCCAATAGTTATAGAAATTATTGATTTTATTCACTATTTTCTTGATATTTGGCAAACTCATACTTTTTTTAAGTCACTGTTGAACAGGGACTATAGTCATTTAGGGGGGACCACAGCCTCATGCCCTCGTCAGTGTATAGTTTCTTCTAAGAATTTTCTTGACCTTTTATAGATTTCTATATAGCTAGACATCTAAGACTCCTAGCTATATAGGAGAGTTATCCAATCTTTCTTAAATTCAGTCAACTCTGTACTATACCACCCCCAATATGACACTTAATGCTTTGACATTATACTGCTTTATAATTATACAGACATGAAGTTTTGATGAGTATGTATAGTACTATTTTCCAATACTATTTATTTTACTAGACAGTATTTTGCCTACTTTGCTACCGTTTATTTTTTATTTTTCATTTTTGAGATATATACCTTTTCTATTTTCAATTTCCTTCAAAAAGAATTTCAAGAACATTCATCTAAAATGATTTCAAAACTATAAAAATCCTTCTAAAGTAAAAAATTGAATATGCACTCTCTAAGCTATAGGAACCCTGAATTATTGGAGAAAACAAAGATGAAAGGAAAGCTCAAAAAAATTGATGAAAAAAGACTAGGGGAATGATAATTATTATACATGAAAAATTATTTTTCATGTATAATTAATTACATTACCCACATTATGGACAAAATAATTTTGTTGAGAATTTGACATTCTTGATAATCTTCAAAGGTTTATCCAGTTTTAAGGTTTATTCAGTTTTCAACTGAATGATAGGAAAAGAGGGTTCTTATATCTAACTTACTTTAAAATAGCTGTTCTGACATCAAACTTCATTTATTTTAAAATATATATTACATGAAATGAATACATCACTGCCTCTTCCTAACAATAGGAACCAAAAAAATTAAAAATACAGTTTTGAAATGCACCTTGATAGGTTCTGATGATGACATAGAACAGATATAGTGACAAAAATAGAAATAGAAACAATTGGACTAGAACAAATTCTTTCCACACATTCAAACGCAATACTTTTACTGATTCGCAAACTTCACACCAGAGGCAATATTCTTCTTCAATTCTGGAAGAGCAGTTTTTAATAATTCTTGTTCAAAATCGTTCAGATGTCCTAGTCCCAAGTTCTTCTCAATACCACACTTGCCAAGAAGAAGAGGTGTGGCAAAATACGGAGATTCTGTTACATCTGACATCACGTAGGCAGGTTCAATTACGTTGGATTCTCCTTTGAGTCCCCGAAGTAGAGAATTGGCAAAACGTGCACCAGCATAGGCCATTGAAAGGGTAGCCGACCCTGCTCCAGCTTTAGCTTTGACAACCTACGTAATAAAAAAAATTCAAATATTTAACAATATTAATTTAAAATGCATTGCAATTTGATGTGCCCATTGTTTGTTAGGCAAAAAACCTAATAACCACCAAAAATGTAATTTTCACTTTTACTGAAAAAAAGCAATGGTACCCCCAGAAATCTCCATGTCATTGTAAATACTGGTACATATCTTACATATCATTTGTAAACAGGATGTCCCAAAATTTAATCAACACACTATATTTTCTCATGCGTTGTAAAAATGGAGGAGTCTGCTTGGACAGAGATACCTTCCTGAGATCATCAACATCATACTAACCATCTTTTAAAAAACTATCTCTCTAAACCATTTGATATTTTCATGAAAAATTTCCACTCGACTAAATGATCACTCATCACCAACACGAAAAAAGGATTTTTTTATAAATATGTCAGTTCTCCACAATGAATTGAATGTCAGCTCATCTATTCCAGTGCAGATCACACCGTTTAAATAGAGTTTATGACCTATTACAATGCCTTCGCCATTGACTCCCAACGAAGGAGGAGGAATTCTCGAAAAGCATCATAATTATATTGCGAACTTTATCATTATTTGCCATAACATGTATCTTTTCATAGAATTAAACAAAAATTATGCTCTGGTTCGTTTCCAATGTTGAAACATACCCAACCTAAAACACATACGAGAAGTAAGAAAATTAAATGAATTTTCTTGTCATTTGCTGAAATATATCCACATGTTACAGTTCAAGTGTTAGCATCAGAAATTGAAGTTAGTAAGAGCCCCTTTCAGAAAATTTTCAAAAACAAAGATACCACATTTTCAAAGTTTATTTTGTGCATGGTTTGCGGCTCGTAGATTAGGAACAATGGCTAGAATTTTCGGGTGCCTCCAAGTTATTATACATGATAATCTAGGTGTTCTAAACCGATCCTCTGGAATGATTAAAGTAGGTTTCATAATTATGGTGTAATCAACACACACAAAACTCGATAAGCAGAATTTGGGACCTCTGGCATAAAATGACTCGACTTGAGTCTTAGTTATCTCCCGATGATGTTAACTTGGATAGCGAAACACGTGTTGAGAGACAGTACTTTTGTACTACAGGGAAAAGTATTTTCAATAGATACTGGTCCAATAACAATTCCCATTGGATAGCAAAAACTCGTTTCCAAAATATATGGAGTATGAATGTGTAGTGTGGACTCAATAAAGGATTGAGCCATATTTTTAAACTAGTACCTCAACAGGATCACGTTATTTAGATTCCATGCTGAACACTTTGCCAAACTAATAGAGCATATTCTTCTGTCCAAATGTTCCAAAATTAGTACATTGTTACCCAACGTGTCATATGTATGTATGTATGTATGTATATTGATTTTTTAATTTGAGAGCAGTTATTATTATATATTCCCGTTGCACCACCTCATGAATTCTTCATACACTTTGTGGTATATTTTTTTGGATTCGCTTGGCAATAAACTCAATTTCACATCCTCAGCTGTTTTACTATTTCTGATGTAGTACACTTTCTTTGTCGCTTGAATCCATTTCAAAATCACTAATAAATTATCTGTGAAATCGACAGCAAATATGGCTACTAGCCTATATAATCTTATTTCAAAAAATTGACTGAGTTGACATGATACCATTCATTCCATCACTTCTTGATTAATCCTCTTTCCGATATGATATGAATATACAGCCTCACGTTAGCCTTGATGTATTTCTATTGTGTTCTAGATATAAAGAGGTATTTATCTACATGACATCAAATTTACCGGTTGTACATAAAATGTAAGTATTTCAGACGTAATTTGCTTTTACGAATCTAGGCACTGCGATCCATAAAAGCCTATTTTATTTTATTATTATTACTCTTTATTAGCAAATAATGCTCTTCATAGTACAGTCAGTCACTTATAAAATACAAAACAATAAATATATATTAAATATATAAAATTAGAGTCATATTTTAAAAACATATTTTATGCCCTTGATACATAAATAACTATTATATTCTGTGATAGGGTGAGATTGGTATGGATAGTTGATGGTGACATTTTCTTCTCTTATAAAATTCATGGACATGTTTTGACCGAATGATTTACCTTCGCAAATTTTGATGGATTTACAAAATGCTCATTGAAAGTTTGTGACTGGATAAGAAATAATGAAAGTACGATATCATTTTTTCTATGTTCCTTTTAAGACATGATTGGATACTTGTAAGTTTACAGGTTTCTAAATTTTTTTTGATTTCTTTATTTTTGACGTGATCATCCCTTTTTGCCTTTTTAAACTTTTTCTTGGTGATCCTTAACTTTTAGCCTATATCCATCCTTAAGATATGAATTGGTTTAATGAAGGTGTGATTATATACAAAAACATTTCCTGACACCCCTTACTTACTTCCTTCAACTATTTGATACCCAACTTATTTGATATTCTGATATCCTGATATTTTTGATATTCTGAATACGTAAATGTTTATTTGAACACTGTCGAAATACCATAGTACACTATGGGTAAAATAATGAAAATCTTAATTTAGAGTTAGATTGTATACTGGAGATCAGTTTCCAAGAGTTTAATATCATTCTTATGTAATAAATATTTTCAGGGCAAATCCTACGTCTTAAAACTGAGTTTTCACTATGTACTTCCTAAATTTTGTCAATATTTTCCTTCCTTTCATATATTGAAATATGAGCAAGGCGATCAGCGTTATTTGGTTAAACAACATTACACTGATAACTTGATTTTGGGAAATTTTTGACCATGTAGTCAATAGAGGCTGCACTCTTGTAGCTAGTCTGGTAGTCTCCAATGAATGAAAAGAGTTGAAAGAATTATTTGGTTTAGAATAAATGTTTGGAGCATTTCGATTATAAAAAATATTACCTCTGTGCATTTACAATGACAGAGAGGCTCAAATAAAATATACAATTGTTTGGGATACCATTTGAAAACAAACTTAGATGTAGTTCCTTGAAAACTGTAATAATTACTATAAAAGTGTCTATGAAGAGCATTAATTTTTCTAGCTTCTTAACTAATTCTGGGACAACAGGTGAAAGTGAAGTAGAAGCTGAGCTCTAAAAATACTAAAATAGAATGAGAAATATACTTACTTCTGTACCAGCTTCTTGTATTCTGGAAGTCAAAGCCTTCAGTTGATCTTCAGGGAATGAGACAGATGGTGTTGCTCTAGAAATTAGAGGGATAATGGTTACACCAGAATGTCCTCCAATCACAGGAACGTTCACGTTCTTGGGATCGAGACCCTTAGCTTCTGCAATGAAGGTATTAGCCCTGACAATATCCAAAGTGGAAATTCCAAAGACACGCCTAGGATCTAATTTTCCAGCCTACAAACAAAATCCTATTCAAATAACAATATTTCTATATGACAAAAGTTTTGCTACAGTGTAGCATCAAATGACTACCTTTTTCAAGACTTCACAGGCAATTGGCACAGCAGAGTTTACTGGATTCGTAATGATCCCAATTAATGCTTCAGGAGCAACTTCAGCAGCAACTTCAGCAAGTGCTTTGACAATGCCAGCATTAGTATTGAACAAGTCATCCCTGGTCATACCTTAAATAAAAAAAATCAAGTTAAAAATATGTTTTTTCCGTTAACCAGCTATCGCACCCCCAGGAACGACATCCCTCAGAAGTCAAAACTTGTGCGAGCTAAAGACTAACGAGGTCTACCCTTTCAACATGTGATTCCTAACACGGGTTGGACGATAGCACGATAAGAACAATTCAAAAGAGGGTTCAAAAAGTAATAATTTTAGGAGTGATCAGTTTTTTGGGAAAAATCTTGGCTTTCTACTTTGCCACCATTACACAAAAAATGTGGATAACTTTCAAATTAAGAAAGAACAAAATAGCCACAACAAAACCTCTTTATAAAGATGTGTAGTGCATATACAGAAGTTCCTTTCAAGATACAAACCGTTTGATTATGAAGAAGTAGAAAGCAAAAAAATATTTTTTCCCAAAAAGGAGTTATATTGATGATGTATGTTCATTGTAATGGCTAGAGCTAGTTTTTTATTTTTTTTTTATTAGACTTATATAAATATTTTACTTCTAAACGTATTCTTAATCATAAATCTGAAGTCAAAATTTAGTGTTTCAGTCTACTTTTGCAGATAGTCACACAAATTTTGAAAGATCAGTATTTCACATAATGAAATTGAAGCATTGACATCCCTTGTACATGATCTCCAAATAGGGTTAATTTGATGAGATTGATGTTTTTTATTCTGTGAAAGCAATTAAAATGGGTGAATAATAGTTTGGCAGCATATGATCATAACAATTTTTTCACTAGTTGGGTAATCATGTATTTGTGAATAGTATACAATGAATTTGCTGAAACACTCTAGAAGTAACTTTATTATTTTCAAGATGAAGATCATATTTCGTAATTATATATTTGTGAATAGAAAACAATGAATTTGCTGAAACACGCTGGAAGTAACTTTATTATTTTCAAGATGAAGATCAAATTTCAACAGTTTCGACTTTTGAGTGGCCGTATCTCCGAAAGTAGACCAGTGGACAAAAATACATATCAAATATGAAATGTATCTTTATGATTTTTATGAATAACATACCTGGTTTTCTTGGTACCCCAGCAGGAATTATAATAACATCTGCACATTTAAGGGCTTCTTTAAGGTTTTCAGCTCCATTATATCTACAAATATAGTTCAAATATACCACTAAACATCTCCACATTCACTTCAGACAAAAAGCTCACCCTTTCACTTTAGCTGCAGTCTCAATATGAGATAAATCGGCAGCTACTCCAGGAGTGTGAACAAGATCATATAAGGACAGTTCACTTACTAATGGGTTGATTTTCAAAAGAAGTGACAAAGGTTGCCCAATTCCTCCAGATGCCCCACATACCGCGACTTTATAATTATTCTTACAAAAAAAAATCATTTGAAATATACCATTTTTATAAGTATTTTTCAAATAATACAATGTTGAAAAATTGATAAGTTAGTTGACCTTGTACAGGAGATGCTAAGTTGCATAATGACATGAGATATATATTTTTCAAATAAATTTAGGTTAAGTTCCCGTCATTTATTGAAAGGAGTTTCGTTCATTCATTGAAATTAACATAACTTTTAGAATTCGATTCTCATACACTGTTTAATTTTTCCTGTTTATTCAACTACACATAAGTAACTTATGTACCATAAAAGATGTAGTCATGAAAACAGATTATAATTAGATCAGTTTTAAAAAGTGAATCTCACCTGTTTCGAAGTACTGAAATTTCTAGCCGAAGCCAATGTAGGTCTCACTACCCTGGAAAACATATTTTGGAATAAGATTGAGTTGCTTTCGACCTTCTCTAGGACGTGCAAATGTAAAAGTGAAAAACTTTCAAGCTGACACGTGACACGTTAACGGGATTTGTCATGTCACTGTAACCACAGATTAAAATACTGTAACCACAACTATACGGTACTGTAACCAAAGAGTACACCAACTAACCAGTAGCTTAATTCTTAGGCTGATTCACAGTATTCCGTGAATATTTGGTTACGAAATACTGTGGTAGTTTTCATTTCGTAAATATTTGGTTACGAAATACTGTGGTAGTTTCTTTGGTGAAGTAAAGACTGTATTAATACTTTGTAATGGTTTAATATATCCAGGACATACCTATGTGCTGCGTAAATAAATGTTTGATCAATTATCAGTAGGTAGAGCATACATTTTTGCCACATTGGGTACCCCTTAAGTGATCAAATTCAGAATAAACTCTTAACAAAGATGTATGAATCATGCACAAAAGTTCCTTCAAGACACAAACTGAAGAAAATAAAACTATTTCCAAAATCTATTGAACATTGAATTACATGAATATCACTGGTCCGTTTGAACTCCAAATATTCGTTATGGAATTGAAATAGATAGTATCCACAGGAACGCTAAGCAACGTCATATATGGAAAAGTATCAATATAAAATGTTACCTACACAGAAATTCATCATCTGTTATTACAAATTATATATATATGTGTGTGTATAAACGCGCTGAAGGTGAACCTGTATGAATTGACTTTGTATTTTCTTTTCTCATCTTTTCTGCTGAATATAATAATCTTTACTTTGTTCATGTCAGAAAAAATAAGCATACACTTTTATTTAATGGAAACAATCCCTAGTTCACACACCTTTTTTATTAGTGTGTTGAGATATTTTTTTGTAAGAATGTTTTAAAATTTACTATTTACCTATTACACTTTAATACTTGGTAATATTTCTAGTGATAAAAGAAGTATGATACTGCCTTTTTTGAGAACATAATTTGAAAAGAACCCTTTTTAATTACAATTCTTCCCCATATATTTGGGAAGTGCTGTAGTGCTTGTGTTTTGTCCTTAAAAAAAAAGAACAAAAATACGTGGCCGTAAGAGCTTAGGAGACGATGAACGTTCGCGACGTCCAAAAACTGCAACTACCGACGAAAACATCGCTAAAGTTCACCAAATGGTGCTATACGACCGTTGCATCAAAGTGAGTGATATCAGATGAACATGTCAAAAAAACGTGTTTGTCACATATTAAATCAACATTTAGGCATGAGAAAGCTGTTCGTGCGTTGGGTGTCGCGTTTGTTCACGTTATAGACCGAAAACGTGTTGGAATGAATATTTTCAATGCTTTGTTGGCGCAGTCCAGACGAAATAAATAGGAGTTTTGGCGCCGATTAATTAATGAAACTTGGATACACCATTATACGCCCGAAACAAAAATACAGTCCAAACAGTGGACTGCAAAGGGGAAACGGCTCCAAAAAAAAACTGGGAAACTAATGCCGACTGTCATGGAGTTATTTTAATGGATTATCTTCAAAAGAAAATATCACAAGAGCATACTACGTATCATTACTTGACAAGCTGAAGGCAGAACTTGCGGAAAAATGGCCACATTTGCAGAAAAAAAATCCTGTTTCACCAAGACAGCGCACCGTCTCATACCTCAGCGGTTGCCATAGAGAAAATCCACGAATAACGGTTTGAACTGTTCGACCATCCGACTTATGACTTCTACACACGTTACGAAAAATTCGTACGGTACACTTCAAACTGCAATGATAAATCTACATGTGAGTATGAGAAAAACTGTACAGTTTGTCGGATTTTATAAAACTGTAGATACAGTTGAACGGAGCAGTACAAAATTTTGGATAGATAAATCGGAATCGGAAGAAACAATGTCGATAATCCTATCATGTGGTGTGTGCCTAGTCGTTCAGTTTTCTCGTGTATCGGTGTTTGCGTTCGAATATTATAGACGACAACAAACCAGCGGAGGTAAGTAGACACTTTAATAAAATCATAATCATTATGATTTTTTGTAATTCTTTATTTAGTCAGTGTACAAAATTGTTTTGCCAAAAAACGCTGCCTTCATTTACAAGGTAGTTGATGAAATCTTCTCTGACTTTTTTGCTGCAATGGATGGTTTTCCCAGATTCCATCTGTCTAAATTTGTCAAACCAGATTTCACTGTATCAAATCCTGGATTAATACTTCTTTCATCACAGTTTTTTCTATCAAAGCATTTGGGCTGACAATAGGAACTTGATGATTCAATTAAATAATTATGTAAAGCACAGCTGTCCATCATGACTGACTCGATTCTCTTTGTGTGAGGTATTCTGAACTGAGACGCCGAAATACCAAACGCATTTTCGATTATGCGTCGCGCTCGTGATACACGATAATTTATAATTTTCTTTTCAAGTGTGCTGAAATATGCCTGTCTAAACGGTTTAATAAAATGTGTTCTAAGGGGAAATGCATCATCAGCCACAAACACGAAAGGCAAACTTCTGGTACTGTTTGTGGTAGGTCTGGCGCTAAGAATATGTAGCTGTCCCGTGACAATGGTATTTATTATTCTGGCACATTGACCTTCTTTACCATGTTCTGGAAACTCGATAAGTACAATCATTTTCTTTTCGATACTTTGAAAAATCTCGTTCTGTACAAATAATATTGAAAACTTCAACCAGCGCTCACATTCATCAATTATGTTTGCATCTATAATGATATAAACTGTTTTTCACTTTTATACCCAATGTTCATACCAAATGTTTGAAGGACAAAATATGAATTGCCCTATAAGCCAGTTCTCTGTTTGCAGATACATTGATTCTCTCACTCATATGTTAGTGAATCACTTTAGCCATAAAGTGAGCTTTCCTTTGAATGAAAATAATAATCAGAATAAATAATTAGAATCTAAGCGTTTCATGGAGAATAACATTTTCCTGGAACTCTATAACAAAAAACGGTTATTATAGTTTCTATGGCCAAATTATTCGTGGAGCTGATCTGAAAATTCTGGGGGTTAATATATATCCAGAATCAGTACATAATGCAGGCATTTGGACCACCAGCCTCATCAGGAACCATTTGGTTGAAAATTTTAATGATAGAGATAGGTCTTTTTGGCTTATAGAAGACAATGGATATCCATTGGAACCATGGCTAACATTACCAATTCAGGAAGTACATTTGAATGAACAACAGATTAACTTCAATAGAGAACTGAAGATAATCCGAAACGTTGTTGAAAGAGACATTAGAATTTCAAAAACCCGTTTTCGATCTTATTTTTAACACCGTGCTCTTCATTATTAACTTTTTGAATGTAGCAAAAATTATATCAGCTTGTGCAATTTTTGCAACATTTTCATATATCATCAAGATATTTTGGAAAATGAAGATAACGATGATAATCCAGTACTTAATGACAATATTCCTATTCCAGAAAAACTACATAATGCTCGATGGTTAGTCCAGGGTACTGTGATTACAAATCAATTTTTGTAAGAATCCTTTTTTGACTTCTGTGTTAATCATTTTAACGATTTTGATGCTTTCAGAATATTTTTATATACTACATACTACTATAGCATACCTACTAGTATATGAAAATTATGTCAAAATGTTTGAATTCAAAAGTGTTTTCTGGCGCTCATGTATTCAAAACGTATTCGTCTGTAATTGAAATACATTCATTTTGGCGTTTAAACGATGACCTCACATCAACTATGATTTGAAACGTATTCATGATGATTCAAAATTTGAGTATGAGGTGTTTGATCGTATTCGAGCGTGTATTCAAAAACGATTTGTAGTTAGGTCATTAATAATAAGATTCGCCAGAATGAAATAATTCAATTTGTGTCAGATGTCAAATTCAATAATAACAAACTTTTCAATTTTGTCTAACGTCAATTATAATCGGATTTGTGCAAGTAATAATTTTCCAGCTTTATTTAGTATATCCCTACAACGTATTTGATGAAAAGTTTTCAGCACTTTATAAGTTATAACGATCAAAATAAAGCAGAAACTGACAACTGACGTTACGTAATGTCAAATTCCGTTTCAAAACCAATATCACGCTAGTTTTGAATCCTGAATAATATGTTTCAAATCATAGTTTATGTGATGTCATCGTTTCAACGCCAGAATGAATGTATTTGAATCACACCTTATAGTGATCCTTTTCATTTACTCAACGGACTGGAATCTATTCTCTCTGAATTACCTTCAAAAGCAAAAATTATTTTAACTGAAGACTTAAATATTGATTACACAGAACAAAATTCAAAAGCAACACAGTTTCTGCTTAATTTATTGCAAACATACATATTATTTGGAAATGCACGTGAAATCTCCTACACGTGTGTCTCAATTTACCGAATCCACCATAGATTATTTATGTTCAAATTTAGACTACGAGCTAGTTTCTTGTGATGTTCTTCCTTCTGGATTGTCAGATCACGAAGTAGTCCATTCTAATAAGGTGTATCTCAATCTTAATGTAAAAAAATCGAAATTTAAGTTAGGACGATTTTGTATAGTTCTGCCAATTATAACAAGTTTTCTAACTTGTGTCTAAGCTCTGAATGAAATCATATAGAATTTTCTGAAGACCCTTTTCTTGAATTTTATAATAAATTACTTTATATATTTGATAAAAAGTTTCCGGTTCAAAAAATCAATTTTAGACACAAAAATTAGTTGACAAGAGGTATTCGGGTTTCGGCAAAAAACATGAGGGTATTACATTATTTGAGAAAATTTACATCTGCTCCATTTTTTCTTAATTACTTCCTCCGCTATCGCACCATTTACAGAAATGTAGTTAAACTAGCCAAAAGCAAATATTATAAAAGTAGAATGGATAAAGCTACGAATAAATGAAAAGAAACTTGGTGTATCATTAATGAACTTACTGGCAAGAGACACAAAAAAATTGTAGACATTTCGTTTTCTGCTACTGAACTTAATGACTTCTATTGCTATATTGCGGAGGACTTGACAAAAAATATAAAAGCAGCCGGTGACCCCTTAGACTATGTGAATATCGAAGTTACGAACACCTTCATATTATATGATACAAATATTACCAAACTGTATGAAACATTATTTTCCATTAAAAATAAAAACTCCACAGGCTCAGATGGTATTTCTATAAAAATCCTAGAAAATATTCCGATAAGAATACTCGATATATTAGTTAGTCTAATAAATAATTCATTTAGAGAAGAAATCTTTCCAGTTTTTTTGAAGAAGTCGATTGTGTTAGCACTGCCAAAGGGAGAAGTCATCAATGGTCCATAAAGTCTTCGTCCAATTTCTTTAATCTCTGCAATGGCCAAATTGATAGAAAAAATTTTCAAAACAAGACTACTTTGGTTTCTGAATGAAAACAAACAGTTTGGTTTCCAAAAGCAAAAAAACACTTCCGATGCCATATTTTCATTTCTTCACAATGTTTATTCCAACATAAATGACAAAGAAACAGTAGCTGCGGTCTTTTGTGATATAGACAAAGCATTTGATTGTGTGAATCATAAAATTCTTTTACGGAAATCCAGTAGATACGGTATAACTGGAATAAGTCTTAAGTGGTTTGAGTCAAACTTAACAGATCGCACCCAGATAGTCAAAACCACTTCATATGAAGGTAAAATTACTTGCGGCGTCCCACAAAGTTCGATACTGGGACCACTTTTATTCTTGATTTACATTAATGACCTATCGTCTACAAACATCCAAAGAAAATTTACTTTATTTGCTAATGATACTACAATTTAATGGCATGCTCCTAACAACCATACGTTGTATGAAGTTATTGAGAATGACATCACAAAAGTGAAAAACTGGTTTGACTCAAATCTCTTGAGCTTGAACTTATCAAAAACAAAAGTAGTGTCCTATCGTTGCCAGATTCCAGCCGTACATCTAAATAATATTCAAATTGACAATGTACCAACTTATAAATTCCTTGGCTTGTTCATTGACAGTAATTTAAAATTCAACAAACATGTAGATACTTTGAAATCGAAGCTCTCCTCTGGATGTTATGCAATACGAGTAACTGCATTTGAGCTCGGATCTGCAGAAGCTAGAATGGTTTATCATTCCCCTTTTGAATCCCATCTTCGTTATGGTATTTGCTTTTGGGGTGTGTGTTCTACCACATGCCTTCAATCAGTATTACTAATACAAAAACGTGCAATACAATCAGTATTACTAATACAAAAACGTGCAATACAATGCATATGCAAAGCCAAGTCTAGGGACTCTTGTCGGCCTACTTTTCCCTCTAACAGAATCCTCACTGTGATCTCCTTATTTATATATGAGACAATCTGTCTTCTCTTCAAAAATAGGGTATTGTTTAACAACTTGGACGCGCAAATGTATCAAACCAGGCAAAGATTCAGTTTTAAATTACCGCTGCCTTCTTCGACCCTAGTTAAAGATGCCATTATTAATAACGGTCTCAAAATGTTCGATCACCTTCCTCAAGCTACAAGAACCATAAATGACCTTAGAGCTCTAAAGAAAGAGTTGAAAGACTTGCTTTCTGTGAGACCTTATTATAGCTTAGAAGAATTCTACGATGATAATTTTAATTGAGAAGACTAACTGTAATATCTAAGGTATTTTATTGATTTGATTTTATTTAATTTTGTTTAAATTGATTTATTTAGTTTTATTGACCATGTTATTATATCCTGAACGTTTGTTATTATGTACATGTCTCTTTTCAGTTCATGTTATCACTTACTTTTAGTGATTTTATTTTTGTGATACTTTTTTTGTGATTTCATGTATATGTTATTCATATTTCGCATAAGGCTTTGTCAATAAGAATTCATTCTTCAGACAACAAAGTATATTTGAATTGAATTAAACAGACGAATACGTTTTGAATACATGAGCGCTAGATAACCCTATGGATTTGAAACGTAATTTGACGTTACGTTACGTCAGTTGTTAATTTCTGCTTTATTATTATCGTTATAGTTGCTGAAAACTTTTTATCAAATACTGGATAAATAAAGCTGGATGATTATTAGTTGCACAAATCCATTCTTATTGAGGTTAAAGAAAATTGAAAAGCTTGTTTATAATATTGGATTTGAGATCTGACACAAATTGAATCATTCCATTCTGGTGAATCTTATTAATGGTGTCACTACGAATCGTTTTTGAATACACGTTCGAATACGATTAAACGCCAGAAAACACCTCAACTTATTAGCAGTTGATGTTACTTTCAAGTTCTACCTTCTGATCTACAATATAATATCGATCCATTCCGATACAACTGAAACGCCCTCTCTGAAACATTGGAACTAAGGGATATAACGATTCATTTGTTCGTAAGAGGTTTTATTTTCAAAATCAAGTGAACTTTCACATCGATATAGAAATTGGATATCTCTTTCAGTTCTACTTTAAAATACTGGGGGAGTTCACCTAATTTGAAATAATTTTCAATTCCGTTTTATGAAGAAATTGAAATTTCATTTGTAATTCCAAGCAGTTTTTACAATTTTATTAGGGGTGGTGTACTAGTTGAAATCATAATATTTTAAAACTGAGGCATAGGTGCTCTTTATTGAACGCAATTTACTACAATTTCATTTTCTGTGTTGGTACAATTTTTCGTTCCTAAACATCATTACTGCGGAAGACATAAATCACAGAACATTGTTCATATACTTGTATAGTGTTTCGTGATATAAATAGCTAACGCGAAACGCGAGTCAAGAAAGAAGAAATGGAAGTTGTATTTTCATTTAACCTGATGAAAAAAAATGTCTTGTAGTAGTTCAGACGACGAAAATTTGGAATTATTGAAAGAAGCTCAAGACAGACAATTTTTAAATGATCGCTTGTTCACTGGAAGTAAAGGTGAGACTTAAAACTAGTAAATTGACTAATAAAGTCAAATGTTCATTATACTATTTCCTTTCTTTTTAGAAAAATTGAACTCAGAAATCACTAATAAAGTGTCGGAACCATTGAGAAAATCTGCAGATGATGAAAATTACAATTTTTTCAAAGTGACCCCCGAATTTCGCACTCATGTTGCTAAACATCTCTCATCACTTCTAGACAAACACCTAAAGAAAAACTTGGAATATACAGCTTCAGATGACATTACAAGGAAAAAAAGAAAGAAAGGTGGTATCAAGTTACTTTCAGATTCAGAAAAGTATTTAAAAGTGGAAAGTGAATCTCTGGAAGTATCACCTAAGCCTAAAAAGTTGATTCGTACCACAAAACACCAAATCCAAGTAGATGAAGAATCTTTGCAACAATTATCAGTTTCAGGGGTTGACATATTGAAGAAAAAGGGTATAGAACATTGGTCGAAGAGATCGAAAGCACAGGTTTTCCAGTACAAGAAAACTTGCTCTGGGGAGTTAATGTTGGTTGATTAACTATGTGTTCTGGTCATTGGTGTGAAATTCACCAAAGACTTTAAAGATGTCTCACATGCCTCCTTTTCGTTTGAATGTACCAAACATAGGAGGTGACTTACCCCCTGCACCTCCTAATCCGAAAAAACGTAGGAAAAATGCTCAAGCACCAATACAGCCCCCTCCAACTGTCCAAGATTTGCTACCACCCCCTTTGTCTGGATATGGAGATACAATTGTAGCTTCCAATCCATTTGATGATTGCCCTAGTAATGTCAACACTGTTAATCCAATGTCTAGAGGACACGGCCCTTCTATGGGACTTGGAGGTAAGATGGATTTTGAGAAGATAAGAAATTTGCAAGTTCTATTATTATTTTATCAATGTTATCCTAATTGAAGATGAATTATTATCAATATAATCAGGAATCTATTTTTTGCAATTGTAACCATATGAATTGAATGAGAATAAATTATGAAATGTGTTTTTTGAAGACTTCCCCATTATGAAATATTAAGTAAGATAGAGAAATAAGTTTGAATAACCTAGAAACCTAAGTTATTTAATTAACTTAGGTTTCTATGACTTACATTATTATTGATCTTCACAGGACCTGGACCTAATATGGTGATGGGAAATGCCATGGGAATGTATCGATCCATGTGTCCAAATCCTCCAATGGGTATGGGATCTCCTCTTATGCACAGCCCAAATGCCCACCAGATGAACAACTCAATGATGATGAATGGTCCTAGAATGGCCCATATGGGGCCTGGACCCGGTCAAGGACACGGTCCTCCTCATATGATGTCAAGTCCCAATGGGCCAGGCCCAGGAGGACCTATGGGTCCTAATATGAATATGACAGGTATGTCCCAATTGTAGTGGTTGCAACCACATAATCATCAATATTATTTGGATTTACAGTATTAGGAATGATAGATGACTGATTATTAGAGAGGGAGATAGATAGATAGATTGCCTGAGACAAAATCCGTTCACACTGTGCATTTGGATACATTTTTTTTATTGCATTTTTTATATGGTTCTGACAAAAATGGAGTGAGTACTGATAGATACGTGACTACGAGTGGGCAACTTTATATACAGGATGTTACAAAATATATGGTAGATGACTATCAAGAATTAAATTTGAATGATAATGATATATTATTTAAGTAATTAATATACCAAACATACAAGTTTAGACATATATAATTCCTTTGAGATGACTTGATTTTTCCGGCAATAATTTTGAAATTTCTGCTAGTAGAAAATCATAGAATGACAAATTTGGTCTATTGTCATATTTTATAAATAGTAAGTAAGCATTTACCAGTAGGAGGTGAATGAAGTAAAGACCCAGTTTTTTGCACCACCTTAAAGTTTTTCGTAACACTGGATAGTATTGTGTAAATTGATCTTGATGATCCACCCCCATCATAAATTTATTATATTTTACTATCGGCAAAGGTTTCTGCTTTAAACCTCGTTTATCTCGCCATTTCCCAATCACCACACCATTCAAAAATTGGGCCTTGTGTTCACCTGTTTTCAATTTGGCCCTGACAACTTCCTTAGGTGATTCTGCTCTATCAGCACGAAAAGTACCTGTACAAAATGTCCGTTTGTTTAGTAAGGCAACAGCTATACTATAACTGTTGTAAGTAAATATTTTCCATATACAAGGAATGACCGTGATTCAGCAAGTCACGCATCAGGTGCATTACCACCTTTTGTATGTGACCTTTGTCACTCACTACATCAAGTTGGCCAGAATATACAGCAAAATTCAATACGATTCCATTTGGTTCTGCTATTACGTATAGTTTCAGACCATATTTATGTCGTTCATTTTTAACGTACTGTCTAAAAATTAAGTGGCCTTTCCATAGAACCATCGACTCATTGAATGACAGGTGTTTGCCTGGATAATATATCTGGTTCATCCTGTTCCTGAAATATTCTAATATAGGTCTGACAGTATAAAGTCGATCTTCCGGTGATGGATAATCAGCCTCTGGGTTTTGGCAAAAATGTAAACAACGCAGAATGAGTAAATAGCGGTCACAACTCATGTAATTTGAAAAACAGCTAAAGAAAAGTATGTGTCGATTCCAATAGTCATTTATTCTACTCTTGTGTATTGTACCCATATGCAAAGTTAATCCCAAATATATACGAAATTCAGGAAGTGTTGGATCCTTCCATTCTGTGATTCTTGCACGTTTCTTTCCACTAACAATTTCCAGTACATCAATAGCATACAAATTGGATTGTGAAATTATATCTTCCAAAAACTCATTCTTAATTAACATTTTAAACCAACCATATGGATACCCACTAGGCGGATCTGTGAAAAATCTGTTTTCTCCTGTAAATTCAAAATCGTTCATTTCTCCAATTAGGTCCTGCCACTAATTGTCGTCATCATCTGGTATAACTGCTGCATCTGGTGATAATGGAAGTATTTCTGAAGTCGCATCATCTAATAAAGGTGTTCTGGTTGGAGGTCTCTCAGCAATTTCTTCAACATCAGCTAATATAATAAATATACTTATCATGTATAAATATTTATGTGTATACCCTGAGGGTCCTGGTACATTTAGGTCATCCATTTCAAAGAAAGAACACAAAAAATAAGCACAGTGCACAAATAAAGAAAACGTATTAGATACACTGGTATTATTATGCCTTCTGTAAACTACTAGCAAACCGATGTCACCTAGAAGCGAGCGGTTTATTTATCTGAGAAACGAATATTGTAGGAATCTTCTCCACATATGTCCAAATATGCGGAGAAAATTTTATAACCTAGTCGTGAGTGCGGGATTATCTACGAGTTCATTATAATTTACAGGACTCAGGACGCTCAAACGCGTCGTCCGCATATAACTGTACCTAACTAAGCCGCACATGTGCGCTTTCCGCATTGAAAGTTAATGAAACTTTAAGGAATTTTTTTTAGATTCAACGCATAGTTTGATAAATTTCTTGTATGATCTTCACTTTATACAAGTTAGTGATATTCATCAAATATATTTGAAGAAGGGAAGCAGTACAAGCAGAAAACTTAGTAGAGTAAAAGTTAACAATAATGAATATAATAGTCGCTAATGAGTGTGCTCATAAATTGGACTCATAAAACCAATGAAGTTTTGGGGAGCGGGTTATATGTTTGTGAGATTAGGTAGCTGCAATATGTCCCCTAAAAAAATAATACTGATAATATGAGTAAAAGAGTTTGACATAATCAAGCATTAACGTATTTTTACTCTTTCTTATTAGTCAGTGGACTATGCTTGAAGACTGGCAGTAAACCAATCTAAAGAAATGAACTTTAAACGTTCAAGTCAGTCTCGGATATACCTACACAGTAGGTTGAATGGACTGATGCCTATCAGAAAACAACTACTCCCCTGACTAATAAAAAAATTAAAATTAAAAAAAAAAGGTTTATTGTCTATGTCTAACAGGAGTAATCCCAATTACAAGACAAATATAATTAAGTTCACAGCTGTGACTAAGTATGAGTACAATGGAATATAACGAATAGCATATAAAATCAGCAGAGTAATAGAGTAGTATAGATATTATACAAACAGTGATACATTCATATAATAATAATAATAATAAAAAACACATATACTGTAGAATTCAAATAGAATTGGCAGTGTGCAGAGAGTTGAAACATAGTATTTCACTTATGGATTGAAATTAGATTCTAGTTCGACTTGCATAGAAAATAGCTTGTTACGAATTATATACTTGAAGCGTCCAAATAGAACAACAAAAATATCACATTCTGAATAGAAACTATTATAAATTTTACAGATGTTATAAACTGGAGAAATTATTAACACGTTGATCCTAGGCAAAGGCAAATAGAAAAAAATTTCGTTTCTACTACTTCGTCTAGGTACGTGAAAATCTAGTTCAGATAACAAATCAGGGCAGTCAACCAGATTATGAATCAATTTATATATGAAGATACAGGCATAATATGTTCTTCTGTTTTCTAAGGATAAGAGGGCAAATCTATTTATCAACACTCTATTATCAATCTAAAACTGCCACATAAAATTAATGAGCATTTCATAAAATCAGTTGAAAACATTGTGAATAAGCCCTCTAAAAAAATATTAGATCACTATAAGACAAATAGTTTTAACGAAAACATATGCTTTAAATTTATACCACTAACAGATGAGCAAACTTTCTCAATAATAAACAATATCAAATCAAATGCCACTGGTTCTGATGGAATCTCCATAAAAATGATCAAACTATGTACACCTTACTTGATTCCGATAATCACTTTTATGGTAAATAAATGTTTAACAAATGGTATTTACCCCTTCTCATGGAAAAAATCACTAATTTTTCCGATTAATAAAATTTCTAAGCCAAAAACATTTTCATATATCAGACCTATCAACATATTACCATCAATTTAAAAAATTCTTGAAAAAGCAGTTCATGAACAAATGTATAATTATGTGAATGAAAATAAAATACTACCACCACATCAACATGGATTTAGGCCAAGTCATAGTACTACTACTGCACTCTTTTTGGCTTTTATAATATGTTGTGCTCATTCATTGAATCCTTTCTAAATGATAGAACTCAACGTGTCGTCATGGAAGACATAAAATCGTCTGAACTTGGGGTAGCTTATTTTTTAGTGATAGAATCAAGAATATTATCAACCAACAAAGTTATTTGAATGAAGATATAAAAAAATTAATTGAAATATCCAAGGATCATTCACTCACTATTAATCCTACCAAATCAACAGCGATAATATTTGGAAGTGATAAAGATCGTCAGAGGGCCATAGACAATATATCTTTACAAGTTGATGATCAGTTGGTGATATATAGTGATTCGATAAAAATTTTAGGTTTGATAATTGATCACAATTTCAAATTTATAAAAATGAGTGGAAGAGTAGCGTAAGCTAAACTCCGCCAGTATAAATAAAGACAATTTATTATTATTATTAATTCCTTGGGTTGGGTAAGCTCCATCCAGTTTGTAAGCCATGTATTTCATAAAGATTCTTTGACAAGATTCGAGTTGCTGTATATGTACATTGTATATAGGTGACCAGATTAGGGAGCCATATTCCAGACGAGATCGGACATATGCATTAAAAAGTGTTATTAAACCTTCTTGGTTTTGAAAGTCTCTACACGTCTTGAAGATAAGGCCAAGCATTTTTATTGCAGAAGATGTGATTTGATTAATTTGTGATGTGAAGCAAAGTTTCTTATCGAATATAATGCCCAGATCTTTAGTTTCAGTGCTTTGTTCTAAAGTGATATCGTTTATTGCATAGTCAAACTGTATATTGTTGTGCTTGAGGGTGTATTTCATAAATTTACATTTTTTAATATTCAGTGAAAGCTTGTTTAGTATGCACCATTCATGTATCGAATTAACTTCCTTTTACAGAGTAAGACAGTCCTCGGTTGATTCAATGGGTCTGAAAATCTTCAAGTCATCAGCAAAGAGTAATATATAAGTAATATAGATATATTTGAAACAATATCATTTATAAACAAAGAAAATAGAAGAGGAGCTAGATTACTTCCTTGAGAAGCACCACTAGTTGAAGTGAATTCTTTAGATTTGTGTCCTTTGTATTCTACAAATAGCGTACGATTCTGAAGATAAGACTGTAGCAAATTCAACAGTTGACTATCGAAACCAACAGAAAAAAGTTTATTCAGTAGAATTTGGTGATTCAATTTATCAAATAAGACTAATAAGAAAATTTTTCTTCCTTATTCAGAGGAATCAGGCAAATTTCGGATATGCAGTTGGTTAGTACATCGTCCACTAGATGGAGTGACATTTTGTTGTTCGCTCCAACTTAGGAAGGGGAATGAAATACTCTGAAAGAATTCTGATATGCAGGAAATTTTCTGTAAAGACTTCTGCACTGACGCCTGTCGGATATAATCCAACGCCCTTCGTGGTATTAGTCAGGGGAGTAGTTGTTTTCTGATAGGCGTCAGTCCATTCAGTCTACTGTGTAGGTATATCCGAGACTGTCTTGAAAGTTCAAAGTTCATTTATTTAGATTTATTTTTACTCTGATGAGTTTACATGATGTAATCAGTGTTTTTATGCCATAAATTCATCGCAGGGATGGGGGTAAATAACTGTAAATTTTCTAGGCTTAACTATCACTGAATCACTAACTATCACTTGATAATAAACATTATTCCAAAATTTTCCACATACCGCATCATATGAGCATTGTCACATGTATAATCATTTCAAAAAAAGTTCTATTTCTATTCAATAGTTGTTTTTTTTTTTTGGAAAGAAAGGTTTTGGCTTTTTACTTCCCCATCTTGATATAAAAAATGTGTATATCATGCTTCACAGACTATTGGATTTTCCACTTTTAGAATGACAAAATGAAAATACACAATCTTCAATGATATTTGATTGAAAAATTTCCTCATTAATTTTGATCGACTAGGAGATATTTTGTGTTGAATGAACCTATTTTTGATTTCACTATAACTTTTGAACCACCGGGTATAACAAACAATCCTATTTTTTGTGAAGTACTCTGCCCAAGAAATTCAATTGAATAAAAATATTTGGAGTATTCTATTTAAAAAAACTTAAGTTTGGTCTGTCACACATTTATTGGACACCTTATAGATTAGTACTAATTATTGAAACATAGCTTTCATTTTTCTCTACAACTTTTTCCCAAAACATTTTTTATGTCTCTAAAAGGAAAGCAGTTATCGTCCACCCACCTATTGAAGGCACAACACTATATTATACATATATATTGTGCGTATCATAAGTGTTACCCCCTATCTAACTCGTTGTTAGGAAAATCGCCGAGACACGTCAATTTTTTATTTCTACAATGTACATTTGAGTATGAACAGTTGTGACACCCATAATTTCATCCCTTTCAAAAAATTTAAATAGCATGGGGTGTGGTGAGTGATAGCTCATTTGATAGTGGGTTTTATTCTCTATTAAACCATGCATAGGAATTGAACTTTGCTAGATTAATTCAAGAGTTTAAGAATAATGACAATTAACGTAGCGCAATCACCCTTAGAATTAAAAATTCGGCCCAGTATGATATTGATTTTGGTTCAGACGTCAAATGAGACGTATACAAAATAAAAATGGTGAATAAACTGACGGACGATGATTCAGACCGCCGTCTAGAATATTGTGAAATTTTCTCCACCAATATTATGCAAAATCCCAGATATTTGAAACACATTTGTTTCTGTGATGAGGCTAATTCTTTTTTAAACAATCAATTGTATAGACAAAATGTGAGGTATTGGTCCGATGAAAATCCACGAGTTTTTCGCGAAACTCATACCCAGTTTCCCCAAAAAGTCAATATGTGGGTAGGAATACTGGGTGACCACATTGTAGGTCCGTTATTCATTGAGGAAAATCTGACTGGTACCCTCAATTTGGAAATGCTGGAAACTGATAGATCCGTTGATAGTGGCAACTGTTGAAAATAATTTTGATGAGTTTGACATGAACATTATTCTGCAACAAGATGGAGCTCCTCCACATTTTGCAGTGGCTGTGAGGACTTATTGGAATACTGTTTGTGCAGGGCGGCGGATTGGGCGCCGAGGATCTGTGGAATGGCCTCCAAGATTTCCAGATCTAACTCCTTTAGACTTCTTTCTATGGTGTTACCTAAAATGTTAAGTCTACGAGACTCAGTGTCACTCTATTCAGGAGTTGCGTGCGCAGATTACGGAAGTGTGTGCAACTATTACTCGCGATACTTTGCAAAGCATCCGGACTGAAACTAAAAATATACTCTTTTTTTCCTAACAAGAGTCCAGTAACGAGTTAGATAGGGGGGATAACATTTATGATTCTCACTGTATTTAATATAAACACACACACACAGCTATGTATATGTATATATGTTACAGGCCCTCCGATGCATAGTCCCATTGGAAACATGGGTCCCATGTCAGGTCAAGGTCCTGGAAATGGGCCACCCATGGTTGGCAGTCCCATGGGTCATAATGGTCCAATGAATGGAGGTGGTATGAATAATCCAATGGACGGACGAATGGATGCCAGGATGGATGGCCGAATGGATGCGAGGATGGATGGCCGAATGGATGCGAGGATGGATGGTCGAATGGATGCCAGGATGGATGGCCGAATGGATGCAAGGATGGATGGCAGAATGGATGGAAGAAATATGGGAGGCCAGCAGGGACATCACGGGCCACACGGACCTCATGGCCCTCACACTCACCATGGACCACCGGGAGGGCCTGGAGGCATGAATATATCATCACCCAACGGTCCTCCTATAGGTAAGTGTTCCTTTAAGTCTACAGTTTCAAATTTTTGTTTCAAGAAGTTCACACAAGTGTTTGTATATACAGGGTGATTCAAAAGTACTTTGACAAACTTCAGGAGGTGATTCCTCACAATATTCTAATATGAATTGTTCAAATAAATAAATGTCCGGAAACGCTTCGTTTCCAAGATACAGGATGTTGAAGTTTTATTTTTATTTTCGTTTTGTTTCAAATTACTTTTGAAATACTGAACTTAAACGAAACTTGGTAATAGGAGGTTTTTGAGGTGTCGAATTCGAACCTGATGTTCTTATTCCTCTTACTCGTAGGGGGCGCCACCTACACGTCTTTTTCTTTTTTAAAGATTCATAACTTTTTTGGGCGTACTTCTAGCACATTTTTCAGTAAAAAAATCGATTCCTCTATCATATCTACGTAAATAAGCTACCCTTGTTACTAGTCGCTGTAAGCAACCGTTTTCTAAATATTTGGACTTGAAAACTTCAAGTCGATTATTTGATCATCGATGCATGTTGAAGTTATTACGAATATTTTGCTTTTTTCACAAGAATGCTTTGGAAATTAATTTGACGTTTTACCCGTTTATGACATCCTTAAGCGAAATAGTTATTTTTGTATCAAGGGTGCATAATCAGTATTTGTTTTAATAAAATTTGCAAGAAATGTCAACATTTTATTTCAGGAAATTTTGAATATGTAGAATGAACTAAAATAAACGAAACTAAATTGTGTTCAAATAAATTGTTGCAAGTGTCCACCTTCAGCGAAGATACAGGCAGTCAGTCGTCTAGTCATTGAATCTCGTACCCGCTCATAAATTATTGGTGTGTTTCTTATTGTTTCACAGGCGTCTACTATTCGGTTTCTTAGATCTTCCTCGTTCACTACTGGAGTCTTATAAACTAGTGACTTCAAATGTCCCCAAAAATAAAAATCTATCGGGTTTAGATCTGGGGACCTTGGTGCCCACGCCTGGTTAGATTCTTCTACACCCCTACCGATCCATCGATTTGGATAGACTGTATTAAGGAATTCCCTGGCTACAACGCTAAAATGGGCCGGAGCCCCATCATGCATAAACCACATGCGGATACGAATTTCTAATGGTACATTCTGAAGTAGTCCCGGCAATTCATTTTCTAAAAAGAGTCTGTAAGTTGCGCCATTCAGTGGGAGCGGAAGAAAGAAAGGACCTATCAAGTAATTATCAATTATTGCCGCCCATACATTTACAGAAAATTGATACTGATAATGCCTTTCACTAACTGCGCGCGGGTTTTCGAGAGCCCAAACATGGTTGTTATGAAAGTTTGTGATAGCATTTCGGGAGAAGTTTGCCTCGTCCGTGAAGAGTACATAGCTTAAATATTGAGGATTTCCAGCCAATTTTCTCAAAAACCATTGACACATAGTAATGCGTTGGGGAAAGTCTCGTGGCAAAAGAGCTTCTACCCTTTGAATACGGTATGGATAAAACTGTTGATCGTGGATAATTCTCCAAACTGTGGACTGAGTAGAATTGACAGCTTTAGCAATTACTCTTGTGCTTGTTTCTGAATTCTCCTCAAGAGCGTTCAAAACAGCTTCTTCCAATTCTGGGGTTCGGACTGCTCGTGGTCTTCCTATAATATCAGCTGCCCTCTTAAAGCTACCTGTTTCTGCCAAACGACGGTGGAGACTAGCAAATGTTGGAGCTGAAGGCAGTACTTGATTAGGAAATCGCTCCTGGTAAATAAGTCTTGCTTCGCGCGCATTGCCATCCGCAAGGCCATAAACGAAATGCATATCGGCTAAATGAGCATTATTGTTTGAATAATCCATTTTTTCAAAATAAGTGTTTTCTATTTCTACATATGGAAACTTCAACAAAACGTCTAACTGTCACAAAATATGTAATTACCAAAACTACTCACAAACGTCAAATTCATTACCAAAGCATTCTTGTGAAAAATGCAAAATATTCGTAAAAACTTCAACATGCATCGATTATCAAATAATCGACTTGAAATTTTCAAGTCCAAATATTTAGAAAACGGTTGCTTACAGCGACTAGTAAAAAGGGTAGCTTATTTACGTAGATATGATAGAGGAATCCATTTTTTTACTAAAAAATGTGCTAGAAGTACGTCCAAAAAAGTTATGAATCTTTAAAAAAGAAAAAGACGTGTAGGTGGCGCCCCCTACGAGTAAGAGGAATAAGAACATCAGGTTCGAATTCAACACCTCAAAAACCTCCTATTACCAAGTTTCGTTTAAGTTCAGTATTTCAAAAGTTATTTTAAAAAAACGAAAATAAAAATAAAACTTCAACATCCTGTATCTTGGAAACGAAGCGTTTCCGGACATTTATTTATTTGAACAATTCATATTAGAATATTGTGAGGAATCACCTCCTGAAGTTTGTCAAAGTACTTTTGAATCACCCTGTATATCTGTAATTTTTTTTAACCTCTGCAACTTTTTCAATCCAAATTGACGTCTTTTTTGTTCATTAATCTAACTTCAGCTATTTTTAACTATGTGAATGATACGGTTGATATTACAGGACCACCCATGAATAACAACAATTTCATAATGTCCCCCCTGAACAATATGTACTCCAAACCTATGCCTGTCAGCGCTGGTAAAGTGTATCCTGTTGACCAATCCATGATTTTCAACTCTCAAAACCCCAACGCTCCACCCATATATCCATGTGGGATATGCCATAAAGAAGTACACGATAATGATCAAGCCATACTATGTGAAAGTGGGTGCAATTTTTGGTTTCACAGGTAAGAAACTTCATCAAAACTTGTATAACTATCAACAAATTCAAAAATTAATAATTCAAACTCCATTAAATTTTGCTTCAAAATTAATTTGAATATATTACAAACTCCTGAATATATATTTTAACAATTGTTTGAAAAAATATTTTCTCTAGTTTATGTAGTTGCTTAATATAATTGTTATTTTCAACTATTCTTTTTTAATTATTCTTTTTTACTTGTTTCAGGGATTTCAAATCATTTTATATAGTAGACAATTGAAGTCCGAACTAGTGAAATTCAAGGCTATGTTTATAATTCAATTTTAATTGACCTCTTAATTTTAATGTTGTTTTTTCGATCTCTGGCATTGACAACTATAGTCTTTATGATTATGCATGGGTTGACTACGTTAATAACTTTTTTACTGAATAGATTTTCGATCTAAATTCAATCACTCGAATAAAAATATTCTCAATTGTCTGAAAATAAGATCTTATTGAAGCTGTTTGTTTTCTTGTTAAATCAATGACATGATTTTTGAAATTAAGATCTACGTCTGTTATTTATTCTTAGCTCTTTACTATACAGGGCTTTTCATGATGAGCGTTAATTAGCCGTTTCTGGCAAACTATTCAACGGATCAACCTGAAAATTCCACAGTATGCATAAGTCAATATGGCCTACCTAAAATATTTTAGACGAAGCGGCGTTGTCGCTTCTACTATAAAGTAGCGGCTTCTTTGATTTTTCAAATGGAACACCCCGTGATATCGTTTATTGCATAGTCAAACTGTATATTGTTGTGCTTGAGGGTGTATTTCATAAATTTACATTTTTTAATATTCAGTGAAAGCTTGTTAAAAAACTTAGTTTCTATCAAATTCCGTAGATTTTTTTTTTGAAGATACAAATAAAACACCTTAAACTTTCGTGAGGAACCATTTTTACCTTCAAAAACTCACCCCCTCCCACTTCCCGGACTCATACCGCCCCTAATGTAATCCTACAATTATTTCACTTTTCACCATTTTTGAAGGTTTCAGCTCTGGTCTATTCCTGGTGTAGAAATATAAATGTGGAAAGGATGATTGAGAAGTAAACTTCTATACTACATGATTTTTTGAGTCTTCAAACTAACAAATTCTCTTTGCACCCAACGACTTTTTTCCACACCTTCTATACTTAAAAAGCCGTTGGCTGAGCATACTGATACACCGAGGGCAATAATGACACCACAATTAGAGGAAGCAATTCTGTAGCTGCACAGTTCAATGTCAAACATTTTGCTCTGGGCAAATTATCTGGACTGGAATTTCGGGGCATTTTTTGTCGTGGCTCGCATCTTATCTTGATTATCGGAAAATTTGCGTAAAAGTCGTTGGCTGAGCGTACTGATACACCGAGGGCAATAATGACACCACAATTAAAGGAAGCAATTCTGTAGCTGCATAGTTCAATGTCAAACATTTTGCTCTGAGCAAATTATCTGGACTGGGATTTCGGGGCATTTTTTTGTCGTGGCTCGCATCTTATCTNTCTCAAAACATAGGCAGTTGATAGATATTACAAGAAACTAATTGAACAGGAACTCAAATTTTTATTTTAGTTTTTTCAAAAAATTTATGTATATCAAAATATACAATGTGCATATACATCATATAAATAGATACATACTTCGTTTTTATAGATGAAAATTTTGAAAACAATTTCTATCCGGTACGAAACAGAGGTAGCACAAGCATTTTGTGCATTTTACTTTTGTGATTTTTTGACATTTTCCATTTTTGCACCTTCCTGTTTTTTCTTCGTAATTGGGCCAGTGATCAGTCCTGTCTGTACGGCAATCTATATTTGGACGGAGAGAGGGAGCGGCGTGTCTTCTTAGCTGAGTCGGTGACGAGGTGCTGGATGAAGGACGACCTCTTTTCTTTATTTTTCCAGCCCAGCATAAACTCTGAGCCACATCAGCTTTGAAATCATACAATGAAAGCTGATTTTTCTTAGCTACCCCGCAGTCGTTACAGGCACGTCTGTAGAGGAGCCATCCAATTATTACACACATGTCCATCAAGTGAAAAAACAAACGCAAGTAATATTTCCTTGATCGGATTTTAGTTCGGTATAAGGCCAAGAGGGAATCTATCAAGTCAACACCTCCCATGAATTTGTTATATACTAAAATAACACTTGGACATTTTACATTTATATCTTGCTTGGTTTTGCGATCGAACCTTCTGACGGTAGTTTCGGGATAAGCACCTGCAAATGTACTGAGCAGAGTCACCACTTTATTGTCTTGCCATTTTACTAGTTTCAGTTGAATATTCCCATGAGTTGCAATCATTTCGGAATAGCTTCCTCTACCTTCTTTTTTCAATTCTTTGTCCGACGGTAAAAAATTTTTTGGAACCCGATTTGAACGCACGGTAGCCACACTGTGGATACCATTTCTAGCTAGTTCAATTTGTAATTCAGGGCTGCAGAACCAGTTATCGTAGAAAATTAGAAAATTTTTGTTTTTTGGTATACGTTTGGCCATACGAAGAACAACGTTGCTACTGGCGCTTACATCGGGTAAGTTTTTGGGCTGATCCATGGTTCCACAATACACTTCAAAATCATAGACAATGCTACTGTCACCTGCTAAGCAGAAAAGCTTATAACCCCATTTCTTTGGTTTTTTTGGATTATACTGTTTTAGCCCACTACGTCCTTTGTATGGGACAATTTGTTCGTCAACTGACAAATGTTGTTCAATTGGAATAGTTTTCATATTTTGTCTAATGCTCTCAACTACTTTTCTTATTTTGAATAAGCGATCAGGTTTATCCATAGGCAAGGTAGAATTATCGGCAAAGTGCAAATATTTTTTTATTTCCTCCCACCTACGTAAAGGCATTACTTCAGAAACTTGATGAATTCTACAAGCACTACTCCAGTATCTTCTAGTGCCAGGCACCCCGATAAGGGACATATAAAAGCACATTCCAATAAACTGTTCCAACTCTGTAGATGACACGGAAAAATAACGCTCAATATTGGTTTGGGCCGCATATAGATTGGTTTGATCAGCAATGTACTTCAGCAAATTTTGATCAACCAATCTTTGGAAATAATGCAGTGGTGTGTCCACAGATATCTCAGGCACTAACTGCGAGGCCCAAAGTGGTGTCGTAGACGGTTCCTGTTTGGATTTTTTCCATTGCAAATTTAGTTTATTTCCTTTGGCATTTGTCTCTTTAGCCTGAGCTGAAATGGTTTGTAGTAGAGTAGCTAGCGGAATATCATCGTCTTCACTGTTGCTCTCACTTTCTGATAGGCCATTTTCCCGTTGCTCTAGATCTTCTTGAGAAGTCGATTCTGCTTCACTGATATCTGCATATAGAGTAAAAAATAACACTCAGTAAAAAACTAACTTTTCTACAAAATATACAAACCTTCTGAGACATCCGGTATATAAATTTCATCTGCAACGCTATCATCGCTACTAAAGTCCTTTTCACTCTGAACATCAGGTAACAGATGTAGGTCATATTGATTTATGCATACTGTGAAATTTTCAGGTTGATCCGTTAAATAGTTTGTCAGAAACGGCTAATTAACGCTCATCATGAAACGCCCTGTAGAATAGGTAAAAACAATGAAGATGTTCTGCATTTCACGTAGAGTACAGTAATTTTTACAGCTGCCTTAAAAATGATACAATTTTGGATGAAAATTATAAGATGTGCACCATAAGAATCAGTATTTATGTAAAAACAGGTCTAAAAGTATCAAATGTACATACCATATAAATGAAGAGACTTGAAAAACTACATCATTATTTGTTTACGTGAAAAACAAAATAAACCATTTAAATTTTTTCAATATTTAAGATGTCTCCCTGCAGAGGCATATTGCTATATTCAATTCAACTCATGATCATTGCCACATTGGCAATATTTTCTAGTAATGTATACAACAAATATTTACATTCATCTGAATCAAATTGAGTATATGTACTGTAAACTTTTCTGTTATTTGGAGGGAAACTTGCTACCAAGAAATTAATGAAATTTTACATGTGTTTATTTCTCAATTGAAATCATCAATATTCAATGAACTGAAAACCCCAACTATTCTTAGGTAACTTGTTTAGATATATCAAATTTTTTCAAGAGAATTTAGGAAATGTACATGCCACAAAAATGAAAATTTCAATCTTTTTTCATGATTCGTTCCATTTGCATGTAACTTTGTCTCAAAATATTTCAGATATCAGAATATATTTGAGAAACATTTTGCATAAATTTTAAATGCATATAAGTATATGGAATCATACATAGGATTGTCTTGAACTCGTAAAATCCTACTATTTTGACAATTTCTCATATCTCAATTAAATCAAGTCCCATGAATGAAGATATATTCATTATGCTTTCTCTTTGAATAGTATCATGTAATATCATAAATAGTATCATAGAACTTTGTTATTTTACCTGGAATCTACTAACCTCTTGGGAATATTAGACTATTTCTAGAATCTCTATACTTATACCAATCTGGCCTAAATCGTAGTCAGTTGGAAAGGGTTGATATTTCTTTTTTTATTTTTTCTGCTCTCAGCAACATATCTTGTAATAATTGTGCATGATGTTCTCTTTGCTGTATAATTCTAAGAATATTGAATTGATCAACTGTTGAGTAGATGTTGTGACAAAATCATGTTTTGATAAAAGTAACCCTTTAACAATCTTGAACTATTACCTTAATAACTTCATACAACTTTTTTTAAATCAACTTTCAGAGGATGTACAGGTCTGACGGAAGCAGCTTTCCAACTCTTAACGCAGGAAGTGTATGCAGAATGGGTTTGTGATAAGTGTTTGCAATCAAAAAACATACCTTTGGTTAAGTTCAAACCTTAATATCAAATCCAGTGAAGACTTCTTAGATGAATAAGTAATAAAAAGTGTAGGTCAGAATGTGCTGTGACTGGGGGTGAAAAAGTCTCCCAAAGACTAATAGAAAGTGAATGATTGGTTTATAATTCTTTATAAAAAGTCTAATGTGGTTTTGAGATCTCAAATATTTTCAGTATTGTATTAAGTTAGTGGCCAAACTTAGCCACTATTGGAAAAACGATGGCTAATTCAGGTATCTGGGTATTTGAATCATTTTTTTTTATAAATTCATTATTTCTTTAATGTACAGTAGAACTTCGAATACCTGGATCAATTGGAACCAACCCTAGTCTGGATAAATCAAATATCTTGATAATAATAATATTTTACAAAAAAGGCTATTTTAAAGCAAAAACGTCTGAAAAATGTTCGAGTGAAAGAGGCATAAAGTGTCTGTTACGCTGTATTTGAAACATTATTTCAACATTAAGTCTGTCTACAGTATAATGTAAATGGTGCTTATGTACAGTATGAATATTATTGCTTAAACATTTTGGCGAGAGTTAGGAAATATTCTACTATAGCTCAGCTTCTGAGCTTGTACAGTTTGCAATGTGGTTTTGTCTTAAAAATCGAAACTAAACAATTTGATTTCTAATTCAATTGATTTTTTGGTGTGTATGTAATAAGTTAACAAATTTGATTTTCAGTACTATTAGTTCTCCCGGTTTTGCAGTTCAAAACATACTAGGAAATTATAAGAACAGAACAAATGTTTGAAACAAACACCAGAACCGCAACACTGAAGAGTACATTTTGGTTCTGGTCTTTAGTAGCGGCGCTTGTTTTCGGATTACTTTGCTTATGCCAGAGGTTCCAGTTCTACTTTTGAAAACAAATGTTTTTTTTTTTCAAAAAATTTAGGTCCTAACTGATGAACTATATCAAAACTCTTAAATAAAAATTTTTTAGTTGATATTAATAAAATACAGTGAGCCACTGGATATTATTATATGAGGTGGAATCGGTCAATACATGATGAAAATCCACAACATATTCAAGAAAAACTATTGTGAAATTTCTACTACACAATTCACAAAACGGCAACACGTGTTTCGCTATACAATAGCTTCTTCAGGCATATAGGCACACAAAGTTGCTACAAAGTAGGATCTACAAAGGTATTTGTTTAATATTGCAGATGCTTTACCTCTCATCAGTGTAGGAAATGTCAATTAATCCTTATTCAGAGTTCCAGGAACAATTTTGTTTGTGTTGGATCTTTTCTATCCTGAGGTAATGCCTCAAAACCCGTCTGTAAGTGATCTACTCGATAAATTTCAATGAGGATCTGCTGTTATATAAATGAAAAGCAATTGCAATACTTTTCTGGGAGGTAATTTGGATTAGTGTCTGTTAGATACAATTCAATTCCAATCGGCGTATAGACACGCCCCAAGATGCCACGTGTTGCGCTATTGATAAAGTGTGTAGTGAAAATTTTTTATTAATTGTTTCTTGATTAGGATGTCATTATATTACAAGAGGTGTGATAGACTAAAAGTTTCATTTTAAGATTGTGGGATTGAGTGTCTTGGTGAAAAATGAATTGTAAGAAAAACTTCGAATTTTGGAAAACAATGTGGCCTTGGTGGTGCAGCGGAAAGTCATTTCCTCTTCAGGTAATGTACCGTTTTTGTTCATCATAAGTCTAAGTGTTACTAAAAAAAGTTGTTCAAGATGAGAAATTATGGCTCTATACAAAATTTCAAGAAGATTCAGCTATTTTGATCAAAAGGCCTTGTTTTCAGGTTCAACATAAATTATATTCACTCACAAATTAATCGCAGATAATGCTAGAAGGTACTTTGAATAGATATATACTGCCTTGCTAATCAAGATCGTCGCATTTATATTTTGTAAAAATAATTTCAAGCATGTTACAGTAGTGTTTGCACCATTTTCCATTATTGTACTTAAAATAGAAGTCATAAGATAATGATTGTTCGAGATATTTACAACTATTACCCATATACATCCACGATAATAAAACAATTCATAAATCAAGTAACGGGTCAGTATACAATTGAGTGCTCATATCGCTTCAACAATTTGTAAAAAACAAATGTTACTTTCATCAAGTCATGCAAAATGTGGATAAGAACTTCCTGAGTAGCAGCAGTATTGAACGTAGAGCAATGATCTTCTTACGTTCTGTGAATCTTATTTGAGAGAAACTAAAATTTAGTTTGTTTTCATTTTAATATATTTTGTACAAAAGGGATACCTGAAAAGATAATGTTTTTTGCTCGACAATCAAGACCAACTTATTTTTCAAAAACTGAAAATATTCTTGAAATTCTTTTTTTGCCAAGCAGAGCTTAAATCTACAAAATTGAAATCAAATTCAAATATTTTCAGTCCATCACAGTAACATCAATCTTAGGACACACTGTATATATGTACTTTATAGCCAGTGTGAATTTAAACCGAATGATTTAGCGAATATATTACTGTCTTGATACAATACTTATGTAAATTTTTTCATTTTTATAAGATCATGAAAATTTGGTCTAGCTAATTAAGGACTATGTATAATTATGAATTATTTATGTAATAAATTAAGATGATTATATTTGTAAAATACTTTATAATGGATGATATTGTAATATAATGTTAATCACTGAGTTTGTTTTTTCTATCATATAATATGTAACTGGTAGGACCAATTACAATTGAAAAATATAATGTTGAAAAGCAAAAATCTTAAAAGCAATATGAAAGTATAAACGAAATACAAAATAATACAAATATATAGTGTTACAATAAACATATACAAGGACAAACTTAACTGCAGTCAAGCAAACGACTGACTTATTTCGTCACATTCTTCATTAACTATACAAATTTTGTTCAATTATGTTATTAATTATTCTCTGATTTTCTAATGTTGATGAATATTTTCAAATATGAGTAATCACCTTGTATGACGCCCATCTCAAACGCACCAATCCTTGAAAAAGTGTCCCATACAGCTTCAATTTATTTTTTATGAATTTCATAATAGACTCCAAATGATTGAACGTTACTCCAACTGAGATCTGATGAATATTATTTGAAAAATTCTTTAAAAAAGTGGGTAATGATTTCTAATTTTGACACATTTCTTTTTAATAATAGTTTTGAATTCTGAATTGGCTCAAATTACTTTTGTTACAATGGATTTTTTTACAAATTTTCGGGTTGGAGATGGGTTAAACTGTATGTCATCCATTTTTGCACACCTGATCATGACAACTACAAAATATTTGTATCAAAAACTTATCATTTTGAATTGCCATTTTTTAAAAGATGTTTTGACGATATTTTAATTTCCATTTCGAGAAATAAACAATCTGAAATATTAAACTTTTCACAGTTTCCATCCAAAACTAAACTTTACGCTGAAAATTGAGGAAAATTTTTCTTTATTAAAGATACAAACTAAATTTTAAAAGAAGACGTATCCTAAAAACAAGTTTTTCAGAAAGATTTTTAAATTATTACTCAAAATAGAATTTTCATAGAAAAATCAACATTATGCTAAAATTGAAGTCAAGAGCAATTGCCATTTCCAGTTGAATAACAAAAAACTCCAAATATTCAAGAGTTTCTTAAAGAAAAATAATTTTCCAAAAGCCTCTCAATTTGCAAGAGCAAACACAAAATATGAACTACCATAAGTGGAAAGTTTGCCTGGAAAACTTAGTAATGAAAATACAATTGATTTTTTTTCTCAAAACTATGACACTGTAAGATACAATCCAACATAGTGAAATGTGGAAACAGTGCCAAATGCTATGTTGGCCTAAACGGGCATTATCTTATATGAATATATTTTAATTTTAACATCCGACCATTCTATAGTCCGTTCATAATTTGTTGATAGCTCACTGCAAGTTTGACCCTCATTAGAGAACTGAAATACAGAGAGGACAGCTAATATGATATAATAACAAAAACCAAACTAAAACTGGCAGTTTAATATGTTTTTGACTAACCCACCTTGTATCTGAAGAAATACAATACAGCTATAAAACTTTTAATCCGATTATGTAGGTATTTTGAGTGGAAATGAGTGACCAGTGTCGTAGAGTATATGATTAAAACATTAGTTACTTTAAATAAATAAATATATTAATATTCNCAACGAGCCGTAAATTAAATGCGATTAAAAAATGTACTAAACCAAAAATTATTTTCGTTCGTAACAACTTCACCCTTTCAAGGCAAGTTTCGAATATAAACTGAAGCTTTATATTTAATGAATAAACACCTCAGGAACCTCCGCCTATGATTTTACGAGTTTTACGACCGTTTTATGACTTGGGCCCTCATTTTGTGCTATCGACAAATTATGAACGGACTATAGATGTGTAACCATATTCATCCAAGACTTTTAGGTCAACTGATAGATATCCTTAAATAAGATAGTGTGAACACTAAAAGGTATGTCAATAGCCTTCAATACTGAACATTTGAATCTAATCAGTAAAATACCAAAACAATTGTTTTTTATCTTTATTATTTCTTACGTCAGTCAATAAGAACAGGCACCACATCAAAATTATAGATAAATCCATTCCTTTGTTTCATGTCTTTTGTGTGGTGGTCTCAAATATTTTGTTACTACATTATTTTTTTATTATTTATCCGATATGTCTGAAGTTTTTTTTTATTAATGTTTTCAACACAGAAAAACTCCTTTTTAGTAAGTTATTTTACTGAAAAAATTCTTATAACACTAAAACTGCAACAGTTATCAAGTTTGTGACAGGTATGTTATGAAAATTAATTACTACAGTGCTCTGAAGAAATCATTCAAATTCGAAACGTTGGCCAGAAAACAATTGTTTTTCTAAAAATAAGTGATTCTGTAACCCAACCAATCTTGATATCTTCGGGAATACAAGAAACCTATTATTCGTTATATATACGAGGTCTGTTCATAAAATTAGGTGAATGTTCAAATTTTGCGGGCTACATACATTCGATTAGCGTTTTTCAAATTTTGTTTTATGTTAGTAGGTACACTCGTCTCGAACATATTTTCACAGCTTCAGCTATTTACACAACATGTTTAATTTGTTGGTTGGAAGTGTTTTGCGTGTTCAGTGATTTTCTGCTATCGATAAAAATGGATAAAAAAATGTACATCAAATTATGTGAAACGGAATTTGAGTAATGGATTTTCATCAAGTATCGGCCAATTTCATCGCATAATCTAGAGGATGCATAATTTTTAATTTTTGCCAGACGATTTCTACCTGATAGAATATTCTCAAAAACAATATTTTGGAAACATTCAATTTGGCAGAATTGAAACTCTTATTTTCAGAGTTTTGTTCCAGGATATATGATGTGTTAACAAATGTATAAAACTTTGAACTATTTTTCCAAAGTAAGAAAACAATTTGAATTAATAAAAATTTAATCAAACTACAACAAAATAATTGTCATATAAAAATAAGATTTTTACAGAATGTTTTGTGAAAACTTTCAAATAAGAGTACAAGAAAATGTGATTGTTTCTAATATTTTAAACTAATGTAGAAATTAATTATTTCACAATGGACTAAGACAAACGAAAAATGTACTTTATAGCAATGAATTAAATTTTTTTAAATGTGCTGGTGTGTATTACAACAAAACAGATTGAAATTTATTCATATATAAATAGAACTACCATTATTTTAACAGAGTAAGTTTAGGAAAATATTAAATAATGTGATTTTATATTTTATCAATAAATAAATTAGTACAGCCATAAAATTATCTTGCAGATCAATATATCATCTCTTCATTCGTAAAAAGATTCAGAGAAGTCGAATAGTCTAAATTATTGAATATTTTTTTTATTTCTATACAGTTGACAATAATCAATTTTTCCATCCTTTTGAATAAATATTCACGCATTTCAAAATTTTGTATTTTTCAAACCTATGGATAACATATAAATTATACATATTTAAAACTGACTATATACATAAATATTTACATTTTACAACTTTTTTTAAAACACAATTTTTACAAAATTGTATGTTACAAATAATAAACACTTTATTGAAAATGTCTATGGCCATTATCTACCTTCATTCATCATTACAAACAAATAACAATTGAGGAACATCTTGTTGCTTCAACTGATTCTGCAGAGATATTATCCGACTTTTGAGTGTTGCAATTTCCAATTTCAGTTTTTTGTTTTCAATCTAGAAAATACATAGTGTAAAGTTGAATATTTTCAAACTATTCAATGGGTATACTCACTTCAAGACTTCGGTTATCAGTCTGGGTAGATATTGTTCTGATATTTACATTTTCTTGATAGTCTTTTTCTGCAGATGCCTTAAAAATAAAATAGACAAATTAAAGCTGTACCCACCAATAATGAGGACCACGGCCCCCTAGAAAATTTTGGTACGAACGAGCTCAACAAGGAGGTGAAGTTACAAGGTTTTTGTGAAGTATAGAAGTGAAATAAATGACTTTCTAATATGAATATGATGAAAAGGCAGTTTCCAAGTTCCATTTTCAATGGGCAAACTTTTAAAATATATATTTGAAAAAGAAACATCTGATATCGTCACAATAGTGTTCGTTTATTGACTTGCTCTAAAAAGAAGAAATTTAGTTTCAAACCTATCAATTCATTATATATTTCAATTCATATAATATTAAAGTTTGTCGCGAGATTTAGCTTTGCAGACAAATGAGAATACAATATGTAATCTTGACATCCTAAGAAAACATTTTTGTTTTGTTTATGCAATACTTTTTTGGCTACTACTCGAAAACAACAATGGCCATTTTTAGGAAAGCAGAATGTATTCATAACGACCGGTGTAAAGTCGGCGCCACTTTTCATCAGTCATTTCGATTCCAGCAGCCAAATTACCAGTGGCGCTGGTAATAAATAATATCTCACAATATAGTATTTCTTATATTTTTAAACTTAAATTGCACACCAGAAAACACACCTTCCATACTCCTTATATCAATTTCAGAGATTTGCAATGGGGGGTGAGAGGGCGTAAATTTACCCCCGAATAATGAATACAGGACCAGGTCCTTTCAGAACACTACTGTCACATTGAAATTCACGTGGTGTGTAGAAAGATATATTGAGATGTGTTGGGAGACATCTGACGAACATTTCATATTTATATAATCTATTTGCAAATGGGATGATGTAGTGAAATGCACCTCCAAAATATTAAGAGCCCCTTCATAAAAATACTTCTAGTTTGAATTGCACAGAGTGTTTAGGGAGACACCTTACCAACATTTCATATATCCAAAACGAACAATTTTCCCAATCACCAGAAATGCAATACATTTCTCGATGTGTGTTTCACCACCCAAGTTGGTAACTTCGGAAGATGAAGTTTTCTTTTCCCAATCACATTTCTGGTGATTGATCTCATTTCATATATCATTCATTTGCAAAGGGAATGACGGGGTGTAATCCACCCTCGAATCATAAAAATCAGACATTTTACAAAAATACTGAGCTCCAAATCAACAGGGTGTGCTGAGACATCTTACAAACATTTCATATTAACATCACTTATTTGCAAAGGAGATGACGGGGTGTCATCCACCCCCGAATACAAAAATAATAGGACATAAGTCCTTAACAAAATTACTGCCAGTTCGAAATTCACAGACAGTGTTGAGAGACATCTTATGAACATTTTCATTTTGCAAAAAAAAAGACAAAGTGTAGTTGAAACTAGAACGGTAAAAACCGGACGTCATTTCAGAAAAATACTGCTGGATTGAAATTTACAGGATGTGTTGTAAAACACTTCAAGAACATACTCTATCGATATCATATTTGCAAAAGGCAATCCCGACATAAAACAAGAAGAAACTGTATCAAGTAATGACACAATCCGTGAATTAATTTAGCATTGCTAATAGAATATAATTTTATTTTGTGTCGTTACAAAACGAACTTGCAATCATCATTATATATGAGTCGTCGAGTTTCAAAGCCACATAATTATTTTCAACAAATTTTTCATGAGGTGAAAATAACTAGTAATACAGTTGTGTTTGATAAAAAAAAATTTAGGCTGTAAATTGTCCCCAGTAATTCTGTACCTCGTAAAGTGTAAACATATTTTTAACTGAAAAACAGTCATTTTTTCATCTTCTGCAATATTTGTTGAAATTTACTTATCTAGTTTTTAAACTAGATGCCTCACATACAAAAGATGAGGAGATAAGTAATATTGGTGAGAAATAAAAGAGAAAGTGATATATTTCTTTCTTTATTATTTGTTAACATGTCTTCATTAGAAACATGTATCTGTTTGAAAAAAAAATCTGTTTTTCCGTTAACCAGCTGTCGCACCCCTACGAATGACAACCCTCTGAAGTCGAAACTTGTGCGAGCTAAGGATTAACGAGGTCTTACCTTTTAACGTGTGATTTCTAACACGGGTTGGACGATAGCAAGTGAAGATCGATCGTTCAGACTAGGGATTGAACCACCGACCAACACGGCAGTCAATTCGAGTGAGTGAACAAATCACCCACGCCGAACCGCTTGGCTATCAAATCAGAAAAAAAATGAGTTCATAGTTCTCTAAATGATATCTGTAAATATACTATTCAAATATAAATGTACAAATACTACAGAAAGAAGTTCAAATGAAGTTGATGAATCTGTCTACAGCAATTGCAAAAAACAAGACAGGAAATCTAAAAATCTCATTATATAAAGAATTGTGAGAAATATATTAAAGAAGAAAGTAATACAAATCATAAAATTATGAAACAACAAAAATTAATTGTCGCTCTGGGGTGACTTCATTGATTCCAGTGATTCGAGGAAAACCCGAAAAAACCTGCAGCACCACATCATCTGAAGATATTTCTAAAAGTGCTCATGTCTGATTTTTATGATGTGGAGATAGATTACATCCCTTCATGCCTTTTGCAAATAAAATTTTTTGTAAGATATCTTTCAACACACCCTGAAAGGAGTTATGTCTTGTTTTTATCCCCTTTGCAAATAGATGAAATTATTATAAAATGTTCGTGAGATGTCTCCCAATGCACCCTCTGATACCTTTCTATATAGATATGCTGTTTATAAAAGTTATCAACAGTGTTTGTTAAAATCAGAATTCATTTCAGGTGTGTTTTAAATATGTTGATAGAGCTTAAAATGATTATTAGAGAAACAACAAAATAAATCTTACTATGGTTTTCTCGATATCCTCAAGCATTTGCTCTAAATTATCTTTAGTATTGTTAAACGAAGGCTTGGTACTTCCTGGCTTGTTATTGACAATCACAATTTGTACAGATTGCTCTTTGTCGCCAGCTGATGTGGTGAGTGTGATCTGTTCGTTGTCCAAACCCAAATTATCCTTAAAGAAAGATATTCTAAATAAAAAAAACATATGCTTCCATTCTACTCACAGGATTATTCAGTACCATAGAATTTTTCAACTCATTGCACATTCCTTGGAAAATAGTTGTTGTTGAGAGTAAAAGATTATTCAGATCAAGAGGATCAAAATCGTCAGAATTCAAATCTATCTTTGGAGCATTTCGAAGTTTCTTTTTTGGCATTGATATATCTGTATCTCTGTCTTCATATTGTGTTGTACCTGATATCTGCGAAAAATAAAGGTGATGAACACATATTTTTAATATTAAAGAAATTAAACTTACACTTGTAGAATTAGAACAATCAACAATCTCCTCATGTTTTTCTTGAACTGTCATCTTTACCAAGGATTTTTGCAGTCTTACATTTTTTCCACTGTTCCTTCTGGATCTCTGAAAAATAAGAGTTTTTCTATAACTCTGTATTTTATGCATATTCTCCACTAAATATTCATTCGAAAAATGCTTTTAATACCTATATATTACGAATATCTTTAAAAAATACAATTCCAATATTACATTTTTAGAGGAATGATAAAGGCGAAGGCACCAATTCTAAATAATCCAACGTTTTTCAGTAAATGTCATGTAGTCTAATCAACAAGTTCAAAAACATGAAAAATAGAGATAAAGGTTCTAAAAATATGAGCGATAGCTCATTTGATTCGGAATCACCTCTAGAAAAATTTTTTTGAAGGATTTTGGTGCAGGTAAAAAATTGCAATTGTTATTAACAAAATAAATAATAGTGATGACTAGTTTTTCTGATTTTTTTTTGAAGTATCATAACCTGCATAACTTCATCACAAAAAAAATAAATCACATCAAACAATTTCAATGATAGTGTTGAACTGTCCCATTGGTATCATTGTCTATGAATATGGACTGCTCTAGTCATAACGACTTGCATAATGACCAATATAATTTCACCTTCAGCAATATCAAACTCAATAATACGTTTCAATTTGATTTAATCATACTTTATAACAACGCATTTTTCCATTTCGGTGAGATTTTCACCAGCCAATTCCACGAACTCAATATTCCCTTTTCCATCTGAATTCCCACTGACCACCTTCTTAAATGTGGTAGACTAGGAAGGAGATACCTAAGGTGGTTTTTGAAAAAGTGTAGCTTTTTTTTATAACACCTCAAAGTGAATGCTGTAGGCTTCCAAGAAACACACTTTTTTTCTTCAATAACGAACTTATTTTGTTTTCACTTAATACCTGCTTTTTTTCTTTCAGCAATTTACTTCTATAGTATGTTACATGTTTTCCCAATGCCCTCATTTTTTTGTCAAAAGTTTTGTTTTCAGTACACAATTTTGATTTCTCCAATCTGAGCCTTTCATTGTCATTAAGTTTGTAATTGTGGATATCTGAGGTGGTAGGAACTTTTTTCAGAATTCCTTCAACAGTAACTTCCATTTTCTCTCCTTCGTTTTCTTTCTTTTCATCTACATGCAAGGTATGACGTTCGCCATCAGAGTCTTCAAGACACGGTACAGTACTATTTTTCAGTACCTTCTTTGGAATGCTACCTTAAAATAGAAGTGAAATTAGTAAAGTAAATGTAGATAAAACATAATAGTACCTACAATTCTATCACATTTATAGCTGAAGAGAGTGAAACATTTCTTGGGCTTACTTACAATAACAATGATTATTGAATATTCTGTCTTAGGGATTGTTGTTTCATAAAGAGCAACCAAATCTAACCATGTTGAAACTATGATTCTCATCAGTAAAGAATTTTCAGATAGTTTTGTAATACAAGAAATATCCAAAATCGATAAATTTCTCATACAACGGGATTTTAAATTTTCTCTGATCAATAGCAAAAAATACAAATTTACCATTTCGCATATAAAGGGCACCAAATTCTAATCTGGATATATATCCCAGAAATTTTTGAAACCACCTGTCTGCAGAACAGACGTTTAATATATTGTATCTGTAAATAATACACTCTGTACCAATTTTCTTGATGTCCTTATCAACTGTTAGTGAGTCAGTCAAGTTACTACATTGGATTAATTTTGAATTTCATTTTCATTGTTGTGTTGAACTTGCTTCTTTCAAATAACACACTTTTGCAGTAAACCTACAGCAATATAAATATACAGGGTCCTGCAACAGTGGCGCGGTGTTCCATATCTCTATATAGGAAGCAGATAGGAATCTAATTTTCTATAATATTACCTTATTGCTCGAGCTCGATAAAATAAAAATATTGGCGGTCACACAGGGTGTTCGATTTTTTCTGGGCGGATCCCAACTGTGTCTTTTTAAATGGCAACCTATATTTTTTATCGCTTTTTCGGTTTCTTCATAGAAAATAAAATAAACTTTATGTATATCTGCACTTCGAAAATATTGACGGTTTTCGAGATATCTA